TATGACCGCATAAATGTTAGGTAGTGCATATATGTATGTTAGACAGAATGTTGAAAAATGGTAGACAAAGTAAGTGATAAAACTGGAATATGTGTTAGAGGAAATATGTTAATGTTAGATAGAATGTTAGATTGAAGGTCGGAATTTACTGTATTTGGCATAGAATGTAAAAACATTCTTCCCCAGACAGTGTGTCTACACTGAGGGGTTCTGACGGTAGATGCGAAGGTTGGTGCTTGATCAGGGTGGTCACTCTCTTCTGCGACCTGTTGCCTGTAAATTTTCGTAAAAAGTGCCGCGTATGAAATCTTGACATGCGTTTCGACTGCGTAGGCTCGCGCAAAGTGTGTGTCCGCGTTCTGGGCATTTTTCATGTAAATTTCCGTATGAAGTGGCTCTTGTGAGATCATGACATGCGCTTCGATTTATCAGTCTCGCGCAAAGTGTGGTCCGCGGGTTTGGTCTTTCATTTCATTCGTTTCAGTCATTTCATTCATTGCAGTCATTTCATTCATTTCATTCATGCCATTCATTTCGTTAATTTCGCTCATTTCATTCATTTAGTTTCGCTTCATTCATTTCATTTCATTCATTTTATTTGGTTCATTCGTTTCATTCATCTCAGTCATTTCATGCGTTTCATGCGTTTCATGAGTTTCATTCATTTCATTTGTTTTATTTTATTTGTTTCATTTATTTCATTCCTTTCATTGATTTGTTTCATTCCATTCATTTCACTCATTTCCTTGTTTCATTCATGTCATTCATTTGGTTCATTTCATTCGTTTCATTCATTTCATTCGCTTCATTCATTTCATTTCATTTCATTCATTCATTCATTCATTCATTTCATCATTTCCTTCATGTCATTCATTTCATTCGTTTCATTCGTTAAATTTCGTGCATGTGTTTCATTCATTTCACTCATTTCAGTCATTTGATTTCTTCCATTCATTTCATCATTTCGTTCATTTAATTCATTTCATTCGTCTTATTCATTTCATTCATTTGGTTCATTTCATGCGTTTCATTCGCTTCATGCATTTCATTCATTTCATTCGCGTCATTCGTTTCATTTGTTTCATTCCGTTCATGTGTTTCATTCATTTCACTCATTTCAGTCATTTTATGTCTTTCATTCACGTCATCATTTCGTTCATTTCATTCGTTTTATTCATTTCATTCATTTGGTTCATTTCATTTGTTTCATTCGCTTCATGCATTTCATTCATTTTATTCATGTCATTTGTTTCATTCGTTTCATTCCGTTCATGTGTTTTATTCATTTCACTCATTTCAGTCATTTCATGCCTTTCGTTCATGTCATCAGTTCGTTCATTTCATTCGTTTCATTCATTTCATTCATTTGTTTCATTTCTATGGTTGATTCATTTCATCCGTTTCATGCATTTCATTCATGTCATTCGTTTCATTCGGTTCATTCCCTTCATTTGTTTCATTCATTTCTCTCACTTCAGTCATTTCAATCCTTCCATTGATTTCATTCGTTGAATTTATTTCATTTATTTTTTCCATTTTATGTGTTTCGTTCGCTTCATTTGTTTCATTCATTCTCGCACAAAGCGTGGTAAGCGGGTTTGGTCTTTCATTTCATTCTTTCAGTTTTTTCATTCATTGCAGTCATTTCATTCATGTCATTCGTTTCATTCGTTTCATTTCGTGCATGTGTTTCATTCTTTTCACTCATTTCAGTCATTTCATTTCTTTCATTCACGTCATCAGTTCGTTCATGTCATTCGTTTCATTCATTTGTTTCATTTCTACGGTTCATTCGTTTCATCCGTTTCATGCATTTCATTCATGTCATTCGTTTCATTCGTTTCATTCCTTCCATGCATTTCATTCATTTCTCTCATTTCAGTCATTTCAATCCTTCCATTAATTTCATTCATTTAGTTTATTTCATTTATTTTTTTCAATTTTATTTGTTTCGTTCGCTTCATTTGTTTCGTTCATTTCATTTTTTAATCGTTTCTACAGACCTTTTCCCATTCATTTTATTTGGTTCATTCGTTTCATTCATCTCAGTCATTTCATGCGTTTCATGAATTTCATGAATTTCATTTATTTCGTTCATTTCGTTCATTTCGTTCATTTCATTCGTTTCATTCATTTCATTCGTTTCATTCGTTTCATTTATTTCATTCATTTCATTCATTTCATTGATTTGTTTTATTCCATTCATTTCACTCATTTCCTTGTTTCATTCATGTCATTCATTTGGTTCATTTCATTCGTTTCATTCATTTCATTCGCTTCATTCATTTCATTTCATTCATTCATGTCATCATTTCCTTCATGTCATTCATTTCATTCGTTAAATTTCGTGTATTTGTTTCATTCGTTTCACTCATTTCAGTCATTTGATTTCTTCCATTCATTTCATCATTTCGTTCATTTAATTCATTTCATTCGTCTTATTCATTTCATTCATTTGCTTCATTTCATTCGTTTCATTCGCTTCATGCATTTCATTCATTTCATTCGCGTCATTCGTTTCATTCGTTTCATTCCGTTCATGTGTTTCATTCATTTCACTCATTTCAGTCATTTCATTTCTTTCATTCACGTCATCATTTCGTTCATTTCATTCGTTTTATTCATTTCATTCGTTTGGTTCATTTCATATGTTTCATTCCCTTCATTCATTTCATTCGTTTCATTCATTTGTTTCATTTCTACGGTTCATTCGTTTCATCCGTTTCATGCATTTCATTCATGTCATTCGTTTCATTCGTTTCATTCCTTTCATGCATTTCATTCATTCTCTCATTTCAGTCATTTCAATCCTTCCATTAATTTCATTCATTTAGTTTATTTCATTTATTTTTTTCAATTTTATTTGTTTCGTTCGCTTCATTTGTTTCGTTCATTTCATTTTTTAATCGTTTCTACAGACCTTTTCCCATTCATTTTATTTGGTTCATTCGTTTCATTCATCTCAGTCATTTCATGCGTTTCATGAATTTCATGAATTTCATTCATTTCGTTCATTTCGCTCATTTCATTCGTTTCATTCATTTCATTCGTTTCATTTGTTTCATTTATTTTATTCATTTCATTCATTTCATTGATTTGTTTCATTCCATTCATTTCATTCATTTCATTCGTCTTATTCATTTCATTCATTTGGTTCATTTCATTCGTTTCATTCGCTTCATGCATTTCATTCATTTCATTCGCGTCATTCGTTTCGTTCGTTTCATTCCGTTCATGTGTTTCATTCATTTCACTCATTTCAGTCATTTCATTTCTTTCATTCACGTCATCATTTCGTTCATTTCATTCGTTTTATTCATTTCATTCATTTCATATGTTTCATTTCATATGTTTCATTCGCTTCATGCATTTCATGTCTTTCATTCATGTCATTCGTTTCATTCCGTGCATGTGTTTCATTCATTTCACTCATTTCAGTCATTTCAACTCTTTCATTGACGTCATCATTTCGTTCATTTCATGCGTTTCATTCATTTCATTCACTTGTTTCATTCCTACGGTTCATTGGTTTCATCCGTTTCATGCATTTCATTCATGTTATTCGTTTCATTCGTTTTCCATTGCCTTCATTTGTTTCATTCATTTCTCTCATTTCAGTCATTTCAATCCTTCCATTAATTTCATTCATTTAGTTTATTGCATTCACTTTTTTCAATTTTAGTTGTTTCGTTCGCTTCATTTGTTTGATTCATTTCATTTTTTAATCGTTTCTACAGACCTTTTCCCCGCGAAAAACGGGAAAAATCGAAAATTTTTCTCTCTGCCCGAACGCATGTGTTGCACTTTTTTTCTGCATACCTTTTCCCCGCGAAAAACGGGAAAAATCGAAAAAAATATTTTTTTCTTTCTCTGCCCGAACGCACGCGTGTTTTTTTTGTTTCTGCATACCTTTTCCTTGCGAAAAACGGGAAAAGTCGAAAAAAAATCTTTTTTTCTTTCTCTGCCCGAACGCATGTGTTGCACTTTTTTTTTCTGCATACCTTTTCCCCGCGAAAAACGGGAAAAATCGAACAATTTTCTTTTTTCTTTCTCTGCCCGAACGCATGTGTTGCACTTTTTTTCCTGCATACCTTTTCCCCGCGAAAAACGGGAAAAGTCGAAAAAAAATCTTTTTTTCTTTCTCTGCCCGAACGCACGCGTGTTTTTTTTGTTTCTGCATACCTTTTCCGCGCGAAAAACGGGAAAAATCGAAAAAAAATCTTTTTTTCTTTCTCTGCCCGAACGCACGCGTGTTTTTTTTGTTTCTGCATACCTTTTCCGCGCGAAAAACGGGAAAAATCGAAAAATTATCTTTTTTTCTTTCTCTGCCCGAACGCACGCGTGTTTTTTTTGTTTCTGCATACCTTTTCCCCGCAAAAAACGGGAAAAATCGAATTTTTTTATTTTTTTCTTTCTCTGCCCGAACGCACAAAAGGGTACGCGCTAGAAAAACAACGCGCGCGATCCAGCTTAGGCTTTCTGCACAGTCCTGCTTTTTTTCGGCCATCGAGGTAGTCACGGCCTGACACCAAAAAAAGAAGAAGAGTATGCGATCAAACGTTTCTGGAAGTTTCTGTGAATGGGGAGGAATTTCGTTCAAGGACTTTCAAGAGACTTGTCAAGCTCACGTCGATACTTCAGAGTCTGACTAGGGCCTCTAGGGAGGCAGAAAAGCATCCAGTAGACGGGACCCCGGGGCCATGATTCTTGCGCAAAGGCCCCTGAGTTCAGAAGTTAGATCTGGAGAATGATGGAGAATGTAGCTGTGCAAAATCACTCTGATAGGAATCCAACTGTCCCGACATGGGATGGATGGCCTAAATCCTCGAGATACACAGATTTCTAAGTTAGACCGTCAGACCCTTTGCGCTCCAGGTTCAACCAATCCTTTCATCTTACAGCCATCTCTGAATAAAGCTGGGTCACTACGGATACAGTCATTGAGAGAGACCACAGTAGTCTCAGTGTCACTTGGATAAGCTGTCTCTTTCGCCAATTTGCTAGTCAAACGATATCAGATCCTTAGCTCAGTGCTCCCATATTCCCATGGATTGCATAGCAAGAGACAAGCCACAAGTGTCACAAGTGTCACTCAAACAAAACTCGGCAGGCATATTGCAACATGCTGCTGTTTATCTTGACTGATGTGGAACTCAATGAAACTATCTGGGGATTCCAATTACCCTATTCCTTGCCAATCCATTTGCCATTTCCAAGGATCTGGAAGCTCTGCAGATTTGGGCTTCACCTAAGTTCAAGGGGTCTTTCAAATGATGTCCATGGAATTCCATTGCCAAGGCCGAATTCTTCAACATTGAACATCAATTCCCCATGAAATATATGAAATGGCATTTTTCTGGAGGAAAAACACCATTTTCAGACCCAAACATCAAATTTCTAGCCAAATGTCCCAAACATCAAACATCGGCTCCCGTTCCGCCATAATAAAACGAAAAGGTACGTTCCGCCAAGGGGCGGCTAACATCGGCTTGCCACTGGGCACCTTTTTGGCGGTACCTCCTGTTGGAGACCGCAACGGAGTTTTGCAAACGTATACCGTATACCCTCTGCTCGTTGAAGATAACCATGGAAAATGACTCATTAAAGTAGATTAAGTAGATGCAATTGATGAAATTCTTTTTTTTTCAATTGCCATTTCCCATTTTCCAGAAGGCCTACACTGGGACTGTAAACGTCGTCTCTGCCTGTGAACCATGGGTTTTTCTGTGGTCCTGGTGCGACTGTCAAAGGCTTCCAGTCCTGCGCCGTGCTCAATGGCCCAGAAATGGCTGCTTTATGCTGCTTTAAACCTTCCAAGCTTGGAGCTTTATGGCATTGGTTTTACATGGTTTTACCATATGGCAGTGTGTCAAAACCTTGTACCCCTGTAGTTCACATCAAAATAGCTGGTAAATGGATGTTCATTCCCCTAAAAATGGTATCAATAGGTATTGATCCATACCCATATTACCCAAGATCACTGAAAGAATAAGGACTCCAGTCGATCGTTGGCTAAAAACCATGAGACTTCCCATGTTTGCGACAATTTGTACCCTTCACATGAATCCCCGGTTGACAATCTGCGTAAACCTTGGCTTGATAATCTGCTTACAAATTAAAGTCCCAAACAACAAAACACACCTTCTCATATTGCAACAGCGGACAGTCTTTCCAATCCGCATCGGGCAAGGGTCGCGTAAGCGTTTTTTCGATGATGTGACCTCCGTTTCGGCGTGGGAGATAGGTCATTGGGTCGCAAAGGGGCAGACTGCAGAACCACAAAATGCAACCTTTTTTTTTAGCTGGTAAAATACAGCGGAAATGGATTAAGATGGCCAGTTTAAGAGGTACTCTAAAAATTCACTAGGTAACATTAGCTAATCACAATTGTCCGTAAACTGGCCATTTCGGGGTATACCGGTATACCCCATTTTCAGACACACCCAGCTGCTGATGGAACAATCAAAACGGCAAGCTCTGGTTCTTGTGGCGGCTACAAATGATCAGCAACATTGGAAAGATGTCTTTAGCATTCTTTGGCATCAAGTACAATTACAATCAAATATGTATCTATATGAGGTAAATATATCCTTCATTGCGCCTGCCCAGGTTCTCAATTATCAATCTCAATCTCTTTCCTTCTCAACGCTACCTGCTCCGCGACTATTCGTCTCACTGAATCGGCGGTTTGGCCTGTTTCAGGGAGCAGCAAATTCAGCATCAGAAGGGAAGATAGACTGAGATCAACAAAGAAACGAAAGTGCCCTTGAGAATCTAACCACCGAGGATATACTGTTGATTTTCAGCGCCGGCAAAAAACACATTGCTGGCAAGCCACCCTCTTGGATTGATTCCTCAGATCTGGCAATGTGGTGGCACTGAGCCCGGCTCTTTTGATGGAAATCAAATTGATGATATCAGCGTCATCACTGGTCACCCTAAAAAGCAATCTTGAAACAATCTAGATATGACATACTAGACAAGTCTCGTAGTGCAAGGGCATGACGCGAATGTTCAGCATCCTTAAACAGCTCTGGGCAGTCCTATGCAGTCATCACAGGGGCCAAGAACTTACCAATCTGAAAATGAAACGTCCACAGAAGTCCAACGCAAAAATATTAAACGTTCTTAAAAAGGGGTTCCCACTAAACCCATCTAAACTTAACCCTATAAATCTTCACCAGACAGACCGACTGCTGTCCTGGCCCAGGTCCTGCAACAGGGACTTCAACTCAATGGCCTCGCGGGAATTTTCTCGGAAGCGATTTTGGGCGTGAAAGCGTAAGCTTTGCAGGTCTCAGAACATAACTGACCAAGAATCATACAAGAATCATACTTACGTAACTCCTGAAGCTCGCACCTCCATAACTTCTAACATTCACGAAACAAGTCTAAATGAAGAAAAGTCTTGAAAATGGATGAAATTCGATGAAAGCCTGGATGAAGGTAAACAGTTTTCATACGTGTTCATCATGTTTTCATCCAGGCTCTCTATTCTTGGCTGCATCTCAATTTATCCCCCCCAATCCTGAAGTAGATTGTCTTTGGTGAGGAAAGTCAGAGCATAGCCAGGAGAGTCACAGTGGCTCGCGAGTCGAATCCGGCACCTCAATGCTGCGAGTCGACTCGCACCGGGTGATTGTCCACATTCATAAATTGTAGCATTGATAGAGTTGATAGAGTCTGAATCAAGATAAAGCACAAACAAAAAAGGACGAGGCGCAAATATTCCAGTAGGTTCTCAGGCATGTCGTAGTTGATCATCCACTGCATCTGGCGGTGAACTCTCCGTGTGTGTTTTTTTCCGACGGAAGCGATGAAAAATCTGCAGCCTTCGGAAAAGGATAGCCACGGCCAAGCATCGTTGTGGCCTCGGGGACAATTCTGAAAGTGTCAAAACCTGTCGAAGAAGATTCAATTGCAAGCAGCCTAGATCTTGTTGAATGCCATGTCTGAAGACATTCAATGTGTATATACTGTATATACTGTATATACTGTATACTTATAATATGTATGAAGTGTATGACGATGACAACAAATGACAACAAGATATTCATTCTACATCATGTGCTATTTCAAATCTCAACAATAACGCAAGATTGGGGTGATGAGGTTTGAAGCAGCTGGAAGGAACAAAAATCATCAAGGTTGCCATCACACACTTCTTTGTCCGTCAGCACCTCAGGTGACTGTCTCGATCAAATCACTTTGTAAATGATCGGAAGATTCATTAGCGGTACCATTGAAAGCAACAAGCCCTCGGCTGCCAAGAAATGGATCCTTCACTAAGTGCACTAACTCCACGTTTCCCTGCAGCTGCAGGTTAAAACGAGATTTAAAAGTGTCTCATCTCGGTTGCACCGGCTCGCAATGTCTAGCTGTCAGGTTCTCTCCTGTTGCATCCGGAGAGGACTGGCTCTGACAGCTCTGACAGGGCTGACAGCCCTGACAGCACTGACAGGCGTCTCCTCCCTTCCGGCCGTCTCCCGCGTCTCCTCCCTTCCGACAGCGCCTTGGCCAGGGTCACCAACATCCAGCCATTCGCAAAAATGATCAACAGGACTAGCCTTTGGTATCCTTTGGTAATCAAACGTGGCTGGGAAATCCCAAACATCCCCAAACTAAACGGAGGTTTTTTTGCAATGGGAAAATCATCTACGAATTGGGAACTTCCATTGCCAAGCTGCTCAGTATTGCAAGTCGGACAGCTATACAAACATCCAGGACCCTCAGCCAAGGGGCTGGAAATCGCCACCGTGGCTTTCGTTTCCTTTTCGAGCTCCTCACAAGAGCAGGGTCAAACTGCTTCCCAGGCATCCTTCGAGGCTGTTTCTGAAGTTGCCACAGCAACTCATTCCAAGTTTTTAAGCCTGTTTGACACTCCTTGACTGCTTCGGTTTGACGAGCATCAGCCTCATATCTGATAACGTCTTGGGAACTGCAATGGGTGATTTTACACAAAGATCATCTAAATTGCATGGTCAAACATTTACAATTGGCAGACTGAGTTGACTTTTTGTGGCTGAGTGAAGCACCCAGTCGTGCAGGGCCTGAATCTGATCAGAAAGCCTAACGTTCTCCTCCTCAAACTGCAACACGCCTGAGTCATTGGGGCATGTGTCGTTTCATCCTGATACCCTGCTGAATACCTGCTGAATACCCTCAAAATAATGAACAGAATCACTTATACTTTATATTTATATTGAGATGTTAAACAACCAAATCTTGGACTTGTGTCGTATTGACCCAGGGAAGAAATCGTAGAATCCACTGCAGGGACTGGGATCTGAGAGCTCCGGACGGGCTTCCAGATCTTGGGTCCCTTTCTTCAAGGTCGCCAAGCCTTCGCACCAACAATCATCTAAGTTTGGTGTTCAGACTCAAATGGTCATTCCGTCTAATTGACACTTGACCTTCAAACATACCTGAAATTGTTTTTAGAACTCAAATTTGTAGTTTGAATTGTGTTGTTGCCGCAACGTGCTTTACTGGATGGCTGGGTGAGCAACACTTACAAACACGCAACAGTAATCTTCGGGTCCACGGTTTGGATCTTTTCAATCCTCGCCACTATGTCGTTCCTCAACCACATACAGTACTTGGTACAACACCTTCTATCTGAACATGGTGCGACATGCATTCCCACATCTTCGATGCAAACAAGTGAAGGTCCTAGAACGTCGAAATGGAAAGCCCTACCAACTGCGGTTTGACTGAAAATTGATAGTTTAAAACCTCATGTGCACTTTCCAATGGCTAATTTGGGGATCCCCCTTTTTGAATCCTGTAAACCCATATCCCCATCTGTAGTTACATCCCCAGTTTTGGTTGCTCAAACTCGCTGTTCATGAATAATATCCCTGAAAATTGTCATTGGGTTAATACCCATTGTTTGTGTTTTGTTTTCCGGATCTAATTGGAGCATACCCCTGTCCCTTACATATCTCATACACACCTGTATAAATTCCCCCGTTTTGGCTGGTGAAACCCAACCATCATATGATCGTCATCCCCAAAAGGATGCAGAAAAACTTCAATTGGCCACTATTTTAGCATGGTTTTTGTTCAATATATTTTTTCCGGGGGAATGTTATAATCTATACCCTCTGGTAATTTAACATAGCTATGAAAAATCAGTGTTTAATGGGTAAATCATCGTGTTTATATATATACATACATATCTCTCTCTCTCTCATCTATCAATGGGCAACGTTCTATAGCTATGTTAAATAATAGCTAGTCTTTCGACATCCACCGCTGCCGCTTTCGCCGCACCTGCTCTGGAAACGTCTGCCGCATCATCTGCTTCAATGCCGTCGATCTTCTGAAGAAGATTCTCCATAGCGACCTGAGTGCCAAGGCACTGTTGAAGGGATGGCAACCCATGTGCAGCCGAAATGCAGATGTTATTTAACATATCATTTGAGTATGCAAATATGTACATATATTGTGTATATACATACATATATATATATATTATGTGCGCGCATTGTCCTATTACTTGTGCAAAATAATTATGTTACAACGATAACAATATATATTTAATAGAACTGATAGAAGCCACGAACCCGAATGCATTTTTAAAAGCTCACATAGAAGAAGGGTTCCTACAGAACAATGAAAAGCGAACAGGAGATGCTCGATCGCATTAAAAGGCACTCTTGCAGAACACTTTTGCTTGACACTCTTCTCGGACAATCGTGTGGGACACTCTTTTGCGACACTCTTGTGGCATACTCTTGTGGGGCACTGTTGTGGGACACTTTTATGGGACACTCTTGCGAGACACTCTTTCCTGACACTCTTGCTCGACACTCTTGTGGCACACTCTGGTAAAACACTCTCTCAATACTCTGAAACACTCTTGTAAGACACTCTTGTTGGACACTCTTGCTTGACACATCCGGAACACCTCGCAGTACTGTACTACTTTGTACTACGAAGCGTCCACACAGTACCTCACAGTACTACTTTATACTGCAAATCTTGCACAGAGTATATAATTCCCAATAGTACTTTGTACTACAAAGCTTGCACACTGCACTTCCCAGTACTACATTGTACTACAAAGCTTGCACAAGGCACTTCCCAGTATTACTTCGCGCTACAAAACTCCACACTCCGAACTTAACTCTCCACACATCACACTCCACACTTCCCGCTCCACACTTCACACACCACATTCCACACTCCCCACTTCACACTCAACACTCCACACTGTACACTTCACACTCCACACTTCACACTCTCCACTCCGCACTTCACACTTCACACTCTCCACTCCACACTTCACACTCCACGCTCCACACTCCACACACTCGACCCTTCACACTTCACACTCTCCACTCCACACTCCACACTCCACACTTCGCACGCCCCACTTCACACTCCACACACTCCAAATTCCGAACTTCACAGTTCGCACTCTCCACTCCATACTTCACGCTCCGCACTCCACACTCAACACTCCATACTTCCCACATCACACTCCACACTCCCCACTCCACAAATCACACTGCACACTCCGCACTCCACACTTCACACTCCACACTTCACAATCCACACACCACACTTCACACTCTAGCTCCACACTCCACACACTCCACACACTTCAGACTTCACACTTCGCACTCCACTTCACACTCGACACTCAACACTCCACACTTCACTCTCCACACTCCACACTTCACAGTCCATTTCACACTTTGCACCCTCGACTCCACACTTCACACTCCACACTCTACACTTCACACTCTCAACACTTGACACCTCACACTCTCCACTGCACACTTCACACTTCCCACTCCACACTTCACACTCCACACTTTCCACATCACACTCAACACTCTCCACTCCACACTTCACACTCCACACTCCACACTCCACACTCTGCACTTCACACTCAAAACTCCCCACTCCACACTCCACCCTTCACACTCCATGCTCCACATTCCACACTTCACACTGCACACTCCACACTTCACAGTCCACACTTCACACTTCACTTCACACTCCAAACTCCAACTTCACACTGCACACCTGACACTGCACACTTCACACTCCACACTTCCCACATCACACTCCACACTTCACACTTCACACTGCACAATTCACACTTCACACTCGCCACTCCACACTTCAAGCTGCATACTCCACACTTCACACTTTAGACTTCACACTTCGCACTCCACATTTCAAATTTCACACTTCACTTTAAACTCCACACTCCACACTTCACACTGCACACCTGGCACTACACACTTCAAACTTCACTTCACTTCACTCTCCACACTTCACACTCCACACTCCACACTTCACACTCCATTTCACACTTTGCAACCTCCGCTCCACACTCCACACTTCACACTTCACACTCCACACTTCACACTTCACACCTCACACTCCACACTTCACACTCCGCACTCCACACTCCACACTCTCCACTCCACACTCTGCACTTCACACTTCACACTCCACACTACACACTTCACTTCACACTTCACACTTCACACTGCACATCTGACACTTCACACTTCACACTTGTACTGCCAAGCTTGCACAAAATACCTTCCAGCACGGCTTTGTACTGCAAAGCTTGCACAAAGTACTTCCCAGTATTTCTTTGTACTACAAAGCTTGCACAAGGAATTTCCCAGTACTACTTTGTCCTGCCAAGCTTGCACAAAGTACTTCCCAATAGCACTTTGCACTACAAAGATTGCACAAGGCACTTCCCAGTACTACTTTGTACTACAAACCTTGCACAAGGAAATCCCCAGCACTGCTTTGTACTACAAAGCTTGCACAAGGCACTTCCCAGTACTACTTTGTTCTGCAAAGCTTGCACCAAAGCACCTCCCAGTATTACTTTGTGCTGCAAAACTTGCACAAAGAACTTCCCACTACTACTTTGTAATTGTACTACAAAGCTTGCACCAGGCACTTCCCAGTACTACTTTGCTACTTGCCCAGTACTACTTTGTACTACTTTGTACAAAGCTTGCACAAGGAACTCCCCAGTACTACTTTGTACTACAAAACTTACACAAGAAACTCCCCAGTAGCACTTTTTTCTACAACGCTTGCACTTCAAACTTCACACTCCACACTTCACACTGCACACTCCACACTTCACACTCCACACTTCACACTCCACACTTAACACTTCACCCACACTTCACACTTCACACTGCACACTTCACACTTCACACTCTCCACTCCACACTTCACACTCCACACTTCACACTCCACACTTCACACTCCACACTTCACACTCTACACTTCACACTCCACACTCCACACTTCGCTTCACTTCACTTCACTTCACACTCCACACTTCACACTTCACACTCTCCACTCCACACTCCGCACTCCACACTCCACACTTCACACACCACACTTCACACTTCACACTCCGCACTTCACACTCCACGCTTCACACTCCACACTTCACACTTCACACTCTCCACTCCACACTTCACACTTCACACTCCACATCTCACACTCCACATTTGTCACATCACCTTTTCTCATTTTCCGCATAGACAGCGCGGCGACGTAAACATTAGAGAGCCGCGAAGCAACTTTCGCTTGCGTGCGACACAGTCCCACTCCTGCCAAGCGAAATGCACTTTCACACGTCAATGACTCACCACCTTTTCTCACTTTCCCCGTAGACAGCGCACGGCGTAAACATTAGAGACCCGCGAAGCAACTTTTGCCTGAGTGCCACAAAGTCCCACGCCTGCCACGCGAAATGTACTTTCACACGTCACAACACTCACCTTTTCTCACTTTCCCCATAGACAGTGTGACGACGACGCGATTAGAGAAAAAAAAACAAAACGACGAGCAAACAGTCCACCACCCCCAGACCCCCAAGAAAGAAAACAAGAACCCCCCTTCGCTACGCATTAGCATTCGGGAATTAATGATAATAACAATAATAAAACGTAGTCTATATGTAATACAGTATCAATACATACGAAGTGTGTATCTCGCATCATCCCTTGCATGTGGGACATTTCGGGCAAGGGGCATAGAGATGCTGCACTCGCTCCTCCACCTGGGTCAAAAAATGGGGCCTCTAAATGGGTACAAATGAACCATCAATGGGAAGAATCTCTGAGAAGTAGGAACAAATTCTGAACCAATGAACCAATAATCAATATGAACCAATCATGGAGATCTATCATGATATATCGGGATCTGAATAATGCAATAGTGGATGGTTTCAAAAAAAAATCGGGATAGCCCCATGTATATATCGCTTTTTATTAGGGAATATTTGATGTTTTAGACATTTTAAACCGTGGGAATGGGGGTTCCAATTTTCTGCACCTCTTGTTGCCTTTGTTCTTCGCGATCCTCCTCCGTTTGACGCTCCTGGAGAGTGACTCATGTGAAACAAGAAGAGATAAAAACATTGGCGTTTCCTAAAATAGTTGGTACTTCCAAATCATCCAAGTCAGAAGCTTATGTTCGTATTGAAATTGCTTCAGGGTACCCCCCCCATTTGGGGAAACCAACGAAAAGATCCATAAGTCCATAAATCGTAGATGCAAATGCTGCATCTTTGCGCCTTGATCGTCCGCACTTGACCGATCAACAGGTCGATTTCGTTTTGAAGAGCCTGGACCTCCAGGAGGTGTTCGCCATCTGAAACTTCGACGCAAACTTCTGACTGAGAACTTGCTGCGCTGAGTCTTGAGAGGGATGAAGCCTGTGCCTGACAGCAGCATCTCCCAGCAGCATCCGGTGGAAATGATTAATGATTTCAATCTGCGACAAACAGAAGATAACAAAATGAGGCGGGTCAAGCAATGCCAGCTTTGGAGCAGGCCTTGATATCACTAGGTTCGGGTTCCACGGTGTCATCTTGCTTGCTTGCCTGGCAGAAACAAATGGTGAGAAATTCCAAGATCAACAAACCCCTGAGAAATTCCAAGAATGTGCCAAAAGGTCTGCTCCAACCACAAGAAGGTTCAGTCAGTGCAGTTGTCGACCTCCAGGGAAGCTAGCTGCTTCGCGAGTTTTCTTCTCTCTCAAGAGTTTTCGCTGAGAAGAGGGCAGTGTGAACCACCTGCAGCTATGGATAATGATGGAGCAGAACTTCATTGGTGTATAGCTCCAATAACTGTGGTTTATGGTACTTATATAATCTTATATACATGTACTCATAACTATACTTAATAGCGTTTACAAACCAAGGGTCCCACTTATAGTTGGTTTCTGCGGCTGTCCTACTGAGTGGTGATTCCACCCCTGATCTGCATCACAGCTACTCCAACCAGGACCGTCGCCGCGAAGTGTCAAAGTACGCACACAGATCCTGGACGTTGACAGTTTGGCCAATGGACATCAAGTTGGCCAAATGACCTCGGTAAAGCACCAGTTCTCGGCGAAGCCATCTGAGCTATGGTTGCTTAAAGTAATCATATAACATCTCTGCTATGGGTTATATTCCCAATAAAGCAGGTAGTATAGTGTAATCCCCTACTGAAACCAATCAACAGAGGTATTTCCACATAGCTCATCTGTAGCCCGATACCAGGGGCGAGGTACTGCCATGGGCCATCTCTTCCTCCAAATTCTTGTGCCCTTGTGGCATTTTCCTCAAGGTTTTGAAGATGTGCTCTGACAAGTCTTCCTGGCAAAGCAGGGCGATCAGTACTGTACACAGTTCATTTGGAGGTTTCCCAAGATGGGGGTACCCCTAAATCATTCATTTATAGTAGGATTGTCCATTATAAACCATCCATTTTGGGGTACCCCCATTTATGGAAAGCCCATTTGAGTCAATTTTTTGCATTTGGAATGTCAATTCTGATCGACTTGACCAAGGGAACTCTGCAACCTGAGGCGTGCACTGCCAGTATCTCGTGCTCCTCTTTTGATGGCACAACCTTCTGCAGGATGATGCAAAGCTGCTCCTTCAATTTCGCTTTGGAGACACCTCCAGCGGCCCAGAAAATATCCCACAAAAAATCCCATCCGCAGAGCCGGATGTGACTGAAGCAATTGAGCAATCTTCAAACCCTGTTCCTGCCTTTATATCATATTGGCTGGTTCAATAAGATTTCCCGTTCCCGTAATCATAAATTCTGATCATCCCGAACATATTGAGAATAGTAATCCCCCAACTAATCATCAACCAACGGTGTCACGCAGTCGGGGCCACCGGGGTCACCGGGCCTGTGCCAGTTTTGGGATCCACGAGTTGACCCAGTATCGTAGTGTCCGACAGTAAACGAAGTGCCAGCTGAGCAACTCGAGTCGAGATGTCCATGGTCTGACGATGAGGGCCATCCATTGGAACCCCCGCGTTCAACTGATGCTAAACGTAGGGAATGAGGGAATGGGATGATTGTTAATAGTGCCATGGCCATGGCCCAACATCTATGGCAGGATTGGATCATTCGGATCATTGGGATCATTCCCCCATTCCTAAAAAGCACCAGTAAGACAATCATCACAAAACACTCCCAACACATGACATCACGACGTGGAACAAAGTAAGTTTCAACGCTGGTCTGTGTCCGAAGCCAGATTTCAGCAATCCACCTCTTGGTGAGCTCGCTTGTAGACATTCGAGAGAGAGCCGAGGCAATTTGTGGCAAAGACAATTGTCAAAATGGTCGGAAATTTCAGCAAGACCTTATGGAAAACGAAACGACGGTCACAGACGTCTGTTGCTTTCTCACACAATTCCATGCTCCCCGGTGCTCCCCTATTCAAGCAAGCAACTACCAGGGAGATAAGGTTCAACACAATGGCTGAAAGGGAGGGCAAGCGATGAAAGCTATCGCCTCTTCCCGTATCCACCCGAATCTGGGCAGCTGCTTGTGCCATATCCGACAAAGTGTCCGCCATTTTGTAACCAGAAGCTGGTCGCAGCTGATCCACGGTCAACAAGCAAACTGGAATTTCCGGGCTTGGCTCAAGGGTAGAATGGCCGGACCAATCAAGGGCTGTAGGCAAATCAAAACCTGCAACAGGGGACACCATGGCAGCCATAGCTTTCGTGCTTTGCCGGAATTTTAAACCGGTCAATGTGGAATGCATCCAAACTCTATGGAAATCTGAAAAGTCACAGCGATTTTAGCATGTTCAATGCGTGTTTTTGTGGTCGCTACAAGCTTGGGCACCGTCAGTGTAGCAGTTCACCACTGCATAGAACTCGCCGCCCGCCAACATCACTGTCGCATCCCATGGCAGGCCAGCCAGTGCCACCTCAGTTCCAGCTTTGTGCTGGCGAGTATCATTAGTCTATATGTCTATCGCGGACTCAAACCCTTGTGTGCACCAAACCTGGGACCCAGTGTGGGAGGTCCTGAAAACACTGATCAGCATCCAACACGGTCGTTCCTGACGACATTGGGAATACCGAACCTATTGGTTTTCAGGGAAATATGTTGAATTCAATAGATAAGTTTGAGGTCAAATCCCGCATGTGCGCTAGATTCAATGGCTCTTTTGTAGTCCAAGGAGCTATGCTTGGAGGGGGAATGATGACTCGTTCTCCCGGTGTGAAGATCATCAAAACCTTCTCCTCGCTTGTGACAGCAACCTCGGCACATCAACGAACGAACTGCTGAGTGTTCGTTTCCTGCGTGTTTGCTTCAACCCCATCCCCCCAAAAAAAAGACTAAAAAAATATTCTTTGACTGGTATCAGCATCCCCAGTAGGATGCAAAACAAAAAATGACTGTGAAACCAAACAGGATGACATCACCCCTTGCCTCGCTGCTGGATACTACCAGTAGCTGGACCTAGTCATTACCCTCCCTGATGCAAGGAGCCGTATATGCATCTGCACCTGTTTTTCGTTCAGCAATGCCAGGGTCGGTTCCAAAAAAATACCTCAGTGGAACAAGTGAACTAAGCGAACTCCATCCTGCAGTAGACCTCAACAACCCTGCACAAAGCCAACTTGGAAACTCAACGCGTCTCTCCCAGAACCGGGTTGCGGAGCAGATCTTGACATTTGGAACGAATAGCTAAAGGTCCTTGGCTGCAAAAAGGCCCAACACAAACAAGTCGCAACCAGCAAATCACTGGTTGCAACCAAGGAGCACAGGGGCAAAACGAAGTAAGGGATGCAAGTGCACCAGGATGTTCCTGTTCCCTCCAGTGAATAGACCTCTGGGAAGCAACGCATTTCAGCAATCTGGAGCCGATTCAACTCGTCAACAGCATTGAGCGGTAATCCACGAGTCCAGCATGGGCAGTTCCACCTTCAGTGTGTCATACTGTAGCATTCTTGGGAGCATTGTTTTGCTGTGCTACGAAGTGCGAAGCTACAGAACATTTCGCAAGGATTTGCTCTTCCTTAGCCCTATGAAACTTGATCATTGCTAAAGCTCCTCTATGTTTGGTGCTTCTTGTCACACGATTTCCTCTCTCTGCCTTGGTTGAAGGCAGTGTAGGTGGTGATCTGGAGGGAAGTACTACCTGCCCGTTGCGGATCCCAACACAACAAAATGACCTGTCGTCGAAAACATCTGGGCCATGCAGCCATGCCTTGCGGACGAAATAATGATGGGGGCACGAGGCAATCAAGGGCATCCAGCTTATCCAGGTCGCAGAGTCGGGTACCTCAAACCGTTGCTTGGAGCCGGGATTCTGATGGATTTTGTAGTTCGTGGATTACTTGCTAGTATAACCTTTAACCTTCAACATCCTTCAACTATAAGCTGCAACCAATCGAGCTCTTGGGCATTGCTCATGTTTTATTGCCTCAAATCACACCTCAGCAGCCTGGCTTACCTTGAAGCGTTGCCATAGGAGTCGGCAGCGACATTAGCCGCGACATTAGCCGCGACATTCGCCAAGTAGCAAAACGAGAGCATCGACAATCCGGGGACCGCGGACAGGATGCTCTCGGTCAGCAGTTCCTTAGCAGAAAGCGCAGTCGAGTGGAGCCGTCTACCAGGGGGCAATAACCTTGGTCCTAGGGCTCATGTAAATCAGGCATTCATAGGAATATGATAATGACATTCATTCATTTTGATTCTGTCTTCACTTGTACCTCATGCCTCCCTTCCTAAACACTGGCAATGGCCACCACACTCGTTAAGCCATGGCTAACATCATATAACATATATATTCATAGATTTTCATTGGAGCTGAGTACCGGACCACACAAGCAGCCTGGATGACCGCATTGGAGTCACACAAATATGGTCCACCGGCTGCAGCGCACCATGACAGAATGGATGGATCTTCACTGACGTTCGAGACCGCTCCAAACATGTAGGGCCTCCAGTGCATGGATAGGCATCAAGGTGGGATTCTACAACAGCCACACTAGATTCAATATGGTTGGGTCTGAAATGGGAAATATCGTGCAACCCCGAAATGACCATTTTGAATCATTTTGATAAGAAAATGATGATTAACATTGATTAACCAGTGGATTTGGGGTCAAACAAACCCATACTCTGAGGTTGCCACATGGCGTCCAAAGGATCCACATTTACCATCAGAAACGGTGAGTTGCTGATCACTTCGGAATACTGTTTCTGGACTGCGAAGAGAATCGTAGCCTCGGAAGTCAGCAGATTTGGAGGAGGCGTTTGTTTTTCTGGTTTTCTCTGGTTCAATGGATTTGAATGATGTAGGTAATCTACATTTGCACCTTCTTCGCAAACAAAAAGAAGCAATGGCTTACCCCAACTTCACAAGAATGGGCAAGAATGGGCAAGAACGGGCTCCAACGGCCGGCTTTTTCTTAGCTCCCCAGTTTTTTCTCAGCTCAGCGGCATATCCTATGAGGGGCAGGTGGAGGAAGTACCAGAGCGCATTGAGTTTGCCATTCTCAAAGACCACCTTCTTAGGGACCTGGAGATTTATCAGCTGGCGACTGAGATCTGCAGCACAAAAGCGGTAATGAATGAAACATGTAGACATCAGACAGACAGATAGACAGATAGACAGATACACAGATAGACAGATAGACAGATAGACAGACAGACAGATAGATAGATAGAGAGAGAGAGAGATTGAGAGATTGAGAGATAGATAGATAGATAGATAGATAGATAGATAGATAGATAGATAGATTGATAGATTGATAGATTGATAGATTGATAGATTGATAGATTGATAGATTGATAGATTGATAGATTGATAGATTGATAGATTGATAGATTGATAGATTGATAGATTGATAGATAGATAGATAGATATAGATAGATAGAGAGAGAGATAGAGAGATAGAGAGATAGATAGAGAGATAGAGAGATAAAGAGATAGAGATATAGTAGAGTTATATATATACAGATATAGATATAGATATAGGACACAGAGGTAGCAAGAATCCTACCTGTGGATTACTTCAAGACTGAACATGAGAGCCCTGACAGCTTCTGCCTCTTCACACTTTCCTACAGGGACCCATTTGAACATTGTCATGAAACTTGGCTCAATCTTCTGCCAACATGTTGGGCTTTGGCATAGCTATGGTGCACTTCACCCAAGTCCCCCGCTGTGAGTTTCGGCAAGAACGAGTGCCACGCCATTCAGGGAACATTGCACCACTCATTCGCAGCTTGGCAAACACTGGATTTTCAGAGGAAGATTTGGTTTGAGCTTATGTCACTGTGGATTCTAAATAATATGGGTTTGAAAATAAGGTAATATCCAAAACGATTAGCATTTCCGGGTATACCCCATGTTCAAATCCATGTTCTGCATTTGTCTCCTTTATCTTGGCTTTGACGCCTTGAGGCTTTGAGAAGAGCGGTACCCCACGTGAACCCGTGCATTACATGAATACGCAACCTCGATATACTTCAATGTCAAGTGATGCCTGGCTACCCAACTCTTGGGCATGCATCTTTGACCATACCCAACTGAGAACAAAGAACCAAGAGTGAAATCACTCTTGACCGAGAAAAAAGGATAAAACAACTGGAGCACATGGCAACGACATTGTTTCTTGGCACAGTCAATCAATCTATACATGTTTAAAAATGTTTAAAAGACCAGAAAAAATGATGACTTCTGAATCCACCTGAGGCTTACACCACCAGAATCGATGGCACACCATGATCTTGCTGGGCCTCAGAACGTCCAGCTGTGATTGGAGATGGCACAGCGCGCCAAAATGGACATCACAGCTGTGCTTCCAAAAATATGGACACCCCAAACCAGTCCAAACCATTCCCCAGTCCAGTTGCGACATGGGTAACCGGGCTGATTTTACATAGTGACTTGGTTACCTATCTGACAGGGAACTGGAAGATGAGTGATTAGATGCCCCATTGAAATGATCGATTTCCGATGATTTGAACATCCAGCTTCGGCACGTTTTGCATCAGAAGTGCGGTACCTCAACCGTCAGACCCTGCGTTTTGCAGGGGGTGCTTTAATTTCGAGGATCCTTTGCTGTTGACATATGAACTGTGCGATGTTTGAGACTGGATTGTAGCTTTGATCATCCCTCTAACGGTGTTGGAACCTTGCGGAGACAAGATCGTGTTTACCTAAGAGGCTAAGACATCCTAAGACCATCACGGGTGTTGGAATTCATCTAAATGCCTCTGCGGATGCGTTGCTGCTTCTGCCCTAGATGTTATGAATTGTTATGACATGAAAGCGCATAGCTACTGGCCTGAGATTCATTTGGGCTTTGTCACTAGCGAGGCAGAGAAGCAACTTTGATTGCGACGACTCAGAGCTTGGCATAGTCCCATAGTGAAGCCATAGAGCCCATTCCGAAACAGCTCAGAGCGGCGGAGCTGCGGCTCACTTTCGACTCACTTTCGACTGTCAACATAGGACACAGCCTGATCCAGGCTTGCACGGAACTGCCCCAGCTTGGACATGTCGGTGCGCATGGCAAAGACCTCCTGCGCCAACTTTTTGTTTGATTCCATCTGAGCTTTGTTTTGATTCTTGCTATCCTTCAAATCTGACTCCAGGTTCAAGTGTATCGTCCGCAATTCTTCTCCTTTTCGCCTCAAGGTTTCTGCTTCTGTCTTCAAATGATCCAATCGCCTTTCCAATTCACGTACCTTTCGCTCACTGGCAATCTGTACCATCTCACAGCCTTTTCGGATGGCTTCTTGCCAATCTTCAGAGCGCACCACCGTGTCGGGGTTTTCCCATTCACCCAGCTTGCCGCGGCTGGCCATGGCGGCCAGGTCGGGTCCAGCCCAGGAAACGAAGGACTTGCAGAGCCACCAAAGGGCCAGGGCCAGACTTGAAGCAATCAGGATTGTTACACTGTTACAGATCTTTTTTGAAACCAAATTAATTTGGGATTAAGCCACTATACCATATCTATACAAGTACAGTACATCCAGGTACAGCTTTTCTGCTTGTTGAAATTTTCGACTGGGCCATTGGGTCCACGAGCCAAATCCATGAGCTCATGGGCCAGCGTCACTCGGCCAGAGACATTGGCTGAGAGAAATGTCGCCACCTGGGCGACACTAACATCTTACTCTGGGCGCGCGCTGTTGGTCTGATCTGAAATGTGTGCAGTGTGACTTGACATACCCATCTGTACAAATGATGGACATCATTGACATCATATCTTAAATTGTTTTCAACATATTTACATTTACTCCAAAGTTGACCACCAGTATCCAAGGCTTGGTGCGGCCGCCTGCTCCGCAGTGTCATGCTTGTTGCAGAAAACTCCCACTGTGGAGGCTTTGCCTGGAGAAGACACACTGTCTCTGGCTACACTTGCGAACAATATCAATGTGTCAAAAGGCCTTTGGAAACAGAAACTTTCGGCACCTTCAAGTCGCTTTGCCAATGCTTGCAATGCGACAAGGAGTCTTTGCTGCCTCAATTGGTCGGTTGAATCAAAGTTTGCATCTCATGATGAAAACGCATTCGTTTCCGAAAAAGAAATTGTAGACATTCAAAGTTGACTAACGTGCAAAACGTTGCTGCCAAACATGCCACTCCTTTCAGAGCCTGTGATGCAGTGCAGAACTTGCAGAACACGCAATATTTTTCGCTCTTGTCACTGTCCCAATCTGGGGGCGGCTTTTAGCCTTCTTGGATATGGGTTTCCTTTCCGCACATCTTTTCAGTGCACTTGAAGTGTGCGTACTGCTTCGAGAGCCGCCTCAGGTACGAGCCGTTCTGGGGGGCTTGAGCTGAATACCCTGTCTAACATGGTTGAGAAATCCCCTCGGCCCAAAAACAACATGGAAAATCATCCAATAGCGCTTGCGGATGGCTCACCATCGAGCCATTGAGGCATCCTGCGTCCTGAGGTGTCCTAAGGATCCTAAGGCGTGGACGCTGCGCGGCCACTTCCAGCCCTTCCAGTATTGACAAAAGCTTTCCCACCGCATTCAGGGCACACGGCCATATGTCCACCTCGCCAGCGCCATCAAAGTGCTGAAAACTGTTGTGTTACGATGGGCCACCACGGAGGCCAAAGTGGCTTATTTCAACCCATGGGAACCAGTTGAAACCAGTTGAAACTTGCAAAGAATCTCAGTTGCCTAGCTACTAACAGGTCTTCTTTTAAAGTGAAAATGAAAGGACCATTGACCTGCTAACCCAGTGCTTAAGATATATCTTTTGTGTCAACCCATTTAAGTATACCTTTACCAGGCGGAAAACCTGTTGGGCCAGTGCAGCTGAGACACTCGGCACTTTTGCTTCTCTCAAGGATTCCTGGATCCATTGCTGTCGTTTTTTTTGCAGTTCGGATCCAGCCCAGTCGCGCGGGTCCTCCGCCGAGTACCAAGGCATAGGGGATCTGAAAGCATCGCAGTTGAAGGCTCGATCTCTTAGTAAGCCCTGAAGTTATTATTACTGTTACCCTCTTCACCATTCGTAATAGCTAAACCATCTATAAATGGGTCAGGTTCAATCCCCTTGCCGCGGCAGTTTACGCGGAAGGCCTGCGCTGCAAAGGACTGAGCCCCAGCAGGACCAGCACTGAGGATGGCATTCCGTAGCTCCTGGGATATCTGGAAGGAGATAGTGATCCCAGGGATCCCCACCGTTCCATCAATCTTCCATATCGGGGATTCATATCCAAAAAACGACAAGGGTTAGGTTCCCCAAATTTTGACTCATGGAGTATCGAAGGGATCCTCCATATCTTTAGACAAAAGCAGCTGAAGTCCTCGTTGCTTTTCAACGCGGCAGCTAGGGCTATCAGTCGGTGCCGTGAACCATCTGCCAGACAGGCCTTGCAGTCTGCTAGATCTGTGTGCTTAAAAAAGTCCGGAGATTGTGAAAATGCCATCATCAAACCATGGTGAAAAGGAGACTTTTGGTGAAAGCATCAACTGCGGGATCTTCATGGTCTGAAAATAGGTGGCCATTTGGGAGGAATACTCTCTGGTAATTTAGCATTGCTATTGAAAATTGCCATAGAAATAGTTGGTTTACCCATTAAAAATCAGAACGGCTATTGCGATTTTCCACTGTTTTTTGCATGTTTACCAGAGGAATTCCCCTTTTTTTTGCCGGCCTTGGCCAGGGCCACTGAGGTCTCCTCCACTGAGGGATCATCCCCCAGAAGGCCACAGAGCAGAGCAGCGGCCTCTGCTGCTCGAATCACCCAACAAAAAACAGTAATTGGAGTATTTTACTATTATAATAGTAACTATATAGTAATATAATAGTAACTATATTCCTATATTTATAGTATTTGACTATAGTAAAAATAGTAAATATAATAGTAAACTATAGTTTTAAAAAAAAGTATTGACTATTATAGTTCCTAACAGTTCCTAACAGTATTGAATTGTATTTAACCCAATATAACTATTACTAGATGTCCACTTACTGTTGTTATTACTATTGTTCGTTGTTTTTATTATTACTGTGATTAGTTGTTATTGTGAGTATTACTGTCATTCTTTGCTCTTGTTATTATTACTGTTATTATTTGGTGTTTTTCTTTATTATGTTACTAGTGTTTTTTATCATGATTATTACTTGTTATATTGCATATCATATACATATTAATCATATTATATATACACACATATATTACTCCATTTCCACTTGATGTGTGTTTCACCCCTTTGCTGATGACTTCTTGAACCATAGCCTGCTTGCAAGACCAAGAGTGTCCAAGTATCCACAACCCCGCAGCACTCCCGCTGCCTTGCTGATTTGTCCATCCTGTGGTCCTGGCAAAGCCGCTTGCAAGTTTCCCAACACTGTCATGCGAGGTGAGAGAGGACGAAAAAATCTAGCATGTTCCGAATGATTGAGACCCTTCAATTGGCCTGTGTTTTTGACGCTTTGAGCAACAAGACATTTAGTCAATTTAGTAATGTTCTTCTCTTAAACCACTGAACCTTTGGTGGTTTATATACCTCACTCGTACTAGGTACAAGGTACGTTCAGGAATGTTGATTTTGAACACAAAATGTTAATATTTTTTTGTTGTTGTTGGCTTGTAACAGTGTTTTGTTTGCTTGTACATGATGAAAGTAACTTTGTCAGCGCTATCACACAAAGCTAGACATGCACTATATAGTTGTTGAAGATGGATTAAATTGAATCGACCCCTCCAACAACTCTTCAAATAGTTTTGACGGTTGTCGCAAGACACTATGGGTTTGCCCACCCCCAAATCATGGTTTATCCTCATCGTCCCTATCGAAAATGCGAATGAATATTCCGCATCTAACTGGCAAACCAGTTTGATATATCTCTGGGTTATTTCACATCCAATGGCCCAATGGCCCAATGGCCCTACAACATGACATCCCCGGGTCCCATGGAATTCCGGGTGAAATCCCCGGGTCCTCCATTGCTGTTCGACACCTCCGGTCGACTGCCAGGTTTCCGGCGACGCAAGCGACGAACAGCGTCCACCTTCTCCTCCTGGAACATTGTGTGTGTGTATGTAATATAATATGTATATATAGATATATATATATATAGATATATCTATCTATCTATCTATCTATCTATCTATCTATCTATATATCTATCTATCTATCTATCTATCTATCTGTTGTAATATAATATAATATAATACAATATAATATAATATAATATAATATCATATAATATAATATATATATATATGTCTGTGCGTGTAATTTATGTGTGTATACATAGCATATCATTGTTGTTCTTACATGAATATGTATGATTATATGTGTATATTATACATACACATACTATAGTTACATAAAGTATCTTGAAATTGCACATACATATAGTCCAATTAAAGGTTCAGCTATATGACAGCGCCACGTCCTCCGCTTTGCTGCTTCGTCTGGCAAGCCCGAGCCTGACAGCCATGCTCCGCTTCGGAGAAAACATGGTTGACTTCAGCCCACCTGGTCCTCCGCACTTCAGGTGGCTCAGAGGGCCGCAGCACTGCCCATGCCAGTTGTACACTGCCAGAGTGGGTGCCTCCAAATTAGGCACTGGAGATGAGCCGGGGTCCCACAAGCAGATTGCAGTCTGTCAACGTGAATCTGTAGTCACTGTAGTCCAGGAATTGCAGTGTAGGACATTTAGGACATGTAGGACCTGTAGGACTCAACTGTTTGATTCATACCATCCGCAAGCAGTGATTTGGTGGTAGAAATTCAGGAACTGTTTGATTCTTATGGAAGTCTTATGGATCCTTGTCACCTCCTTACCATTCCTTATCACGTCCTGCGGATGCCACCTGCTTTCGCCAGCTCATCACCGAGCTGTTCCGCCTTCATCTTGATTCTGGACAGCGCCTTAGACGGTGAAGCTGGCAGAGGTTTGGAAGTGCCGAAACTGCTCAAAGTTTCCGAAGAGTTTCCAATGTTTTCTGGGAAAACCATGTGTTTTCCATATCTATGTTAATTTACCAAAGTTGATCATGTGGAGAATTCCCCACAACTCACATCAGCTCCTCAACTCACAGCCACGCAGCCACGCAGCAGCTTGGACGCTGACGACTTCATGCTCTTCCTCTGCCGACTTCACACGTTGACGCTTTCCTCCAGCTCGAGGTCTCTCCAGCCGTGCATCTGGCACGTTGGCTTGTGGCGCTTGAGCTGCTACCTGAGGGCAGGGATGTGAGATCCATGCCTCCTGGTGCCTCCCTGGTGCCTCCCTGGTGACCTGCGAATTCTCAGCATCGCTGTCATCCAGCTCTATGCCAACATGTCCTGTCCACAGGTATCGAAGCACGCTACTGCTTCACGGTTTTTTTTCCACGGGACAAAATGTGTTTGTATAATTTTGTATATAGCCACAAGTATGGAGATTGTCCCAAGGGTGTTATACCAATATAGTATAATTCCATTAATACCTATAGTTATACGAACTTATACCCAAAGCATCCCAAAGCCACAACCCCAACTGCACCATCGCCACACCAGGACTGAAGCTGAGCTCGCCTGGCCGAAGGGATCCAGCAAACATCACCTGGCATTACAGTCGATCCCAACAGTGTCCACCAAACAGCACCCATTTTGCGTCATCGGATGACGCGCCTTCCAAAGAATGGCAAGACTGGCAGTGCATCAGCAACAAGCTTGCGAAAATTCTGAAGGTATGGAATCTGTGGGAGTCGAACGGAATCTTAGAGTCCCCCAAAACATCCAAAACCACTGCTTTGCACGTTGAAATTGACTGGGTGATTTGGGTGATTTGGGGGTCCCGAAAGCCTCAAGTGGAAAAATGATGAAAAATGCGTGGGTCATCTGCTGATGTTTGTCTCTCCCTCGTCTTGGGCCAACAAAAATCGCACCCTGTGCAGTGAATTGCTGCAGGATCAGCACAGCCCATCAACGCACCCATGGCATTTTCGTCAGTATCAAGGGGTGTGTAAGGCTGCCACTTTGCAAGCGCATTCATCATCTGTCAATGGCTCAAGTGCTGTTCTTGTAGCAGGACAAAACAGCTTCAAAGGCATTTAAAGGCTTGAATCCGGGCTGAGTTCCAACATCAACTCACACTCAATGCAGCACAGACCAGGCCTCAAAGCCCTGATTCACGAAGCGAGATTCGAGGTAAAAGCCTCGCATTTCACAAGATCTCAGCAACAAAGGGTTCCAGCGCCATCCACACTGACACTTCGGCCCTGGCTTTTGGCATTGCCCGGACACTCGGAGGTTGCATAGACCATGACAGTCTCATTCCGCAAATGCCTCTCTCTTCGTGGCTCAAATCACCAAATCAGAACCGCAAACTTCACTGCCAGGACCAGGTCTGCCACCTTCTTGCTATTTCATCAGTCCTCTGTGGCCAACTCGTGCTGAAGAATGCTAGCCTGGGAGGTAGATGATCTGTATACAGTAGCAAATACTAATAGACTTACTAATAGATACTAAACTAGCTTGATCCCCAGGCATACATATCTTATCACATCAAATTTCACTCAAGAAGAAGTCCGACATTTCCAAGCCCATTGAAGCTGTCAAATTAGAATCTGTTGGCTTTCACCGCTTTCTCCAATGTCATCGTGTGTTGTAAGGTCAATGTTTAGGAACCGGCACGCGGTTCTTCGGCATGAAGTCCAAGACAGTCCGAGCCTATCACATGAAACTCCACCAACACTCGGCACCATGACAGAGGCAGCACTCGCCACTCAGCGGCCTGGGTGCCTTCGTCGTCCCCATCCTTGATGACGTCGTCGGCGTCATCGAAAATGATGAGAACATCCTGCAGAATGTACAAACAAAGAGTGCTCCCCATGTACAAACAAGATCAAGATCGCCCTTGTCCTGATCCTTGCAACACTCTTCGCTTCCGCTCTTTTCTCTCCGCTCTTTGCTGGACTTGAAATGTTTGCAGGCTTTTCCTTTAAAATAGGCCTGGCTTTTATGTACTATGAGGTCATTCGGAGAGCTTTTAGGCTCATAGACCTCGCTACAAAATCAAACAAATTCATCGATGTTTATCGTCTTCACTTCTCAAAGAAGTACGGAGTGGCTGCTTCATCATAACCTCCTCTTTTAATGATTTCCACCCAGTATCCGTCAGGATCGCGGGCAAAGGCAAGACCTGGCCCAAAGCGCTCATCTTTTTGAACGTGTCAACATCCATGTTTGAGTTCAACAAATTGTAAGACAGAGAGAAATTATGAAAAAGTCGTGTTCAGGCCTTTCATGGACCCTCCATCTGGTGCTTTCTGCATGGCATAGCCTGCTTCCTCCAGCTCTTTGCAAGTCTCGTAGACCTCGGGAGGATCAAAAGCACACTTCTGAAGAGATGCAAAGTCCCAACATGCGCTCAACATACTCCCAACATGCGCCCTACAAAGGCCCAACATAGAACATATGTGGTTTTATTTATATTTATATTAGAACTCCGGAGCTAACACTCCGGTGCGGGCGGTTGTCGTCGCGAAGCGACCAGAATATATAGCAAAAAGAACATATATAATATAATATAATATAATATGATATGATATATATATATATAATATAATATAAGATCATATATATATATATACATATATATACACATGATATATTATATCATATGAATCATATGTTTATTTTCTGCATGGAAGGGTGTGTGTGTGCGTGTGGCTATCAATTGGCCAAGTGACATCATCCACTAAGAAACCCAGATGTCCAAATCCTTTCCTGTCAGCCTCGTTGCCGCTGTAATACTGAAATTTCTCGTCATTTTCAGTGCCGTGATTGTGCGTAAGCTCCAACACGGGTCGGTCACTTGGAAACTCAGTGGCTCCCTCGGGCATCGTGCCCAAAAAGTACAGGGAGAACTTCGCGTCAGGGAAGTCTCTGTGGCTCAGGAGGGTCATTCCAAGGTGTTTGGTGTAAAACTCCAAGGATTTCTTCGGATCCTCCAAGGCAACACAAGTTGGAAGCAGGAACTTCATAGGTTTAGCAAGAGTTGAACTTTCAATTCTGTCAGGCATCAACATCACTCAGTATTTGCTGAGCAGTTGGTGCAGTTTTTCGTCGAAAAATGTCGACCGACCAAATCTCAAAGCATCTCCCGTTCCGCCGTTCCGTTCCTTGATCCGAAGCATGGTCTGCGCCAAGGTGTGTCGACCCTTCTGTCCACCTCGGATGATCTCCACCCAGTAGCCATCGGGATCCAAAGCAAAGGCCAAACCTTTCATGCGGCCTTCATTGGGCTTCTTCCTTAGGCGGCTGGGACCCTCCATTTGGCTTTGTCCAAAAGCTGAGCTACCCCTTTCATTCCAACAAGTGTTATATCTTCCATTGAAATGGTTCAAAATGATTCAAAACATTGTCATTTTTCATTATTTTTCATTAATCCAATGGCTTTTCTGGTGAATCCATGTGAATCCAACCCCTCCAGCCATTCATTTTCTTTCAGGCTAGGCTCTGAAACTTCACCCCCGCCGTGTCCAGCTCGTTGCAGGTCTCTTCCACGTCATGAACTGAGAAGGCCACATGACCGAAGCCGTCCCGCCTGGCACTGGAAAATCTCCAGCGGAAACGATGCCTTTGGGCAGAACAAAACGGGGTCCCAATAAAATGTCCCATCCAATTTCGGGGCTGGGAAAAGTAGCCCCAAGATGCCCCAAGTATAGGACGTTCCTTGCATAGCGGCTATGGACTAAAACACATTTGAAATGTATTGAAACCCTGGGTTTTCATACCAAGAATATTAAAAAACAGCTTGCAAAAGGATGTGCATTCGCCCTTTCAGAATGGTATTAAATTAAAGCTTTTGACATGTGTTTTCGTCCCATTTCCATTTCTGTCCCTGGGGCCCGTATCATGGCCGTGCCAAATCCCTCCAAATCCGATGTCAAACAATGCGCACAGCCTGGCCTGTCTCCTTCCTGTGGCAGATTCCCTGGGTGGTACTTTGGCCCTTCCTCTTTTTCGGTGCCATAGTTGTGCGTCAGCTCCTCAGTGCGGCTGACCACGATCGACCGCTGATGTTCACCTACCACTGACCCATTGTTGGTGAGATTGAGCTTTGGGTTTTGACCCAGCTCCATTTTCATGGGTCTTCTGACGTCTGGCAATACTAAGGACACGTCCAAAGTTGTTCCTGGGAAGTTCCAGAGGTATCGATGGGCTTCCACGCTTCCAGGCTCTGGTGTCTTTTCTTCTTCCGGAACCGAGGCGAGAAAGTACAACGAAAATGACATGCTCTCAAAGTCCAGTTTATCAAGCAACCTCAGCGAGCTACACAAACCTTTCAAACATATTCAAACTAAACCGCTTTTAGCAAGTAATTACCACACTTTATAGGGAAAAAAACATCCCCCAATCTTAAACACCCTGCAGAAACCATAGTTTGGTAGGGGATTTACACATATTCGGGGCCACTTAGGTTGTGTTTGATATATGAGGTGGATGGGATTAATGATAATCATAAGAATCATAAGCTGAGAAGCCTCATTCCCATCTTGTTTTTGTAAAACTCCAGTGACTTCTCGGGATCTTTGATTCTCAACATACTCTGTTGCCAGGTCGGTTTCGCTCGCCGCGCAACACCTGCAACACCTGCAACGGCAGCACCAACCTGGAGCCGTTGCGCGCCGTGGCCAAGTTAGGGTCATTCGGGTAAACCCCGGGTAAACCGGTAAACCGTTTTGGACAAAACCATGAAGAATTCTGCAACACCGTGCACCATGAGGACTCAAATTTTGGCCAGAATTCTGCATTCTATCTGACACTTCGCATGAGGTGCCGAGTTTTGGGCAATTTTACGCGAATAAAAACAGTCACGCCCAGGATGGCGTTGGAATCCTACATGTAGACGGTCAGCAAATTGGTGGAGTATCAATCTAATCATAAAATCATTGGTGGGGTATCAAGCTCATTAGTCAGTTCACCACTTTGAACCAGGAGGTCGACCCAGACATTCGCGTCCGCAAGGGCCGCAAGGGCGTTTTTTGTGGCGTCGAAAATTTTGCCCATCTGATCCGTGGCACGGACGTCCCTGCAGGAGCAGCCAGCATCCTCAAAAATGGCCACGCTGCCGAGGCGCAACGAAAGGTCTACAAAAGCGTCCCTGAGCCGAAATGGCACATGGAAATCCAGAGGCACACTGCGCATGCAATGCTGATTGTCATATCCAGACCTTCCATGCCTGCAGAAAGATAACTGTGGATCAGTTTGCCATGGCTTCATTTATACAGTAACTCCAGTCAAGATAGTAAAGCTATGTCGTCACATAGAACCAAAATAAAACAAGGATCCCCCTGGGATCCGCTTGGGATCCTGAAAACTGCCACCCTCCCACTCCATCCACTCCTGGTTCAGTGCTGCCAAATCCTCATCTTTCCCCAATGCCCAGGATTGACATTGGAGCAGCCAGGGAGTAAGCACCAAAACACCTGCCTCGGCCATGGTCAGATCATCTGCAATGTACCCAATTTTTTTTCTTTAAAAATTATAGGTACATATAGGTACCCAAAATCTGATGTTTGAACTTTTGAAACTGCAATTTTGGTGGTATCCCCCCCATTTTTTGCGTCTGGGTGGATGTTTCAAGTCCCAACTTAAACCACTCGGTTGAGGATGTATAACAGTGGTTGAGAGTGGCATTCCCTCCATCGCACAAGGATTGAGTTGAGAAACATCACATTGCGACTATGCTGCAATGCGAATTGACATGTGGGCGAATTGGCTATTCTGCGACCTGCTTGATCAGCCAAGCGTCTCTCGAGAGTTCGTTCCGCTGAGCTGTCATGTCTTCATCTCCTGGAACTGGTGGGTTGATTGAACAGCCAACTGGACACCGGATCTGACCCCAAAAAAGGTGCCAGTGCCTAGACAACTTCTTTCCGGAAGAGAAAATAGAGAAATGTGGCTGGAAACCATGCTTTGCCATTGAAATCTAGGTTCCTGTAAGCCTTCATATGATCAAGTATATGATAATTCTCAATGATAATACTCATAAAAATTCATCTAGATGTAGTTGCACATATGGGGCCTCCAGCCACATGGACTCTTCCCGCTGTGGCCAATGGCTTGAGGTCCTGCAGCACCTGCGCTGCAAAGGCAGCTGGGAATCAGGGGGTCATGGGATTTATTATGGGATGATATGGTTATTATGGGCTTAACGATGGGATTCTATGATTTTTCTGATTTCTATGGGATTGGGATTAATGATGGGCTTACTTCTGAGATTAAAGAAGGGAGAAAAACTCGAATATCTCAAATGGAGTTGGGATATGGTTGATTGTGTTTTCCGGAAGTCTGACCCCCCACTGCAAAAATAATCCTTTTAGACTTTCAGATCAAATGGCATAAAGATGTATCTATGATCAGCATAGGTGTTTCGCCAGCAAATTGGCACTGTTGGAGGCCCTCTGAATATGGGGACGCATCGTGCCAAAGCAGACATGTCGATTCCAGCGTTTTGAACCTCAAGACGCTGCGGCGCTAAGAGTGAAATCTGCGGGAAGCATCGCACATCGCACTGCAGCGGCGAGGAAGTGGCATTGAAGCAAAAAAGTCCCTGGCGTCGCGAAGGCTTGCATTGAAAACGGCAGCCAAATGTGCAAAAACTACAAAGGCTCTTCGAAAAGGCTGTAGCGAAGAGCCTCGATGCCAGGAAATGCTGATTGGAACTTGGGAATTGCTTGGAAACTACTTCCAGCAAGAGACACCCAAATCACTCTTTGCCATCCGACAAGTAGAGCTGTACACGCCATTCTTGTAGACTCGGAAACTGGGCTGATCTCCATTTGATACATCTGCAATGATAATACCACCATTGCCAGCAGCTCTGTATGCTTTGCGGCCGGTTCCAGAGCTGTCATACCACCACATTGAAAACTTGTTGTTGCCCAAGTCCTCTAGCTTCAATTTGGTGTAGCCCTGATTGCCGTTCACCTTGCAGTAGGCCACACTCATGCTGGATGTGCCACATGTCACCGAAGTTCCCTTGTGGTTGCGACGACGGTGGCCATCATTGTATTTCGCAATGAGGCTGCAGTAACCATTGCCATCATCCTGGAAAATCCACTTGTCCCTGGTCGATTCAGTGCATTTGCTCGAATCAATTTGTTCTGTCGCAGCTCCCGTATTGAGGCCCTCAACGCAGTAGTCAATGGAACCCGTCACATCCCAACCAATTGAATAGTCATCCGTAGTTGATCCACAGTCAACAGTGGTTGTTGTGGTTGTCGTCCTACGGCGGCTGCGGCGCCTGCGGTTCTTGCCAGCAATGGCAGATTCCAACTCGAGCTCTGCTGCATGTCGAGCATGCGCCCGCTTCAGAAGGGATTCTTCATGGTCCAACACAGCCTCAACGACCTCTTCATGCTCTTGATGTTCTTCCTCGTCAGCATCTTCCACAGAATCTTCCAAGGACTCAAGTTCTTCACGTTCCTCGTGTTCCTCGTGGTTCAGCTCAGTGAGCTGAGTCCCATCAGCAGTTTTGCCTGTGCGGTTGGCTCCAGCTTGGAGTAGGGCGGCACTTGGCTTGGCTGTCACGGTCTCAGAGCAAGTGCCAGACTCTTCTGAGTGAACCAGCACCAAGCAATGCACCAAGCAAGCCAGGTGCAAGCCCAATCGAAGAGGGGCGTTCATGATGAAAGGAGTAAGATGTCAGGGGAAGGTAAGCGAATGCCGAGGCAGTCTTGAGTAGCAAAATTGCAGCACCAAAACTTTCCAGTCGCCTTCATTCATTTCAAGCATCACAATGTCACTCAACATTTGCACCAGTCTGATTACACAAATGCCGCTGAAACACAACGGTTCACAACCATCACAACCGCACCTGCTGCACTATTTCGGAGGTAGGGACAAGGATCACACCATCTGGAGGTCGCTGTCGCCATTCTTGCCAGGCACTTTGCCGCCACAAGTCTGGCTGCTCGTGCCGTGCACCTTGCTGGAATCATTCCTTATCATAGACTAAAGGATGTTAAAGCTACAAAAGTGATCCAAAGCACAAAAAGGAGCTGGAGACGTCTGCACAGAGAGGTTTACATAGTACAGTATGACGAGATGTAGAATAACTAGTCTGAAACGCAGCATGGCAAGCTATTTTCATTCCCCACCTGCCAGGTGAGGGTTGTTAGATTTTATGTCAGTTGCCTCCTCCTCCTCCTTCTCCTCCTTCTCCTCCTCCTTCTCCTCCTCCTCCTCCGCCTCCTCCTGCCTCGTCCTCCTCTCCTCCTCCTCCTCGTCCTCCTCGTCGTCCTCGTCGTCCTCGTCGTCCTCGTCGTCCTTGCTCAACTGCGCCCCGCGATCCACAGTGTTCTCTGCCGGACCTCAACCACGACCATCCACGCCCAGTGTTCCCTGCCGGACCTCAACCACGACCAGCCACGCCCAGTGTTCCCTGCCGGACCTCAACCACGACCATCCACGCCCAGTGTTCCCTGCCGGACCTCAACCACGACCATCCACGCCCAGTGTTCCCTGCCGGACCTCAACCACGAGTATCCACGCCAAGTGTTCCCTGCCGGACCTCATGTAGGAAGATATGGGACAAAGAATGTGCAGAAGAAAGTTAGAAAGAATGTCAGAAAGATATGCCAGAAGATATGCCAGAAGATATGCCAGATAGAATGCCAGATAATATGCCAGAAGATATGCCAGATAGAATGCCAGAAGATTTGCCAGATAGAATGCCAGAAAATATGCCAGAAGATATGCCAGATAGATATGTCAGAAGATATGCCAGAAGATATGCCAGAAGATATGCCAGAAGATATGTCCAGAATATATGCCAGAAGATATGTCAGATAGAATGCCAGAAGATATGTCAGAATATATGCCAGAAGATATGCCAGATAGAATGCCAGAAGATATGTCAGATAGAGTGCCAGAAGATATGCCAGATAGAATGCCAGAAGATTTGCCAGATAGAATGCCAGAAGATATGCCAGAAGATATGCCAGATCATATGCCAGAAGATATGCCAGATAGAATGTCAAATAGAATGTCAGAAGATATGTCAGATAGAATGCCAGAAGATTTGCCAGTAAGAAAATGTATAAATGTCATGGTGGGGATCACACGAAGTAAAGTAATTTGCAATGTGTTTTTGTGCTGGCCTTGCAGGGCCGCTGCACGGATAAGAAGTGGCACAGCATACGCCAAAGTCTTGCCACAACCATGCTCCGCAATTGCAACAACATCTCTATTCGTCCTGGCCAATAAGGTTGGCATCATCTGAACGTAAAAGCACCACGGCAATGCCGCCATGGCAGCAAGGGTCGGGCAAATCTTTGCATTGAAATTCAGATTTATGCTATTTATGCTCACAAATGACATGAGCTGGATATCTGCAGCTCATTTCAGAGATGTCAAATACGCAGATACACAATACAGGTTTGTTCATGTTCTGTCATGTTTGTAGTCTTCAATATCTCTACCTATGTCTACGTGTCTATGACAGTATATAATTATATTTATATTATATTATAATTATGTATATATATATATATTATATACAATTATATAATATACATACGTATTAAATATATATCGTCCATGTGCAAAATCGACCTGCAAGACCTCAACGGTCCTTAGCACCGGCCAGACCACTGCTTGAAGCGCTGTCGGCTCGGGAAGCAGCGTCGCCATCCACTTTGGAATGCACGCTTCATGGAGGGACCAGGTGGCACACGGCAGCCTGCATCCCCCGTCCTTCGTCACAGGATGCTTCAGAAAATCAAAGGAAAACAATGGGAAATCCCTACAAAAACATTTAAAAAAAAAAAAAACACTTTTCGTGGTCGGCTTTATTTGAAGCGATCTTGGTTGTGAGTAAATCGACTGTTGATTTTTTAAACTGCGTTCCGATAGTCACGCATAGAAAGCAGTCCTCTAGCACTGAAACACCATGTCGCAAAAGTCTCTCATCCACCTCAGCAGCAATGACAGGAACGCTTTTTTCCCCTCTGAATCCTAGACTTCAAGCAGCAATGTCAATCGACAAATCTCACCTCCCAAGAGCGGACCTCCTGCACTTCGCTCTCAAACTGCAGGTTCGGATGCTCGACGTAGCCTTCAAATCGAGATTTGCTCCTGCGCACAACTGATCAGATTAAATAGTCTAATTATAATTATAATTGATGTTTGGTTTGCTGGATACATTGATACATTGTGATGATTTCATATTCCACAAACTCCGAATGATTCCGTCACATCTTCTGACCATTGCCGTCGCTGGAAGCACCATTTCGGCGTAGAGCTAGGCAAGGCTCCTGCCATCACCAGCCCGCACAGGGCCGAGTCTGGAGGTCACTTGAGGCCCATCTTCAGGTTCTTCTTCGGGCTCAGCTTTCTCAGCCATGGAAACTTCACAGCCAGGGGAGGGAAGTTCCATGAATTTCTCAGCGCTTCGCGGTTTATGTATGTTTGGGGTGCTGAGGAGGTTTGGAGCTAAGACAGAAACTGAAATGCAGTTTACTTCAACCAGGAGCTTCACACTAGGCCCAAGTGTTCCTCTGCTTCTCAGGCGCCTTCAAATTCCAGCTGGTGTGAACCATCTTGAACCGGAAAAATGTTGAGCTCTCAAACAGCTGGATGCACTATGATGCACTGAAGTTTCTTGCGCAATGCCCAAAACGACGAGGCCCAAGCCACGCCTCAAGTACTTGCAGCCCGCAAAGGCGCTGGATTCCACCAAAGACGCTGCTTTTTTCCCAGATGAACTCAAGCAATATGTGTGTCTATGGTCTATAGATGTCTATAGAAATGTACGGAATTCATCCGGTAGCTTCTCTAAGCAACTGGTAGGCTGTGATCTCTCGATTGGCGCAATTCACAGCACTTATGGACCGGGAAAAAAGTGAGGCAAAGGTTTCATGTCGACTCTTCAGCACAGGACACCCACTATAGTCTTTCTAATAATCTTGGTACAATCCTATGCACATGAGCGAATCATATCAATACGCAACCATGCCTTTCAAAACAAACCTCGCCAAATCAAGCGTCGAAACAATGTGTGCTCCACAAACGCAAAAAGTGACAAATAAATACAAATATATTAATATATCTCTGGCAGTTTGGCCACAGACTGAATATATCGAATCAGAACAGTAGCACTCGGGAGCATTTCGGCAGCGAAACAAGTTCTGAGCGTGGCAACTTCGGGGTAGTCAAACGCCCCTGATGTTCAAAGCCTCTGGAAAACTGCCCATCAGCAGTACAACAAAGTCATCCCTTTCAACAAAACCTGGTATATACTGAGAAATATACTGATATCCTTCATCAACGGTCGCCAGCTTGGCTTTGGGGGGGCAATGCCCCGAATTTTTTTACGTAGTTGCACAGGTCGCTCGGCGACGAGGCGGAAGGGTGTTGTTTTTTTTGCACGTCAAGTTGCAACGCACACGCGGCGATCGTGCAAAATGAAAACCCCCAGGTGCAGGCCAAGCCAGGCCTCCATCCTGGTTGAGAATGGAACCCAAAAACTCTAAAAACTCCAAGTTACACACACGTTATGACAGCAATATGACAATCAATATGACAATATATGACAATTGTGAAAAGTTCGCAATAGTTCACAATCAAAAGTGAATCTGAATGCTTCTTAATGGCGATCTCCGTGAACCAGATATTCCAGCCCTCTCCCAGCAGATGTCTTGTTCAAGGTTCTTGGCCATTAGCCAACGACATGGATATTTTGAAGACTGGTTATTTATGGTTGTCTAAATCGCACCTGGAGATGAAACTGTGCTCTTGCAGATATCTCGCCAAGCTTCCCACACTCGCCACAAAAGTGTTCTAAAATCACGAGTGCTGACAGCCGATGCAACAAGATCGCTTTGAATCACTGCAAGTATCCAATTCAGCATCCAGAGGACGCATCATCGCATTCTTGACGTTCTACTCCGTCGTAGAATTATACCTTCAACGCCACATCAAACGCATTTCTAGCGCTTTTTCATCTCTTTGACCACAAAACTGCCGTAGTTGCTGGCCGTGAGACCTGCATCGATCGCGGATCATGACCACACATGCTGACACAAGTATTTGGCGGAATCATGGAGGTTCTATTGTCGGCCAAGTCACTTGCAAGCTCCTGTCATCCAGAGTTGTTCAAATGAAGGTCTGCGGAATCTCATATCGCAACAAGGAAACTCCAATCCGAATTGACTCCAACTATCCAAGCCTGTCCAAACTATGCAAGAACAACAGGAAAAAAAGGGAAATTCTTTCCTGTGCAAAGGGTCCAGCGTTCCAACGTCACTCAGATTTCGCGACTACAATTGTGATAGTTGCGGCAGAACGCCATTGGCTGTGGATCTCTTCAAGCACGCAGCTCCTCTGCATTGCTGGCCATCGCATCTTTCAACATTTGTCTCGCGTCTGGAGAGCTATGAAGAAGAGCGCATTCGACCACGTGGCTAGCCACCTGCAGCCATCCAGCCCAGTTGGATGGGGGATTTACCACCGGCAAAACCATGATCAACCACTGGATTTTACTGGCAGATTTCGTGTGGCAACTTTCAATGCCCGAGCTTTGTACAGCCTGGCGCCTAGCATATGCCCAGGAAAGCACCTTGTGTCTTGCCAAACGGCCAATTTCCATCCGCATTGCCTGGCCGGTTTATTCGTGCTGAAAGACCACACACTTCTAAGAGTTTTGCATCTGACCATATCGGACCCATTCGAGCACTAGGACTGACAGTGTGAGTAAAAATCCACCTCCTCAAATATACTGATGACACGTGTTGATCAACGTGTCAGAACGAAAATCGTTAGAATCAAAGGACCAGCAGGAAGGAGCAGGACAACTGGTCAGTGCCCTGGCCCCTGCCTCACTTATCAAACAATCCATACTGAAAACTTGTTTTTTTTTGTGGCTTTGCCTCGCAGAGCTGCTGCTTTTGCAGCGGACTGCCGTGCTCCAAGGTATGTTGTACCACATAGTTTCCTGCGTCATGGCATCAGAGATGGAAAGACCTGTTGATCCAACATCTACTCAGCGCAACTCGGCAAAATTTGTGACCAAGGACCTAGATGCGATACCTGGAGAAAGATCAAAATTAGTCCAAGGCTCCGTATGCATGCTTGCTCAGCCTCAGAGAACACATGACATTTTCCGGAAATTTCACCGCCTATCTCGAACTGGTCACTTCACCTTTTTTCGAAGTTTGAGACTTGCCAAACCGAGCAGCTCCACAACATCTGCCAAAACCTGTGAGCTGCCGATACTCAGTGAAATGTGTTTTTCATGCCTCATCAGTCTCTAGATGGTTACCGCAGTTACCGCAGACAAATGCAGATTCAATGTCTTGTGGCCTCTCTTGCAATGGGCTCAGTCTGCTCACGCGGACAGTGCTCCAGCAGCCTTTCCAACACCTGGTGCAGATTGGATTCCTGGCTGGATTCTGGAAACTATTCCACCAATAGATGGGTTTGTCTGAGAATAGTGTATCCCTAAATCCATGGTTCATCATCATTGTCCCTATGAAAAATAGCCATAATTGGCGGTATACACGGTCACCATTTTCAGCAGATCTATGGCCGGCACACGGCATCCAAAGGGATGACGGGCAGCATCACCAACTCGCCCTGCAAAGAAACAGCTGGAGTACATGAGATTGACAATTTGGAGAACCTAATTAATCTAATTGTGGCTTTACTCCCACAAAGCCAAGTGATAGACATATTTATAAAACAATATATATATATAACATAACAAATTTACAAGTTGTGTTGTTTTTTTTCTTTTTTGGGCAATGTTTGAACCCATGGAGCCCAGGCTGCGACGCTTGGCCGCTTGGCACCCAGTTCGTCCTCTGAGCTCGGCGACGACAAAGTCCAGCTTTTTCGGTGGCAAATGTGAAATCGCCTGTCCAAGCTGTCAGCCCAAACAAAATGAACTTCTTGGCTTTACTGTATTTGATAATATTTGATACTAAGTGTTAGTAGTATAGGACCGAAGCTGTCAGAATCCAACCATCTGATTTTGCAGATGTCTCTGAAATATCAATATTGCGGAATCATGTTCCATGTATATACGTGTACAATTGCGTACATATCATATTGTGAACCACCCGCGGCTCACTCATCTCCAGCCTTCTGCAACACATGATTTGCATGAGGAGACTTCAACGCCTGCCTTAGGCCATGGTTTGGCCATTTGTCCACGAAACCATTACCAAGATCAAAGGAATAATGAAGGACTGAATAGCTACAAACCATCTTTGGTCTAGAAAGTTTTTCCAGATCTTCTGACAAGACTTGTGCCATCTACACCACCCAATTCTTCCGGGGTTACCCTCTGCCAATCAAACCTCGCAATGGAAACTCCATGAAAATCCCCCAGTTCTACATGTTGTACCATTTTATAGCCAGAAAAATCGATGATGTCATGCGCCAAGTTACCACACTCGGCCCCTGAGAGACATCACTAAGTTCAACTTTTCGGTGAGGTCGGCCACTTCCAATGCAGCTTGGACGACTCGTGTGCCATGTTTGGTGATGGCCATTGTCCACCTTGCTTCGCATCGCCCAAAGTCTGATGTCTGAAGGGAACAAAAACTCCAAAGGACCAAAACTTAGAGATACTTAGAGTATTTTTCGAGTATTTATTTGATTTAAAGATATTTAAATGAAAGTGGTGTGAAAAAAAGGTTGAGCCAGAAAAACTGAGGCCAAAACGCGTCCTCTGCGATCTGCTCCAATAGCCTGCACAGCATGAAGATGCATGCAGCGCAAAGGTTCGGCTGACTTGTCCAAGCCCTGACTTGTTCTGCAGCCTCCTGCGCTGGAGGGCGTCCAAGCCACATGTTTGCAGTTGACGCACAACTGCTTCACAGTCTTTGTTGTTCCACCTGCTCAGGGCACGCGGGTCACTCAGGTCACTGGTCATCTGAGCATGTTCGGCTGGAAACTGATTGAGCCCACAGCGATATTGCCGGCCTGGCACGAGAACGGGTACTGTGTGCAGTCTGCGTGGATACAGAGGAACCAATCTCGGTGGAGATCTCTGAGGGAATGGAGGACCTGAGTCAAATGTCAAGCTGGCCAGCCATCATCTACCAACCCTCGTCAGTCCGTCCGTCCATACCAGGATGCGTCATTTTGCAGTTTATTGAGGAAGCCACACGGAAGGGGCTCGGTTCACAGGCGCATGTTGATGGCTAGAGCTTCGACTGTCCATCTCCTTAGGGGGGGTGCCACTTGCCCTGGAAGAAATTGACTCGAAAACAGGGTCTGTCTCAAGACAGGTGCCGCCAAGTTTGATGGTTGATCTTCATTGTCCCAAGTTTGATGGTTTGATGGTTGATCTTCATTGTCCCCTACGTTCCCATGGTTTAACTTGCCATTTTGGATCGGCGACCACCGGTTGTGAAAATCACAGCTCCAAGCTTCAGCGTGGCGCTGAGGTTGCTGGGCCTCACCTGCAACATGGTCCAAGTCCATAAAAACATCCGTTTAATCCATCCCTTTAATTTGAAACATCCCCATTTATGGTCCTAAAATATGTCTAAATACAATACTAAACCATGGTTTATGGATGTTTATGGGGAGTGTTTAGGGGGAAGGGATTACTGTAGTTCCACAAGTCCATGGGCCCAAAATACTTCGGATTCAGAAATTCTATCCCTATGATTCCGAAATCCTCAACGACAACGCCGGAAGATGTACAAAGGACAGCCTTTTTTGCAACTTCGGATCCCATGGATCCCAAATCCCAAATCCAGCCTTGTTCTGCACCAGGCCTGGTCCAAACATGTCCAAACCACTGGGAAATCCCCCGAAAATTCCATGGTTTTTTGATGGGGAAATCATCGGGTGCTGTATTTCCAAGTGCTGTCGCTGTCCCTGTCACTCCTTACTCCTTAATTACTCAAACCTACGCGGTCAACAATACCGTGACCGCGTAGGCATCTAGCAGAGTAGGTCTTCCAGAGTTCTGAGGACCATCTGAACAAGAAGACAACACACAGCAATCGTCTGACCAGTTCATCAAAAATGTCTAGAACAGTCCTCCACATCCGTGTGCAATCCACTCACCTCCGACACGTCTAGTATGATGCAGCTAAGGTGCTCAACTGGCACAACCACCAAGACCATGCCCTCCGGGACATTGTATTGCAAAGGTTGGAGCCTGGCGAGTGGCACCAGCCGAGGCAAGCCGGCTTGGAACTCTTCCATTCTTTGCCCTTAAAATCTGGTGTTTGTAACCATCATAACCAGTCATGGGAACAACTTTGCCAGTCATGGCCATCCCCAAGAGATCGTTCCCATGGCCACCTTGGCTGCTGCTCTAAGGATTGATGCATCTGCATCTGCATTTGCTGATTGAAGTGGTTCAACCTCAGCGAAAACAGCGGTGGATCACCCAAAATGTGTGTCTGGAAAAAATGCGCCCTCTGGATATGTCTAAAATTCTCTAAATGCGCTTGCTGATCATCAGCCATTGAAACTGGCCAGGATGTTTCAAGAGGTTGACCTATGAAGCTATGCAAATAATTAACTTATCAGAATCAGATGTGAATTGATGTCATCCGTTAGACCGGTCAGGGTCGACAAACTCCACCAAATTGGATGAAAATGCTGGAAAATGGCAAGGGATACAGAGGGACCTTAGATGGCAAGGTCGATTACATGCCCGACAACTAACCCCTATGGGGAGTTGCACAACCGGATCGAACCTGAGAGCCGGGCTGCTGCGTTTGCTGCATCGGCTGTTGCCAATACATCATTTGCTGATTGAACTGCGGATCGTAGTACTGGAAGTTGGGATTCTCCGGAGTTGGGTTCGTCATATTCTGACTGATCATCGATTGGGGCTGGAGTGGTTGGACTGGGAGTGGTTGGACTGGGAGTGGTTGGAAAGCCTCTTGCGGCACTTGAGGAAATGGGTTCGGCCGGCTTTGCCCGCCTTGCATCTCGTGACCCATCACTTGTTGTAAAAACTGTATCTGATTCTGCTTGCCTTGGCAAAATCAACAGAGCACAAGGAAGCAAATAGGAAGCAAATGGGCATGGTCTTCTTAGATCTGTTACGCTCTGGTAATTTAACATAGCTATTGAAAATCACCATTTTTAATGGGTAAATCAACTATAAATGGCAATTTTCAATAGTTATGTTAAATTACCAGAGGGTATCTCTTGTGAACATACAGTATCAAAAGCCGATTAAAAGCCCCATGTCTGATTCTCCAAAATCCGAATCTCTCAGCCAAGACTGCCAGTACCCAGAGTTGTGCGAACGAGGATCCAATTCGATTCAAGTGTTCCATAGACTCGTCTTCGCTCTCTGTTTGCCAGCCTGCAACTGTCACTTCAGGATCCGACCTGAGTTTCACGCAGTCGCAGGACAGCGGACATGGCGGACAGGGTAGGAGATCCCCCCCAAAGTGGATGTCTTTTTTCAGCTACAGATCCTCCACAAGACCATGGAAGTCCAAGTCGCTCCACAGCCTCTGCTTCCACGGCCACCGGGGCCACCGCGGCCGGAGTAACTTGCCTGCAAGCCGACAGATGCGGCAACCGCAGTTTGGATCCATGATCTGGAGATATTAAATCCCCATAAATCTCCATATGGACCGTCAAAATGAATAGACCGGGAGTCTCCAGCTTCGCTTATCACAATGTCATGCAGGCATCGCTCAATCTCATCTGCTTCAACCCCATACTGCAAAGGGGACAGAGTTGCCATTTCCCGTCATTCCCATCTTCAGACATCTTCCGGCAGATATGGAATTGCCCTTACAATGGCTGTAACAACCACAGTTGGTAAAGACTGAAATGATCTCCCATCACAGTCCTGGCACCCCTTCGAGGTTGCCGCCGGTTTCGAGGCTCCCGATTCTGGCGGATGTTGTGCCCGACTGCTCCGGCACCTCGTGGTTGACACCCGGGGTACCCCATTGAGGACAGCTATAACGAGAGCGGTTTGGGGCCTGCCACAATACAGGCCCACAAGCTGCTGGAGGCTTGGCCAGATGCGTGCACGGTTGGAGCCTCAAGATGCATCTGTCGAATTTGGACTATGATTTCGATGGTTTTGAGTTTTGATCTTAAACTCTCCAGTTTTGGGCGTAGTGGGTATTCTGGAAATCGAGAATCCACCATCTGAAGCTGGTATTCAACAACTGTTATTCAACAACTGTTGTATGTGTTTCTTAAAGGGTCCGCTACGGTCATGTCGTTTGCATCCACTGCTGAGTCCCCTGCCAAATGACCCTGCACGATGCTGGATACTGGTGCTGAGGCACCCCAGGGTGCCGGCAAACCGACAGCCTCGTTGCTGGAGTCAAGGGCTTCCAGGAATGGAGCTGGGAACACTGAGAAGAGTCCTGGTAAAATTTGCTTGGCGGAACTAGGGTACCCAAAAATCAATGGTGTACCAAAATACTTTCTTTGAGACATACCCCACTTGTGGACGAACCCAAATCTGAATAACTCTGGGGGTCCCTGCTGTGAGGCCATTTTGCAGACCATGGTGCTTCTTTTTAGTGCCCTGGACTGCGGCTGGTGGCTTGTCCTGCTCATAACTTGCGCTCTGCACATGTTGATTGCTGCGGTTCATCACGGCTCCTGTGGTGATGCGGCTACTGGCCCAAGCAAGGCCAGCACTAGTGCTCCAACGTGTTTCCCACATGGAAGTTTGGACGCGAACACCATGAGGCCCCTTGGCTGTCCCAATGGATGCCTTTTTGGAGATGCAAAATATAAATTATATGGAGGTTTCCTAAGTCATGGGGGTACCCCAGTTATCATCCAAAATTAGACGATGTATATATACAGTATATATAGATATATACATATATACATATATATATATATTGAAACCTATGGTTTTGGGGATCCACCATTTTAGGAAACCTCCATATCTGTGTCTTGTCAATGCAAGGCAGCTCAGGAATTGTACCATGAAGGATGCAAAAAAGTGGATAAGGCCAGAACCAAGTACTGGACGGATTTAGCTCATACCTCAGTGCACACCAGAGGCTACAGCCAGAAAAGACATGGGCAAACTGCAGAAAACCTTTGTGATTCATGTTTCTCAACAAGAAGATACATATCAATCATATCAGAAAATGTCATCATCCCATTGGTTGTGGCTGAATACTAACTACCAATAGCTGATGGGACAAGCCACAGCCGGATCCACAGCCATGCAACGGCTCGAGCCCAATGAGACAATGGACAGGCAAACTCCACTGCTTCATAGCCGGCACAGCCCCAGCTCTGCAACAATCTTCAACAATAGGAACAGTTGAAGCTTGGAACTGTTCAAAGCTTTTGCAAATGAACATGCTAACCGCCAATTTTCGGAATGTGTTTTTTCCATTTTTTTCCTGTCCGGATCTTGTCGCAATGTCTTTGACATGGCTGGCTCTATCCAAACGACAAAGCCACTTTGCTATGCTTGTGACAACGACCGAGCAGCTTCTTTGGAGACATTCGGGTAGAAAGCCCCAAAAAGAGCTGCACCAACTGCTAGAACCCCGATGAGGATCTTCAAAGGAGTAGCCCAAGGCCAAATGATACAAGCAATGACAATTTGTACAGATGCCAGGAGCATGATGGCCTTCCCGAGGGTACCATGAAAGGTAAAGACCTTCACACCTGCACTGAGTTTCGCCAGCTTCTGTAAGCCCATGCTGGCCTGTGTCAATGTGAGCAAAAGGACTCCGTAGCCAAACAAGTCGTGGAGCACTCGGGTTGGGACTGCCCAGCTACGCGTGTGGAAGTTGTAGCCGAAGAAGGTGGGTTTCTGGACATGAGCCACGAAGATCGCCGCGTAACCTCCCATGGCAAACAAAGCGCCCAGCGCCATAAAGGCACGATGGACTGGGCGTTGTTTCACTTTGTCACCAAGGGAATCTGTAACATATGCCCATCGACCCAGGACCATGAAGCAGGAAAATGCCAAGGTCATCAGGATGGGATGCCATGTGAAGCTTGTGCTCAGCTTAGTGGCCACACTGCCTTTACCCTCCGCCAACATACCAATACATACCGCAACAGGTGTTGCAAATGCGGCAATGAAGAACAAGGCGTCGACTGCCAGACCCATGTGTGTCAACCTTAGCTTTCAAAAGGTAGGCAGCCTCATGCTTCCAGATTGCAGACACACTGCAGTGGTCTTTATATATATAATATATATAATATAATATATATATATAATAAAATCCGCCCGCACCGAAGGTGCTGGGGCGTGATCTTCCGGATGGCACTCGTAAAAGGTTACAGGTTTACCTGGGGGGGGGGGCATTTTTCGGCCAAAACCTCCTGTTTTTGATAGGTCGTGACGCTCGCCTTCAAAAAACACTGTAAAAAACAGTACGGAAGACACCTGTTCGTGAACGCGCCCGTCCAAAATCGGCAAGCGAAAAGTGAAAAAAAAAACGTGTTTTTCAACTTTTTGACCTCAATTTTTTGGTTTGCAACATCTTTTTTTGCGGTTCCGCAGGTGGCCGGGCCCGGAGGCGGATTTTTGAGTTTTTGGACCCGTTTTCGGACTGATTTTCGTCGTTTTGTGATAGCAGAAACACTGGTTTTTACAGTGTTTTTCTGTTTTCTGCATGCTTGACGGCTAGCTTCAAAACTTCCAAAAACCTCGTAAATTACGCTGTTTTATGTTACGGTGTGAATGAAAACATCGTAAATACCAGTGTTTTTTGACGTTGGTTAAAAAAACACTGTAAATTACAGTGTTTTTGGCCACCTGACCCTCAAAAACCATGGTATTTGCAGTGGTTTCTGCTTCTCACCGCGCAAAAACACTGTAAATAACAGCAATTTCGCCGTTTTTTCATGTTTTTCGTTATTTTTTGAACTGCGTTGGTCCGCTATACATGGCTATCAAATTCTTCGCGTTTTTTTCCGACAATCACTACTTTCGGATGTTTTTGGTCTCAATGGCCGACATCATTGGCAGTTACGAGCGGCTGCCCAACGATGCGGTGCGGGCGGTTGCCGTCGCGAAGCGACGTGAATATATTATATATGTATATAATATTATATATATAATATATATATAATATATAATATATAATATATATATATAATGTAAATATATATAATGTAAATATTATAAATATAATATAATATATATATAATATACAATATAATATATATATAATATATATATATATAATATATATATAATATATATATATAATATATATATATAATATATATATTATAATATATATATATTATATATTATATATATATATTATATATATATTAATTTTAATGCATTACTTTCCTCTACACACACTCCCTGTACATCTCAAAGGGGTCGCGGGAGAGATCAGCTCTCGGGGATGTTCTTGGTGAATGGGGTTCCTCGATCAGGCTGGGTCATGTTGCAAACCCCTGGAAAAAGGAGAAAGTGACCCAGAGGGGTTTGCAACCAGAGGGGATGAAGATACTCATTATATTATATATATATGTTACAAACTCACTTCATATACTTCATTATCAGAGTGGATGAAGATGCCATCAAACTATGTCGCGAAATGACGTGCAACATCAAAGCGTGCGAGAAAGAACTACATGCAGTGCACCCCAGAAGGGCCGGCTGGCAGTAGTACGTAAGCAATTCTCATTGTTCAAAGACCTAAAAATCCTGCATTCAAGTCATTCCCTGGCTAAAACTGCCAAAATAGTGCCTGCTAAGACGCTGTGCAGCACGCACCAGTCCTGCCACAAAAAATGTTTCAGCACATCAATCAGTGAGACTAGGACAAAAGAAGAGACGTCACAACTAGACAGAGTCGGCCTGATCAATTGTTCGTAAAGTCAAGTAATTACCAGATTTGTCTGATATCAAACAAGGCTGCAGAACCTTGAAAATTGCGCCGGCCGGAGCCAGTTGAGCTTGGAAGCTCTAAGAACACTTGGAGGCAATTTGAGCAATGAAACGAACGGATAGTCAGTATATTGTGCAATGCTACAGTTCCTGCCCCATGACATCCGTCAGTTGCATCGTGTTGGGTCGCAGTCTCAAGACATTGAGGAAGCCAATTTGAGACACCAGATTTTGCGCACTGAAAACCAGCAGCAGTCTCACCGGATCTTCGGCATCTATACATCGTATTGTCAGAGAAGCGCATTTTGCACTCCTAAACCATTCCGCCCCACATCCGCTGTTCCTGCCAGATTCACCAGATTCACAATCAAACGCCAACTTACGCAACAAATGTTACACTGGTCTTTCCCTTTGAAAAGCTACTCAAAAATAATCGGATCTCCTCCGCATATGCTGCAATCGCAGCTTCAGCCTGTCGCTCTGAATCTGTGATGCTCTCACTGCAGTTTTGCTAAAGAGTGTGTTTTTGGTGAGGTGAAGGTCAAAAATATTGAGTGTAGCGGCGTAGCGGCTCTCTCCCCCTCTCTCTCTCTCTCTGTCTCTCTCTCTCTCTCTCTCTCTGTCTCTCTCTCTGTCTCTCTCTGTCTCTCTCTCTCTCTCTCTCTCTCTCTCTGTCTCTCTCTCTGTCTCTCTGTCTCTCTCTCTGTCTCTCTCTGTCTCTCTCTGTCTCTCTCTGTCTCTCTCTGTCTCTCTCTGTCTCTCTCTGTCTCTCTCTGTCTCTCTCTCTCGTGCTTTTACCATCATCCATATATAGTGATCAATAAATCCTTTGCGCAAGGCATGGTACCCAGCAGCCAGCCTCCTCCCCAGACTCTTCGCCGAGACGTTTCACAGAGACTTTGGGAGTCTGCAATGAAGCTGGCAAAAGCTCCTCAAGATCAATGGTTGGGTTTGAAAATTTACAAGAAACCATAGATTTGCTTGGCTTTTGCAATGGCTTTACATGGATTTACCATGGTTTTACATGGCTTGAACATTTTACATGGTTTTGTTTGCCCCCAAAGAAAAGGTTTCCCTGTAGATTTTCCCACAGCAAAATGCCAGGAACATTTTGCAACACCTGAGGTGCCAACGCTATCGGCGGAGGGTTTTACGAAGCCGCGTTCGGCGAACCAATCGTTGCGTTCCGGATCCTGGCCGAGATCGGACGAATCTCACTGGAACATACCATACAGTTGGAGGTTTCCTAAGCCATGGGGGTAGCCTGGGTAGCCCCAGTTATCATCCAGTCATGAAAGGCCATTCTAGTATTGAAACCCACAGAAAAATGGGGATCTGCCCTTTTAAAGAAACCCCCATTTGTGACATTCGAACTTGAAAGGTTGGAATGTCTCCAGTTTCGAGCTGGGAAGTCCTCAGATTCAAGGACAACCAGCAGCTGTGCACCACCCAAAACAGCTGCGCGCTCTGCGTAGGCAAAGAGCGCAGGGGCGTTTGGCACGAAGGTCTCGGCAACACAAAGAGCGGTGGGTTGAGCCGTTGAGCCCCCTGCAAAATAGACAAGTCATTGCTGATCATCCCAAACGTGGCAAAATTCAATAAAATTCATGTATCAAAATCTTTGAAATAGCAAAAAAAATCAAAGAAGGTGTATCTCTCTCCACTGAACAAATCGACGAGAGGAATCTGGCTGAATGGTAGAGGCAAATTTAAATTTCGTCACTGTCATGAGTCTTCTAAACTGGTTTGACTGAAGAATGATGGGGAAGACTGCGAATGACATTGTTTATCAACATGTTTCCCGTGAAAATTGCCCCGAACATTTCATCACGACAGTGAGTCCCTGACACCAGCAGCACAGCAAAGCTGCCGCAACTCTGCAACCAACTGCCAAATGAACGATGGAACAGCATGAAACAATTTGCGTGTCTAAAAATGGGGGATTAACCTAACCCGAGGGAAAATGATGATTACTCTAACCGGTGGAATTAGGGGTACCCCGATTTTCGGGCAAACTCGCTTAGCAGAAGATGTCACACTAGCAACCTAGACAGCAGGATGACCTAAACCGAGCACGACAACATTGGTCCAACATGTTTCCTACATCATGTTGATTTTATATCCATGTATATATATATATATATGTATTTATTTATTTAGTTAGTTAGTTATACACATATTTTTCTATCTACATCTATATCTATGTATATTTCTTTAAATACCATACATATTACATGAATCATTAATCATTAAAAATTGGAGGTTTCTGAAAATCGGGGTACCCCCAGCTATCATCTAATCATTAGACCCGTGGTGACTAGCCTCTCCACTAGGCACCGAGTGAGCCACCAGCTGCCCACAGCCCAAAACCACCTCCGGCGCAGTTTCTGTTCAGCCGTCCAATGGAACGGTGTCATTAAAGAGATTTTGCTTGACATATGTTTATGTATACATGTATATGCATATATATATATATATATGTACATATGAATATATATATATATATGTTTACGTGTGTGTGTGTGGGTGCGTGTGTAAACTGCTATTTCATGCCGTCGTTAGTAAGAAAGCAGGGGGCCATCCCTCTCATCATTGGTGGATGGCCAACGAAGAGGCCAATGATGAGAGCTGTAAACGTACCTGTAGGCAGTTCCTGGGTGTGAGAAGACACACAGCTGGAATGCCACTAAAGCTAGGAATGCAACTTCGTCTAGGTTGAAAACACAACTCACCGTTGCTCGTGGCTAATCAGGCCTACTCAGGAACAAAAAGGCGACGGCTTTGACATCGTTAGCCGGCTCCACCTCACCTAAAAACACAGCAGTGTGCATTGGGTGCACGGCAGATTTTGCCGACACCGTCGCAAGGGTTCGCCCTAGCTCAAGAACGGCTGCGGCCTATCCGCTGAAGTGTTTGGCGGCACCTCAGGGTGACCGTGAAATAAGGACACCCTATCGGGGAAGGACGATCTAGTGACGCAGGGCAACTAGAGGCCAAGGAGCCAACATAGCGAAGGATGACTCACGTCTTCTCAACTATAAAAATGGTTGCCGCGGATGGAAACAAAAGCTGGCAACACATGCGCACACATATCTGGACACACGCATACACGCACCCAAATCAAAACTGTGTGGAGAGATGCAAATACGGATTATATATACCTGTTTTGCTCTGCTTCTGCCGAATAGAAGGGGGCTAAGCTGAGAACCCCGATGAGTACATATTGAGATCTTTCCACTTCACATGTTGCGGTTCAGTTTTGGATCTTGGAACCCTGGCTTTTCAATTGCACTTCCAGCGATGCATGTGGAGGAAACACGCGTGTGTTTTGATGTGCCAAGCTGTCAACCGTTTTTGTGTATCTTCCTGGTCGTATGTCGACATGTCTTCAAACTTTCGACGTATGCGCGTCACACACAACCTAAAGTTTGATATGGAATTTTGACCGCCCACTAAAAGTCAGAGAGCCATGGCATCTAAGAGTTCAGGTGGTCCGCCATTGCCGGCCAACATTGCTTTTGCAAAGAATTTTGCGCCACCACCAGCTTTTCTGTCATGTCCGCCACCTCCACCAGTGGAATCAAGTCCGAAAGCATCAATGCCCCAATTACCACCACCAAGACCAGTTTGTGAACCGAAGGCTGAACAGCCCAAATCAGTTAGTGTGCAGATCATGGGGCAACTTGCGCAGTATCGATTTGAGGCATCAGATGCACAGCAATTGACCCCAATCGTGACGACACTGCTGGATGCAGAAGCTAGACATATATAAATTTTCAACATGCACAAGTCATGCATCAGGTGGGGATGCAAAAACAGATGATGATGACGATGATGATGATGATGACGATGGACCAAGGCGCTGGGAGCTCAGAGCCAGTGGCAGGGATCTCGCAAAGTTCACCTTCCAAAAGGTTGAAATCAATGCCATCAGATCCATGTAGAGGTGAAGTACACCTACATGCAAGTACCATTGCCGGATCTGCAGACAGGGCAAGTCAAGAACATGAATATTATGGAGACAAAGTGATCAGTGTATATCGTTCGTACGAAAACATGTCACAGAGTTTGTTGCAGTGCCAGATAGGGGATCAGCAAACGCAACGCAAGAGATCCCACATCCTGAATTTCCTCATCTTTTCGTCCATCGGATTGTGGCGCGTTTTATGTTTCTACATTGTTTGAACACAAACTGGAGCCTCGGGCAATTGACTGGACTCCAGCATATACACTTTTCGGACAAAGGGCGGGACAGAATCTTTTTGCTGCCACTGGTAGAATCAAGAATGCCCAAGAACTTGGAAGGATTGTTGAAAGACAGCAACGCTACATCCCCAGTCACAAGTATATTGAACAGATTCAATACCTTGAAGGACCTCGACTGGAAACAACGTCAGTGCACTTTGCGGAGTATCTTCAAACCACGGTGTCAAAACACATCGCAAAACACATCGCTGTGACGGATTCAATCGCAAAGCTGTGCCATGAACTAAGCAAAACTGTCCTTTCCCATGATGTTGTGAGCATGATGTTTTCCAACGTGGATATGATCAAGAATAGAAATCAAATCCTTGGAGTCAAACTCTGCATGAGCTCTCCTACAGTCAACTTGTCCCAATACGACATCAAATCTAGTTTTGCATTTGCGCATAATTGTGCTAGACTGACGTCAGTGGAAATATTACGCGAAGGCCTTATCAGGCCCAGCGCCACTGAACCACCTTGGGTGTACACACCGAGTTTTTACTGCAGGGCGTCAGCTTGTCAAGCCCAAGATGATCAGCCTTAGAAAGTGGCATTGCTGGAAGCATTTGTCAAGGCAAAGAAATTTTCCTCATACAGTGACATTTTTAGGCCTATGTGCATATTTGGAAAGGCACACTCACGGCAGACTTCTCAAGTGGGCATTGATTCTGGTGGGACAGGAGCGGACCATGGATGTATTCTTTTCCACGATGCCATACACAATCGAAGAGACAAGCGGTGGCGTTTCAGATCGCATTGATCTTAAGTGCATGGCATAGCTGCATTTCTCTGAGAAGAACAATGTGGTTTCATGCTTCAAGTTTCAACACGTCAATCATGACTCCCGCTTGGTCAGCAAGAGTTCCAACACAGGGGCCGTTAGCATCTGAATCTTGCTTCCTTCTTGTGTCTTTCGTCTTGTCTGGCCTTGCTGCCGGCTGGAGTTTCTCGCTACGCTGGGGCCTCGCGTGCCGTCACCCCTTTGGTCCTGTCGGTCTCTGCTGGGGCAGAAGTTTCCATGTGGTTTCCGTTTCAGTTTTGACTTCTTTCGTTTTCCGCGACGCGTGCTAGAACAGATTTATTTTATCTCTTAGATGTGTTTCGTTTCAATTGCATATGCGGTTGACGGGATGCAGCCTCAGCTGTGGCATGTTTCAATGAAAAAAGTTGCAGTAGCAGCGGCTGAGTTCCTTACCGGTATGACACCCACGGGGTAACACTGGTTCGGGTTGAACCATTCACAAAGGTGCTGTCCAAGTCATTTATACTTGGACCTGCATTGATGTCCATGTTTTTGCAGTTGGCACACCTTGCTGAAGCCGTTAGTGCTAGAAGGTTTTGCTATTCAGGCCTACTAGGAACAATTTCCCGGCCAGGGCCGCCAAAACAGTGTTTAGGCAGACATTTACTGACAAAAGCTCCTGACAAGACCCTTCATACCAGGAGTGTGATCCTTTGCTAGTGATTTGGTTCAGACCTTAGAAAACGAACGCGCGGTCCCCAGATGGGGCCTTTTTACCATGGTTTCACCACGATCAAGATCAAGGAGACGACGTGATCACCGCCCTCAGTTTCACAAAGCTTTGTCCAGGTATAGACGTGAAAGTTCCAGGAGCCCTCATGTGGGCCACTCCAGAAACATGAAACCGAATCCCTTTGAAGTTCAAATCCGTTGGAAACCTTCAGAATCTCACTACGACATGGGATCAGAGTACGGGCTCACCTTACCAAGACACATAGAGTCCACCCGATGGAGTCGTAAGTTGAATCTGGCTGGCAGACCTATTGAAGAGATCCGCGCATATGAACTTTGTATGGGAATGAGCAGTAACTGGAGCTTGAGACTTCGGGCCAACGGCCTCTATGTTGCCATGGAAACATTTCGTTCTCGTCTTGATGCAGTGCTCTGGTCATCTGTTGCTCGGGAATGTTACAAACGTTCATCAGTTGATTTGTCAAAAAATTTGGAGCAAGGGAGGCAAGGAAATGACAGCCAAGACTGGAGTGAAAAGATGGACAGGATCAAAGACGTAGGCAACAAACTTAGAGACTTTGGAAGGTATGATGCCACAAGACAGTCAGAAAGATCTCATGCAGGAATTAGAAAGGCTCAAAGAAGAAAATCCCAAGCTCAAAGAACAGTAACAGACCGGCAGACCTCTACAACCTGCAGAGTCCGAGCAGCCAGACATTCGTCGATTTGCAGCAGCTTCTCCAACATCATCGGCGCCGCCCCCAGGAAAATGCCATACCTCCTCCCAACAAGCATTCCTTTCAGTGTATGCGGGGAACTCGCCAAGCTGTGTTATCTATCAGTGCTCCTGAAAATGGGTGAGCCACTAAGATCAAACAGTGGGTAGGCAAAGTTGTCACCAAGTCAGAACAAGGAAACATCGAACAAATCATGCAGGAAATTGACGCAGAATTGCAAGAATGAAATGATGGTGACAAGCCAGCATTGGATCGCATCCTCAGCGACTGGGGCCTCACTCCCGAGAAGACCAACAAAATGACTCATGATTCCTTGCTCCGAGTGTTAGCCACCGTGCACTTCATGAAGAAAGACTGACTAGATGTTCAGGGAAGTAGGACCACCCTGTCCAACCGTGGCAGACGATTTTTTTTAATTTTGAAGAAAAGCTTGCAGATCATAAAAAGGGCTTTACAATTTGCCAACTTGTGATGGAACTTGCAGCGGTGTTTGTATTGGTTGGGTGCAAATTGGACCTTGGGAATTTTGAAACATGAACATTTCACACATCGAAGCCGCAGAATGACAGCTGTCTTTCAAACATGTTTTCCAACTTTTGAGCTGACTCAAGAGCAATTACAGAAAACAAGTGTCGTCTATGTGAAACTCAACGTGGCTCACAGAGGGTTTTACATTGGCTCTACATCGGGTGCGATGTTCGACCGAGAACAAACAAGAAACAGAAATTTTCACCAACTATGTTCGGGCCATTTGGTTTTTTACGAGCCAGCTCTCCAAGCTTTGTTACTATTCCGTTGTTTTCTACTGATCAGGACATTCAGGCGCAAAAAACCGAGTTGCAAAAACTGCTAAAACCAAGTTTGAACTACCAATTTTGAAGAAACTCAACATTCAAAAGCAGACATACAATTTGCCCCAAGCTGGACACGACACTATTATGGGACAGCGGACCTTGACTCGCTACACCAAGTTGACCCAATCTACAGCGTTTTTGACGTGCCAAATTCAACAGCAACTGCCACAACTGACTGAGATTTACAACCTGCTATATTCATTGGGCAGTGACAGCATTCAAAAGTTCGTCGTTTCAAGACGGTTAGAAGTGCTAGATGTAACGCAACCTTCAATTTTCTGTTGTGGAGATTGCCACGGTACATCTCTGAACCTTTTCACACAAGAGCTCAACAGCAAATGTGTTTGGCTTTGTGCTTTTACGACACGAGTCCCCCAACAAATATGCCAATGAGAATTTCCTGTCCTGATGATACTTTCCAACTACAAATTCGTGAATGGTTACTGGGCTTTACTCATTTTCGTCGACATTTGTTCTCACCACTGCACAAGCCCAAGGCGCCGTTTGTGCATGTCAAAAGACGTACATGGGGACAAAGCTTGTTCAATTTTCAGAAATGGCTGCAATGGTGGCATTCAGATGACATTTTGCCATGTGCTTGTAAGCAATTTCCAGATCACATACAAAATCAAAGCAGAGATTTGCCTCACATCGCTGCGTGGGCCTCTGAGTGCTATCCTGATATTCCGCAATTGCGTTTGCATATAGCAACTGCACAACCTTCCACCTGGACATTTTTTTTGTACCAGGCAACAGAAGAATTTGAAAAATGGCTACATCAATGCCAGTATTGGCAACATTTTCTTCAGCAACAATGGGACGCGTACTTGCTACGCCAAGTTGGGACATTTGAATGCTCATCAGATATGGGCACAATTAGCCCAATTCAGGGCAACACCCGCAGGTCATTTTCCTCATAGTTTGTTACTGATATGCCCAAAATTTTGGCAAAATTTGATGCGTCAAACATTCCTTCAGCCGGAAGTTTTTGCACCCTGTTTCCAACCAGCAGAGGACATACGAAGAAACTTTAAACTGTACATGCCACAGTGGATTCGTGATGAGTACAGATGGGGGTTCGACTGTCAGGCACGCCTATCCACTGCTTGTATGCTCCCAAAACCAACTAGGTGATTCAGAAAGGCAAGACCTATCGTTGATTACAGCCGCTCTTGGATCCTCAAACTTGGCACAGCTCTCTCAGTGGTGTTGCTGGAAATTTCCAAGTCTGTTTTTCACATGTTGTTTCAACACGATGAGCTTGACAGCGGCACAACAAATTTGCAAACAAACTTCAGTTGAAGAAGAAATGGATGTGCTCCAACAGGACATTGCTGGATTTGACCATCAAGTGTCACATGATCGCATCGTTGCTAGTATACAGTATGTCATTTCAAGTTTTCAGCAAGAAAAACGATGTCCACAAGACCAACTAATACAAGCTTCCGTTCATAAACATGATCGGTCATTGCAGGTTTTTCGCGGGCGCTGGCGGTCCCAGATAAAGCAATACCACGGGATCAAGTTATGTCATATCGCACCTTTGACCAAATATTTACTTCAGCATAGCATCTTTCGGGTTGGATATTGCACTTTTCGTCAAGTTGAAGGGGCATTCATGGGTGCACAATGGGAACCTGTAATGCGTTCTATTGTTGCCCTAAATCGAGAACACACAGTTTCAACGGTCTGTGGAAACGCAGTTTTCAGCGCAAAATTGTCTGCTGGATTTCGGTATGTGGGCAATCGTTTTTTGTTGCAGAGAAATATCCCGGCCATGACGCAAGAAATGAAATATTTGTGGAACCTCGGTTTGTATATGGATCCAATTCTCTTGGAAGAGGTCGAAGGATGAGAAGCCTTGGGTTTCAATCTGAATCCGTTCCAATGAAGCATTACATATAATATTCCATGGGACAAAGTTATTCGCACAACAGCAGGAGCTGGTCCTATACGTAACGCTACATCGGGATTGATCGCAAGAACGCGTCTCACTGTTGCCCGTACATTCCCATCTCATGCATGCATTGCTCAGCTGCAAGACATCATCGCCCTGCACGTCATGCGAGGTACCCAATACATTCAATGTGTCGATGAAGTTGTGAATCTGCGTCAAAAGCGTTTTCCTTGTATCAACAGACCAATATTGTTGTTGCGTTGGGTCTAAAAAAGAAGTTGCAGTGTTGAGCTTTTACTTGCCCAGTGTTTCACAGAAATCTAGGGAGTCTATATCTCAACAAAGTTTCCATCCCCCAATTGGGGGCTGTTGTGTGTGTAAACTGCTATTTCATGCAGTCTTTAGTGAGAAAGCAGGGGGCCATCCCTCTCATCATTGGTGGATGGCCAACGAAGAGGCCAATGATGAGAGCTGTAAACGTACCTGTAGGCAGTTCCTGGGTGTGAGAAGACACACAGCTGGAATGCCACTAAAGCTAGGAGTGCAACTTTGTCATACTTTGTCTAGGTTGAAAACACAACTCACTGTTGCTCGTGGCTAATCAGGCCTACTCAGGAACAAAAAGGCAACGGCTTCGACATCGTTAGCCAGCTCCAACTCACCTTAAAAAATTTCCATTATAAACCATCCATTTTGGAGTACCGGGGGTACCCCCATCTATGGAAACCCCCACATATGTGATATCAGTGATATCAGGGTTGATTTCTTTTGAAATTTCTGTCATCTTCCCAGCCTCATCCCTCCTCCAAACAAAGAATTCGCCAGCTCCGCAGCTGGCCTGCGACGGGAGGGAATTGGGCCCCCAATCCACGGCCATTTCAATCGGACAAAATGAAGCAAAAAGATGGAAAATGAGGTGATAGTGCTTGTTTATACCATCAGATAAACTTCGCTTCTCGATTTCAGACCCCAATAGTCATATCCCTGACGGATTTGGCTTTGAAAACCCAAGAGTTTGTTTCTCATCAGTCACCGGTCATCCCTGGCAGGGCCGTGGCCCCCTGGGATCATCGCCTCCACATCCTCCAGCTTGATGCGTTGCTCTTGCGCATCAGCCAGCAACTCCTCTGATAGGCTTTCTGAAATCCAATTGAAAACACAATAAACCAGTAAGTCTAGCTAGTACAACTGTATAGAAGTGTATGACCATCAACCACGAAGTTGGGCATTGCTCACATACTGTGCAACTGAAATCGAAAGGACTGTCACTGACTGTCTCTGTGGCTCCCAACTACAATCGAAGCGGAATCGGCAAGTGTGGCACAACCAAGTCCCTGGTAAACATCCTGCAACAAGAAGCGTCATTTGGTGCAGGTTTTGGATCTTGATAGCCATATATGGCCTATACCGTACATGTTTGCTCATGTTTGCTCATTGCAAGATATGCAAAAATGACTGGAACCCATTGGCCCTGTTTTCCTGCGCCACACATGTACCGCTGCCATCCGTGGTGTAGAACCTTAAGAATCAATCGCATCTGCCAACATCTGGCAATCGCACATTGTTGATACCCTCTAGTAATTTAAGATAGAGGGAAAATCACTAGTTTTGACAAGTATACCTGGTGTCAGCTGAGGCATTCGACTCTTGCAGCAAAGAGCCCGGAAAGGCTTGGACCAAATGCCCTCTGCCTGGAGCGAAGAAGTTGAAATGGGTGCATCATAGGTAAAACATAAATAAACCACTACATTTTTGATGAGTTATGCCACTTATTTATGGTGATTTGGGGGCTTGTTTATTATTGTTTTAACCACATTAGTAGCCACAAATTGAGCTAGCGCCCAGTTTTCAGGACCCTTTCACTCTGAGACGAAGGCGCACTCCTTTCGGTGAGACTGAAGCAACTAGATGCCTCAGGATGAGTTGGGCTGGGGCCGGGGTGTTCCGGTCTTTCAACAAGCTTTCCATATGTTTGTATATGTATGTACACATATAGTGTATATGTACATATTGCATATATATTGCGCATTAAATCCGCCCACACCGCTTTGGCGGTGAAGGCGTGCTTATTGGGGGGCAACAGCAACACTAAATGCTCAATGACATTTGTTAATATAGCAGTCGCTATATCAGCTTTAGCTGGGGGGGGGGGCCAAAAACGGTTTCGCACCGAGACCAGAATACGGTGGTGTTTTCGACATTTTTTCGAGGATTTTTGGGTGTCTGAGCGCAAGAGGGTATTGAAATGGAATTTTGGGTCATTTTGGTAGCTTTCCGGCAATGGAAAAACGGCCAAAAATGAAAAAAAACATTGTACATAGCAAGATTTTGCAGGGTTTTTGGATGCCAGAGCATTGAAAACACTGCAAAAACAAGTGTTTTGGACTGACGTTATAGCAAAAAACGTGTAAATTACCGTATGCTTGACTGGAAACATTACAAAAACACTGTCCAAAGCACTGTTTTGGAAGGATTTTCTGCCTTTATGGCAAAAAACGTGTAAATTACCGTCTGTTTGACTGGAAACATTGGAAAAACACTGTCAAAAACAATGTTTTGGAAGGATTTCTTATTGAAACTTCTTAGCTTGAAGAGCCCCCACGGGGGAAAACCACCCTTAGGCCCTCTCACGGACCGAAATAAACCTGCGGTGTGGGCGGCCACCCCACGCGAAGCGGGGTGAATATATCATATCATATATTACTGTACATCATATATCCGCCGACCCCGGCCTTGGCCAAGGCAGGGGCGGCGCCTGGGACCACCGCAGGTGTGGAACTTCTCCTTCTTAGCTTTCCAAGGCCACTTGCCAGCCCTTAAAAGCCATCGCTTAAACATTCCCTTGGCATGCTTCATCCTGCAGCCAACAGGCACCGCAAGGCGACACATCAATGTCTTCTTTCTCCTTATGGGCGCCCAAGCCTGGCCTTTGCCACGTCCTGGGGGTCCAAGCCTGCCGTTTGCCATGCTGCATCCTTCAGCCAACAGGCACCCCAAGGCCACACCACACATCAATGTCTTCTTATGGGCGTCCAAGCCTGCCGTTTGCCAGCCCTTAAACGCTTAAAAACCCTTCCAAACGCTTAAAACCCTTAAAACCCTTACAACCCGTCATGGGGGGTCCAAGCCTGCCGTTTGCCAGGCCTTAAACACAAGGGAACCTTGGCATGCTTCATCCTGCGGCCAACAGGCACTCCAAGGCCACACATCAATGTCTTCTTATGGGCGTCCAAGCCTGCCGTTTGCCGGCCCTTAAACGCTTAAAAACCCTCCAAACGCTTAAAACCCTTAAAACCCCTACAACCCGTCATGGGGGGTCCAAGCCTGCCGTTTGCCAGTCCTTAAACACAAGGGAACCTTGGCATGCTTCATCCTGCAGCCAACAGGCACTCCAAGGCCACACATCAATGTCTTCTTATGGGCGTCCAAGCCTGCCGTTTGCCAGCCCTTAAACGCTTAAAAACCCTCCAAACGCTCAAAACCCTTAAAACCCTTACAACCCGTCATGGGGGGTCCAAGCCTGCCGTTTGCCAGGCCTTAAACACAAGGGAACCTTGGCATGCTTCATCCTGCGGCCAACAGGCACTCCAAGGCCACACATCAATGTCTTCTTTTTGCCAGCCCTTAAACGCTTAAAAAAAACCCTCCAAACGCTTAAAACCCTTATTACAACCCGTCATGGGGGGTCCAAGCCTGCCGTTTGCCAGGCCTTCAAATGGGCGTCGCAGCCTGCCGTTTGCCAGGCCTTAAACACAAGGGAACCTTGGCATGCTTCATCCTGCAGCCAACAGGCACTCCAAGGCCACACATCAATGTCTTCTTATGGGCGTCCAAGCCTGCCGTTTGCCAGCCCTTAAACGCTTAAAAACCCTCCAAACGCTTAAAACCCTTAAAACCCTTACAACCCGTCATGGGGGGTCCAAGCCTGCCGTTTGCCAGGCCTTAAACACAAGGGAACCTTGGCATGCTTCATCCTGCGGCCAACAGGCACTCCAAGGCCACACATCAATGTCTTCTTATAGGCGTCCAAGCCTGCCGTTTGCCAGCCCTTAAAAGCTTAAAACCCTTAAAAACCCTCCAAACGCTTAAAACCCTTATTACAACCCGTCATGGGGGTCCAAGCCTGCCGTTTGCCAGGCCCGCAAGGCTACACATCAATGGCTTCTTATGGGCGTCGCAGCCTGCCGTTTGCCAGGCCTTAAACATTCCCTTGGCATGCTTCATCTTGCAGCCAACAGGCACCCCAAGGCCACACATCCATGTCTTGTTATGGGCGTCCAAGCCTGCCGTTTGCCAGCCCTTAAACGCTTAAAAACCCTCCAAACGCTTAAAACCCTTAAAACCTTTACAACCCGTCATGGGGGGTCCAAGCCTGCCGTTTGCCAGGCCTTAAACACAAGGGAACCTTGGCATGCTTCATCCTGCAGCCAACAGGCACTCCAAGGCCACACATCAATGTCTTCTTATGGGCGTCCAAGCCTGCCGTTTGCCAGCCCTTAAACGCTTAAAAACCCTCCAAACGCTTAAAACCCTTAAAACCCTTACAACCCGTCATGGGGGGTCCAAGCCTGCCGTTTGCCAGGCCTTAAACACAAGGGAACCTTGGCATGCTTCATCCTGCGGCCAACAGGCACTCCAAGGCCACACATCAATGTCTTCTTATAGGCGTCCAAGCCTGCCGTTTGCCAGCCCTTAAACGCTTCAAACCCTTAAAAACCATCCAAACGCTTAAAACCCTTATTACAACCGTCATGGGGGTCCAAGCCTGCCGTTTGCCAGGCCCGCAAGGCCACACATCAATGGCTTCTTATGGGCGTCGCAGCCTGCCGTTTGCCAGGCCTTAAACATTCCCTTGGCATGCTTCATCTTGCAGCCAACAGGCACCCCAAGGCCACACATCAATGTCTTCTTATGGGCGTCCAAGCCTGCTGTTTGCCAGCCCTTAAACGCTTAAAAACCCTCCAAACGCTTAAAACCCTTAAAACCCTTACAACCCGTCATGGGGGGTCCAAGCCTGCCGTTTGCCAGTCCTTAAACACAAGGGAACCTTGGCATGCTTCATCCTGCAGCCAACAGGCACTCCAAGGCCACACATCAATGTCTTCTTATGGGCGTCCAAGCCTGCCGTTTGCCAGCCCTTAAACGCTTAAAAACCATCCAAGCGCTTAAAACCCTTAAAACCCTTACAACCCGTCATGGGGGGTCCAAGCCTGCCGTTTGCCAGGCCTTAAACACAAGGGAACCTTGGCATGCTTCATCCTGCAGCCAACAGGCACTCCAAGGCCACACATCAATGTCTTCTTATGGGCGTCCAAGCCTGCCGTTTGCCAGCCCTTAAACCCTTAAAACCCTTCCAAACCCTCCAAACGCTTAAAACCCTTACAACCCGTCATGGGGGTCCAAGGCCAAATCAATTCTCTTAGGCGTCCAAGGTTGCCGTTTGCCAGCCTTTGCACAATGCAAACGATACCCCAAAGCCAAATCAATAGCCTTTTCTCGGCGTTCAAGCTTGCCGTTTACCACCTTTCTCTTTCACAACCCCGTCCTTGACAGAAAACTGCTTCCCACAGACCGTTCGATGGTCTATTTGCCCTGTCTTCACGTCACTGGCCACATTTCCTTTGCAAGCGGGGCAAACGTAAACATACGCTTTTTCCGTCACAACGCCGTTCTTCACAGAAAACTGCTTCCCACAGACCCTTCGATGGTCTATTTGCCATGTCTTCACGTCACTGGCCACATTCCCTTTGCAAGCGGGGCAAATGTAAACATGCGCTTTCTCCTTCACAACGCCGTCCTTGACAGAAAACTGGTTCCCACAGACCGTTCCATGGTTTATTTGCCCTGTCTTCACGTCACTGGCCACATTTCCTTTGCAAGCGGGGCAAACGTAAACATACGCTTTTTCCGTCACAACGCCGTTCTTCACAGAAAACTGCTTCCCACAGACCCTTCGATGGTCTATTCGCCCTGTCTTGACGTCACTGGCAACATTCCCTTTGCAAGCGGGGCAAATGTAAACATACGCTTTTTACTGCACAACGCCGTCCTTGACAGAAAACTGGTTCCCACAGACCGTTCGATGGTTTATTTGCCCTGTCTTCACGTCACTAGCCACATTCCCTTTGCAAGCAGGGCAAATATACACATACCCTTTCGCAACGACCTGCGCATCCCACACCTGGAAACGGTTACCACATGCGTGTCGGTGATCTACTTGGCCCGTGCGTATACTGCTCCTCACAGACTTTTGGCAAGCGGGACAAACATATTGGAAACTCTTGCCCTCCTCCCCTGCTTGTGCTCCATGTTAAAACTTTCAAGGTCCCTTTCACCAACAAGCCCACCCAACCATGCATTCAATTCAAATTGCTAATCAATTAAAGGTACTGGACAACCAAAATCCAATCTCGAACGCTATATAACGCACTGGGAAGGATCGTGGTCAAGGAAACAAACATGTGAAGAGGTGCTGTGTCACAATGTTGCTTTGAACCATCGATCGCGTATTGCATGCACACGACCCATGGCACTTTGACCCCACATTAAGCATGACCACCTCTAGTAAACCTAACATAATAGCGTTGTGTCCCAAAGAAGGAGGGGTCGGCGGCACCCGGGCGCTAGCCCGTTTTATAATCCACCGGCCTGCCGGCGTGTCTTGTGGATCTTGTTTGTTCGTAGTTGTACTGTCTGTTTTGTCTTTGCTTTTGTCATCTTTTGTCTAGACTTTCCCCTTGACGCGGATTTTTGCCTTGTCTAACTTGAACCCACCCCCCCTCCCCAGTCCCCCTCCCCCCTCACCCCCTCCTGGTGTAGCTCTTCTTCATCCTCGTTTCGTCTTCATCTTTCCTTGCGTTGCCCCTCGCTCAACACCGGCTTGGTTTTGAACTTTTTGCTTTCATTTTCACGGTTGTTTCTGCCTTCATCGGTTTTGCTCCATCGTTTCTTATATCCAATACTGGATCCACTGGCTTTTGTGCCGAACACCTTTTGCACACATAACCTTTCTATATATGGCCTTGTCCAAAACCCAGGTTTACACACATGCTTTGGTTTAAGCTTAGGCTTAAACTGTGGTTTGAACAAAAGCCATGTTTTTGCGTCAAAACCGTGTTTTACACAAAGCGTTGTTTTACACGAAAACCGTGTTATACAAAAACACCATGTTTTACACAAAAATCATGTTCTTGCTGGGCCTGTGCAAGCGCTGTTTGCGGCTTGCAGGGTGGCCGGCGGAACACCCCGAAGGCGGGTATAATAAATATAAAAGAAATCCGCCCACACCGCTTTGGCGGTGAAGGCGTGCTTATTGGGGGGCAACAGCAACACTAAATGCTCAATGACATTTGTTAATATAGCAGTCGCTATATCAGCTTTAGCTGGGGGGGGGGGCCCAAAAACGGTTTCGCACCGAGACCAGAATACGGTGGTGTTTTCGACATTTTTCGAGGATTTTTGGGTGTCTGAGCGCAAGAGGGTATTGAAATGGAATTTTGGGTCATTTTGGTAGCTTTCCGGCAATGGAAAAACGGCCAAAAATGAAAAAAACATTGTACATAGCAAGATTTTGCAGGGTTTTTGGATGCCAGAGCATTGAAAACACTGCAAAAACAAGTGTTTTGGACTGACGTTATAGCAAAAAACGTGTAAATTACCGTATGCTTGACTGGAAACATTACAAAAACACTGTCAAAAGCAATGTTTTGGAAGGATTTACTGCCTTTATGGCAAAAAACGTGTAAATTACCGTCTGTTTGACTGGAAACATTGGAAAAACACTGTCAAAAACAATGTTTTGGAAGGATTTCTTATTGAAACTTCTTAGCTTGAAGAGCCCCCACGGGGGAAAACCACCCTTAGCCCCTCTCACGGACCGAAATAAACCTGCGGTGTGGGCGGCCACCCCACGCGAAGCGGGGTGAATACATATGTTATGTGTATGTACATATATATATACATTGTATACAGATATAATATATGTATTATATATACAGAACATTCACTTGAGACTATGCAAACAAAATCCAAGGGTGACCAGAGCAGAGTGGGCAGCAATAAGAATTCAATAGAGTCATGCAGAAAGACAAATCTTGTAGCTGACAACTCGATCTTTGATGCGTCCTTGATCTGTTTAGCACCTCATGTGTTGGCGACCTTTTTCCAGTTACTGGACCTTTAAAACAACAAAAACATGGTCCGCAAGACCCCTCTTCCTCCTCCTTGACAATGACGCAAAAATACAAGACTACAATAGTTTCGTAGTTGAAAACTTGATTTTTGACGCATCCTCGCTTTGCGTTCCTTTCCACGGCTTGGCTTTTGACCTTTCCCGATAAGAACCCCCTGCTTCCTCTTTCGCAAGCATGCCCCAGGAGAAATCGATACCCCGTCGTTGCAGAATTGCTGCCCGGGCATCGCCGCGCGAAAGCGACTGTAAAACACGCGCCAGAACACTGGCTATCCATTTGCAAGCTGTTGGTGCCCATTAAACAACCTCTGCCCCGGAACCCTTAACTCACTTCGTTCGTAAGTAGACAGCTTCGCTCAGCCGGTCTGCTGGCTTTCGCAATACCTTTGACTTGTTAATCCCTTGAGACAGGAGGAATGCAAGCAGTCTTGCCAAGCCGTAAAGATGACTTGCAAAATCTTGCAGGCGCAATGTGACCAGCAGCCACCAGTGGAGTGGCAGTGGTCAGCAAAAGTGTCAAAATCTACAAACACCAAAGATGTAAGAAGACGAGGAGAGTGAGCAGTCTTCTTGCCCCCCAGCTTGACAGGAGTTAATTTGAGTCGGTGAACCAGCAGCACAGCAATTTACAGCATGAAAAGCTTCCCATGCACAGAGTTTTGGCATCCACCCTTCACTACCCTTCTGCCTGAGACTGCGGACGAAGTCGGTGAACCAATCGGATGATCTTTCCTGGTCGCAGTAAGTGCGAGTGCAGCGTAATTCCAGTGACTGCATCGAGTGTCAACTTCAGCACCGGCTCAAAGCCAAAAGCGAACCCTTGCCTGATGCGGTTTGATGATTCAGAACGACTTCAAGCGATTGACAACTACAGAGAAATACCATGTCCATTGTCATACATATGTCCAACACCCAAGAAAGCACTGTGGAGATTATAACGGGTAGCCGCTGATGTCCCACCCTCCACCTCTTTGGAGTAAGAGAGCCCTGCTTTGTCACTCTCCAAGTATTGCAGCAAGTTGTGAGCGTCGTGAGCCTGCATGCCTCACAAGAGCCAATATCATCAATATTGACGTTGCACTGCTAATTCTACGATAGGCAGTATATCAGTATATGGGTCAAACTCTAAACTTAAACCCTTTGGCACCACAGTTTGTTGTCAGTTTTGGCAGTAGGCGATCCTGATATGGGACTAGCCCTTCGCGGCAACACATGGTAGCGCAAGCTTCCCTAGTTGCGCATGGCGGCTTTGCCTGCAACATTAGCTCCGAAAGGGGTGATTCATTGTCCCATCAATATGCTAACCAACGGGAGATATAGGGAGCATCTCCACAATCACTGGATCCCCTATGGGCCTATGGGACATTTATCAACCCTTCCAAGGTGTGGTTCTAGTCGATTCCAGGAAAATCGCTTTCCAAAAGCGCTGTCCGAAGCAGTGCTTTAAGCAAGCTTCGTGTGAAACAAATCGCACAGATTGGACAGCGAGCTGGAACTATTCACCGATTCACACGGTCACATTTCATAGCGCATTGGTGTTCCAGCTTGAACGCCGTGTTTCCGGGGCCTCCCCAGTCAGGTCAACACTGACCAGAGTGCCACCTTCAAAATTTTCTTCGAGCTCAACGAACTCAGCACTGGAGGTGCGCATTCCTTTGCCGATTGTAGTCGCCGTAGCTGCATCCTCAGAGCCCGAACGTGCGAAACATGGGCATGTCCGACATGTCCATGGAAGCGAGTGATGAACTTGGTGGTACATACCCAACACTTCCCAACCGTATCAGGCAAGGCTACAGAGCTGATTCCGACGAAGTCTTGTGCAGAAGCAGGGTTTTGAAGTGGCTTGCAGTGGTGAAGCACTTGCAGTGCAAAATGCAGAAAGGATAGATTTACCGACCAAGCCATGTTCGCCGTGTTGCAACCTTTGACAACTGTTCACACCAGCTAAATCCCGGCATCACCTTTTGTTGGCCCAATCCTTCCCAGCCAGGTCCAGGCACCGCATCGCTAGCAGCGCTGGGTTGCATTGCGGCCTGTCGCCAGGCTACATTTACACATCCCATGTTCATCCATGCTTTCAATAAACTTCCAATCATGTGTTATTTTTGTAAATCTTTTGTTGTGCCAAGATCCAGAAAAGGGTCAATAAAATGGATTCTATTGGCAAAACATGCGATATTAACCATGGATGATAAGGATGATCAGTTATTAGGGATGTCAGCACCACAAAATAGAAGATTAGCGGATGGTAGCCCCTGTTCCAGATTGAGCCGTTACTCCAGCGTAATCTTGAAAGTTCACTGGAATTGGACCCTTTAGGTCACCAAAGACATCCTTTTCGGATGATAAATTATGTTTTCAACTACAATAATAATGACAAATTGGGCAATTATTATGAAACAGTATGATTATTCAATATGATTCAATATAAACTTGTGACCTCTTGCAGAGTTGTGATCTATGCTTGGCAGACTGCAGTTAATACAGTTAATACAAGTTTGTGCCCTCAGGCATCAATCAAACAGTCGGGAATTTCTGTATCAAGACTACAACGGGCACTTCATGAATTCTAAGATGATGGAAGAGTCCTGGAAGAGGTTGTCTGCATTTTGTAAGTAGAACGTGTTACCTGACCCAGTTTTACACTTCTGTAGCACGCTGTATCTATCCTTGGCTGCAGCACCAGTTGCAGCATTCCCAGCAAAGGCATTTGGGTTTGCCTCCCCATTGGTTGCCCACTTTGACATGAAGTTGTGACAAAAAGACCCTCCCTAGCAGGCCCGAGCACAGACCCTTGATAGCCAAATACAATTTGACTTACACTTCGGAGCAACAGCGAAGAAATTCCAGCACACAACCGCTCTTGACATCAAAGTGCTCATCAAATGCAGCTTGGAAGCTGATCCAGCAGCTGCAGAAAAATGTTCAGACAAATCCAAGATCTTCATTTCCCACACAAAGTGAAACCACTCAAAATCTGCACCCATGGCACTCCGCAGCCCTAAAAACCAAGACATGTGCGGCAGCAACAGCAACACCCTCCCCCAAACCCAACATCCCACAGTTTCCGTTGACCCTACAGCAGCACCCTGTCAGTGGTGCCCTGGACAGCCCCTGGCAAGCACAGCCACCTGTTAAAGCAAGGACCCCAATACCGCTGAGTGAACAAAATGGACGAAGGCGAAGACGACGAAGGCGACGAAGGCCTGCTGTGGAGGAACTTCCACTGGCATCTTGTCAGTCTTGTCATTGTTGACGTTCGGAGTCTTACTGGAAGGCTCCTGGTCGGGTGACTGGGACTCGGGTTCTATGCAGCAGGACTGGTCACAGGTGGGAAGCAGAACCCATGAAGAACCACCAATCACATAAGGTGCTGCACGTAGCTACAACACGCTATGGCTCTCACACAAAATTTGCAGATGGACAATGCACGTCTAATTGGTGCCGGAAGCTGCTCGACACACTGACATTCGTGTTCCATGTCCGTGACATCCTGTCGCAATGCATGTCTGAAAACTCGTCCTCGACCGATTGGACAGGCTCTGTGTCGTACTGGGGATTATACTCCAGCACTTTGTACCTGTCACCAGCATCCGACAACTTTTAGTTTCTAGAGCATTTTATACCTACACATGGGCATGGAAAATGGGGGCCTGCCCGCCACAATCTCTCGCAGATAGTTCTGGTTGAGCCAAATTCCATAGAGCCTCGGCACCAAGCTCTAGAAGATCCTGCTTCGCGCACACAGCTCAATACTCTCAAGTAACCATTGGAGGTTTCCAATCGATGGGGGTACCCCCAGCCATCATCCATTTAAGATTTTAGGACTCCATTTTTATCCATTTTTGGGATACCCCCCATTGCAGGAAGCCCCTACAATTCAGTGGTACTTGCCCTGAGGCCAGCACAGGTTGATGATGATGGTCCAGAACATCACGAACATGCCAATGAAAAGCAACACGACCGCAAGGATCTGCGTACGGCTTTGTCCAGAGTTGACATGGCTTGAAATCATATATTCCCTAAACTAATAACTATTCATGTTGGGAAAAATAACGATGAACTGGATTTCGGCAACATCCTAAGCTCAGGACCATAACGAGACCCAGAAGGGCTATCAGGCATGGATTCTCCCCTTAGTCCGTCCAAGTTCATGGGTGTAAACGGTTTGCAAGCAACACTTCAAGCCCATCTTCACTCCGCATGCCTCTCACTTCAAGTTTATTGCATGCATAGAGCAAAAATGTTCGAAAAAATGCAAAAATGCAACGGGAGCGCTATGGTACGCTTCAAATAGACTGGAGGAAACGCAATCAGTCCATGCAGTGGTTCACTAAAAAACGAATAGCTTCAATAGCCGAGCATCCGCAATCACCACACATATCACAGGTGGGCATTTCTGAGCAGGTCAAGACAGGCAGAGAAGGTATGGGGTTATTTGAGCACATGATGGAACCACAAGCTTCACCTAGCTTCAGGAAGTTGCACTCGACCATTGTGACCACAACATTAGCTTAACCAACAATAGATGCTGGTTACAACAAGCTTCTTATCATCTCAAGAGCCGTAGGTCTTTGGGGATGTGACAACTTTTGAGGAACCAAAGCTTAGGGTGCCCGTGCTGTCAAAAGTACGAGGTTTATCTGGGTATCGGTCAGCTCACCCTGGTGCCCTGGTCACTCCAAAATGGCGGGCACTGGAAGGTCTGACCGTTCCCATGGTCCAGCTATTGAACATTATTGAACCATACAGTAACCATACACTATATATAGTGAACACATCTATATGCGCACTATATACTTATGTTGTCAGTTTCCGTTGCAAACCCTGCCTGCGCAACCATTGCAGTCAAAACAGCACTGGCAGCATTCTGTGCACTGGGCATCACATGACCCGCAGCAAGCCTCTGGACGACATTGACGCAGAACTCGCAAGATGGGTATGGGGCAGATCTGGGTACAGATTGGATTGTTGATAGTGCACATGACATGAAGTGAAGGGATGTGCAGGTTTGGAGGGTTTACGACTTCAGAGAAGCCAAAAAACAGGCGTCATGAAGCAAAAATGTCTTTCACGCTGCCCACCTCACACCCATAGCAATAGCAGTCAGGGCTCACCAAATAGCAGTACCTGATGTATGATGCTATCCTGACCCACATGGAACTACGTCACATCCAGAAACGTAAGGCTTGAGTGTAGGAGAGCCACAGGACTCAGTTCCCATCGAGAGAAATTCATCTCGCCTCGCAGCACTTAACCGCCTTAACCCAGGGCACAGCAAGCAAGAGTCATCTGACCCATGACAGCAATCTCTGAGACAATCTCTGCTCCTGACATGTCTCACTGACACTGCAGTAATTGCACCTGTGACAAACCACCAAGTGCTACTAGTACATGCAACTCTTTATCTGCCGGAAAGACATTCGATCTTGTCCCAAATGCAGAGACACACAAGGAAGCAAACCTAAGAATATATCCTGGCCTTCACGGATTGTTGTTGTGATTAAGCTTACAAAATCTTGATTCACTCTTCTAGGTCTTGAGCTTCCTACATTTTACCCACTCCAAGCGTCCCAGTCCTGTGTCGACTTTGTCGCGCCGTCGTCCACCACTCTGATGTGATGCTACGCCTTGCTCTGGTATCCTCTGCCTGGGAAGAGTAGACCCTGGTACCCCAAGTTATGGCCACTATTTAAAAAATAAAAATAAACCATGAGAAAAGGATGATGAACAAACAACTCGCCGCAGTGGGATTTGGAGGCACCCCATTAACAACTCGCCCAACATCTCAGTGGTTTTAATTGATCTGTTCATCTATTCGCTAAGCTGTCGGCAGCTCTGCGAAGCCTGCAGCAATAACTCTGGCAGCACATTTTCACTATTGAATCAGCAGCCGGGGGCCCGGCCTTCCAGTCACCCAAAGGTAGAGGAGATACAGCGTCGCCGCTGAACCAATAATGAAGCAATTGAAGCACACTCCCAGGAAAAACCAGCCACGAGAAGTGTCCTGAGTGGCTGAGGTGTGTACAGCTGCACTCGAAACGACACCAGATACCACAAGGGGCTTTATCTCTCAGCCTCACACGGGCTTCATAAAGCTAAGCCTGGCAAAATTGACATGGTACACGACAGCTGGTGTCCTGTCTGTGTTTGTAGAAAAAAACAGAGGAAAAAACACTGAATTCCAACGGATTGCCATCATTTTCTCAATTGAAATGGCCATTCGGGGCGAAATTCGGGTATACGGTGCATATACGTAGTATAACTCTTTTTCAGAGCCGTCTGTGCCAGTGACACTGCGCGGCGTTCCTTCCCCAGTCCACGACTTCAATGATGTTGGTCACTCGGACGAGCTGTCCCAGGCCCAGAGCAATCAAAAAGAAGAAGATGATCCTTGAGGGTTGCCAAATGTTGCCAATGTGCGACACCGGGAGCAAGAAAACATCAGAAAACACACAAGAAATCTGCAACTCAGTGCAGCTGAGGCTCTGAAAAACAGCTATGAAATAGAATACAAAATGAATTTGCCAGGGTTTTGTGCCTGTGTCAAGCCGATAGTGATATTGGCCTCGGTTTGGACACAAATATCATTATCACGAGGAGTCGTGCTCCTTTTCAGTACTGGGCCGCCAACAAACTTCGCCTTGGCCATCGTCGGAGCAGCAAAACATCAGAGGCATCCAAAAATCCACTGAATCAACTGGTGGATGGTTTCAACATGTTTCAACCTCCAAAAAAAACATGCGCAACTTGTTGGAAGCCGAGTCGCATCGTGTCAAGTTGGCCGGGTTCATTCCCGCTGTTCTCCACGCATCCAGGCCTTGAGCAAACCATCCCCAAGTAGGAAATGGTTCCCTCCTGTAAAGGTTTACATAGATGTGGAGAATCCACTATTTCATCTATTTCTAGATCATTTTCCATGGGTGCAACCCCATTGATTTTCCACATCTATGTTAGTTTACCCCAGGGTAAATCCCATGAAAAATGTCATTAAATCATTTAAATCTCTGGTTTAAATGGCCACATATGGCCATCCTGACCCGTCCTAACCCATTCAGAGGTGGCGCCCTTGGACTCAGACATCTTGGATGCACTGGAGCTTGGCAACGGCATGGATAGAAAAGATCGTTTCCCTCCTCGCAAACCAAATCTGGCGAGCTAACTTCAGTGACGCAATGGTTATATGGTCATATGGTTTTATGGTTATTATATATATATATATACAAAAATACATATCATTTGTGTACGTATATATATATGCCCTATTCAGCATGTACATATGTATGTTTGCTCCATATGTGTGTGTGTATATATATATGTGTGTGTGTGCGTTGTGTCAATTGAGATTCTCTATCATTGAGTAAATGTCCATCTCTGGTTACGGTGAAACAACAAATACAAATGCTGCAGTGCTATAACTCCTGTGTGTTTGCTGAAAGATTTTCTTGCCCCCAGCCTCCACTGGCGCACATGCATCCAAACATATCCGACATGTGTCCATAAAATGAAAAGACCTTGGTCAAAGCTCACCGTCCAAGGCTCCCAGCGCTCAACACAACGGAATCTGAAGAAACACTCAAGCATCAAAATAGTCAGCGAAAAATGAGATTTTTTGTGTGAGATTGAATATGCACATATACATATAATCATAATCATATAGATTCCATATATATATATCCATAATTATATATATATACATGCACATAATTATAGCTATATCCGCCGACCCCGGCCGGCAGCAAGGGAGATGGCGCCAAGGAAGAAGATGTTGCCTTTTCTAACAGAAGCAGCAACAGCAGGAGCAGGAGCAGCAGCAGGAGGAAGAAGTAGCTAAAATCATCATTTTCTATGGGCTTTAGAACTTGCGTGAGGCACTTTTTAGGTGCAATTTCGATGCTTCTCCGTCCTTCATTGCCGCAGCAACAGCAGCAGCAGCAGAAGCAGCAGCAGCAGCAGGAGGAAAAAACAACTAAAATCATTATTTTCTATTGGTTTCAGAACTTACGTTGGGCAGTTCTTGGGCGCAATTTTGATGATTCTCCGTCCTTCACTGCTATGGTGTTTTCCATCCGGGAGGTGTCTTTTCCGCAACAGCAGCAGCAGCAGCAGCAGCAGCAACAGCAGCAGCAGCAGCGAGGAGGAAAAAGTAGCTAAAAACATAATTTTCTATGGGTTTCAGAAGTTGCGTTAATTAAGCAGTTTTTGGGCACAATTTTGATGTTTCTCCGTCCTTCACTGCCATGGTGTTTTCCCATCCGGCAGGTGTCTTTTGAGCAGCAGCAGCAGCAGCAGCAGAAGCAGCCAAAGAGAAGTCCTTACACAGAGAACTTTAACACACAGAAGCTTTTACACAGAGAGAAGTCTTTACACAGAGGAGCTTTTAGGCACAGAAGCTTTTACACAGAGAAGTCTTTACACTAAGGGGATTTTGCGCACAAACGCGTTTACACAGAGGAGAAGTTTTTACACAGAGAAGTCAGAAGTCTTTGCACAGAGAAGTTTTTACACGCAGAAGCTTTTTCACGCAGAAGTTTATACACAGAGAAGCCTCTGAGGAGCCTCTACACAAAGGAGCTTTTACACACAAGGGCGTTTACACACAGAAGCTGTAACACACGGACGCTGTTACATTCACATGTTCTTGGCATTCTTCAACAAGAAACGACGATACAGATTGAAACTAGGCGACAGCGTGGCCCGAAAGAAAGCTGGAGGGAGGAGACGAGAAGATAGAACACAAGAAAATATGATGATGAATGCTGCTGGTGAGGAGCTTTTACACAGACGCGTTTACACACAGAAGCGTTTACGCACAGAAGCTTTTACACACACAGGGGCTTTTACACACAGAGAAGTTTTTACACAGAGCGGTTCTTAGACACAGAAGCTTTTACACACAGAGGCTTTTACACAGAGAAGTCTTTATACAGACTGGTTTTTTCATGCAGAAGGTTTTTCGCAGAGAAGTCTTCGCACAGAGGAGCTTTTACACAGAGAAGCTTTTACACAGAGAAGTCTTTATACAGACTAGTTTTTACACGCAGAAGCTTTTACACAGAGAGAAGTCTTTACACAGAGGAGCTTTTAGGCACAGAAGCTTTTACGCAGAGAAGCCTTTACACTAAGGGGATTTTGCACACAAACGCCTTTACACAGAGGAGCTTTTACACACAGAAGCTTTTACACAGAGAAGTGATTACACAGAGAGCTTTTACACACAGACACGTTTGCACACAGAAGCGTTTACACAGAGAAGCCTTTACACAGGAGCTTTTACACACAAAGGCGTTTACACACAGAAGCTGTTACACGCAAACGGTGTTACACAAAAAGTCTTTACACAGAGAGCTTTAGCACGCAGGCGCGTTTACAGACAGAAACTTTTGCACAAAGAAGTCTTTACACAGAGAGGTTTTACACACGGAAGCTTTGACACACAGATGTTTCTACACAGAGAAGTCTTTACACACAGAAGCTTTTATACAGAAAAGCCTTTACACCGAGGAGCTTTTACACACAAGGGCGTTTACTCACAGAAGTTTTTACACAAAGAAGTCTTTACTCAGAGAGCTTTAACACACAGGCGCGTTTACACAAAGAAACTTTCCCACACAGAATTCTTTACACAGAGAGCTTTTACACACGGAAGCTTTCACACACAGAAGTTTCTACACAGAGAAGCCTTTACACAGAGAAGCTTTTACACACGGAAGCTTTCACACACAGAAGTTTTTACACGGAGAAGCCTTTACACAGAGAAGCTTTTACACACGGAAGCTTTCACACACAGAAGATTTTACACAGAGAAGCCTTTACACGGAGAAGCTTTTACACACGGAAGCTTTCACACACAGAAGTTTTTACACAGAGAAGCCTTTACACAGAGAAGCTTTTACACACGGAAGCTTTTACACACGGAAGCTTTCCCACACAGAAGTCTTTACACAGAGAGCTTTTACACACGGAAGCTTTCACACACAGAAGTTTTTACACAGAGAAGCCTTTACACAGAGAAGCTTTTACACACGGAAGCTTTCACACACAGAAGTTTTTACACAGAGAAGCCTTTACACAGAGAAGCTTTTACACACGGAAGCTTTCACACACAGAAGTTTTTACACAGAGAAGCCTTTACACAGAGAAGCTTTTACACACGGAAGCTTTCACACACAGAAGTTTTTACACAGAGAAGCCTTTACACAGAGAAGCTTTTACACACGGAAGCTTTCACACACAGAAGTTTTTACACTTTTACACAGAGAAGCCTTTACACAGAGAAGCTTTTACACACGGAAGCTTTTACACAGAGAAGCCTTTACACAGAGAAGCTTTTACACACGGAAGCTTTTACACACGGAAGCTTTCCCACACAGAAGTCTTTACACAGAGAGCTTTTACACACGGAAGCTTTCACACACAGAAGTTTTTACACAGAGAAGCCTTTACACAGAGAAGCTTTTACACACGGAAGCTTTCACACACAGATGTTTTTACACAGAGAAGCCTTTACACAGAGAAGCTTTTACACACGGAAGCTTTTACACACGGAAGCTTTCCCACACAGAAGTCTTTACACAGAGAGCTTTTACACACGGAAGCTTTCACACACAGAAGTTTTTACACAGAGAAGCCTTTACACAGAGAAGCTTTTACACACGGAAGCTTTCAGACACAGAAGTTTTTACACAGAGAAGTCTTTACACAAAGGCGCTTTACACGAAGTGGAAAGTTGAAATTGGCAGCAATTCTTTTGGAAAAGCCCTTCGCAAGGAGCTTTCGGGAACAAGCCTTCCCCACTTGCTCCAAGATAAAACTGCAGTTCCATGATTCCATGAATATGTTCAAAAAAAACATAAGGGCAGCAGGTCTTCAAGCCCACCCTGCGATGACATCGAGGGTCAAGTAATCCGGCGGAGCCGACGATGAGCGTCAGCTCTAAATATATGTATGTATATATATATAATATTGCTTTGTACATATATCATCCGCCTTTTGTGTTTTGCTGCGCCACATCAAAGGTTGCCCAGCCTTTTCCAAATTTACTGCCCGGGCACGTTGAACTTTCTTCGAAAGCTCACTCTCTCATGTGCAACGCTGTCCGAGCTAAGGCATTGAGCTTCAAATAGCTTTTGAAGAATGCACAAATCATCCAAAATCTATTGGCGAAATGTGTGATATGCGTGAAAACGATGCAAAAACCCCGAAGATCCCGCCATTGATCATCCTTTTCCCTATTCAAATGGCCATAACTGGGGATATACACCATGTTCAGACCCATTGTTTCAGAAGCAAAACATTACAAATGTCTCCCCTGTCAGTGCCGGTCAATTCATGTTTTGCAAAGTTGTTTGAAAATCCACAAGTTCCAAGTCAAAGTGGAAAGTCAGTAAGCGCCTGCAATGATCCGAGATTGCCGCGTGTCCACAAGGCATTGTCCTTTGGTTATGTACACCTTGTCTGCATCACGCCGCCGTTGCATCGCACTGCATCACTTCAAACATGTTGTGAAAGGCAGAGGACAAGTAGACCGTACCACCATCAGTTCTGTGCCATGAGTTTGCGACCAACTTAATTGCTTGCAATCTGCTGGCCACCTTTGCAGCCAACCTGCAGCCAGTGATCACAGCCCCAGCAGGCCACCAGCAGCCTGGGCAGCCTGAGACACCCACTCCTCCGAAGAAACGTAGAAGACTTCTCCACCAGGACTCGAGCCCAGGGGAGTCATGGAAACGATCGCTCCTTCCTAGTCAACGGTCAAAAAACCCACCACAACGTCCCCACATCCACACGTCACTACGTAGCGAGTCCACCTGCAACTGACGCAGTAAAAGCTCCACGTTCACGGATCGAACCACCCCAGCATACATGTAGTCCACCCCATCACCTCACCAACTCTCCCTATCTGAATCCATCAGTCATGTCACTTTCCTCAGGTTTGCAGCAATGTTTTTATGTCCAAAAATGAGTGCTCCAATGTGCTTTATCATCGCAGGCCAAGGGATGTTGGTTAGTTGCCAACAAATCCTGCAGGAACGGTGGAAAAACAACAACAAAATGTATCCAGCACTAATGGTCCTGTAGCTATTATTGGAACCGGTTTTCTTCATGTTGGGAACCTGAAATGGTATTCTCAACCTAGAATTTCCCTCTATTTCTCCTCTTCGTTTCGTTTGGAGCTGGGCTAGTGACGCACCCCCATGGGTGATGCTGTGAAGAAATTGGTGCTGCTGATCTCAGCGCCAAAATTCTGTGTGCACAAAAATGATTGAGACTCCAATTTTAACTAAGATAAATGCGCTTTGGAATGAGGATATATAACCAACTTAGATCAACTTACCACCAGTAGTACCGCACAAGGCGGTGGCGGAGTTTCAAAAATAGGAAACCCATAGGAGAGGTTGGTCGTTGTGAATCACGAATGGCAGGGCGAATCCACTGATGGACCGAAAGGTGGTTGGACTTGTATTTTCCCGACTGTGTAGCAAGGGTTCCCGTTTCACTCTGGGGGTCTGGGGGCTGAGGGTGTGTTCGCTCGACGTTGCGTTTACGTTCGCAACCGTCCGCAACCGTCCAACCGTTCGCAACCGTTCGCGCGATCCCCGTATGGCCGTGCCTATGGTAAGTTCTGCAGAAGAGGTCATTTTTGGAGGTTTCAAACGTCTCGTTGCTTCGTTTCGCGTGGCAGGCGTGGCACTTCGTGACATTCAGACGTACTTTGTAACGTGTCGAAAATGGTTCTGCGTGGCAGGCGCAGTACTTTCGCGACGTTTTCCGAAGATGCATTGCAGTTTTCGTGGCAGGCGCAGCACTTTGGACGTTGCGTGTTTGTTGCAAATCACATTGGCAGGGCTGCGTCAAGTGGCGACAGGGTGCAGATTCTGTGGCATTTTCTGAGATGTGGATTTTGAGGTACCAAAATTTCACGTTCCTGAGAAAACTCGTAGGAAAACGTCGATTTTGAAGCTACAAAGTGTGAAAATTGGAGGAAGTCTCCCACGAGATGCTCGTTTTGGTGCTCCCACGTGTCTCGTCTCGAGTCTCTGGTTTTCCTGTGGCCTAGCCGTGTCTATGGGGGAAGCGGCAAAGCCTCTCCTTTTCGAAGGTTTCCAAGCAGGTTGTCATGTCGTTTTGCGTGGCAGGCGTGGCACTTTGTGACATTCCAACCTGTTTGATAACGTGACGAAAGTTCTTTTGTGTGGCTGGCGCAACAATGCACTCCACACTTTACACTCAACACATTACACTCCACTCTCCACACTTTGCACTCCACACTCCACACTCTACACTTTACACTCTACACTCCACACTTTACGTATTACACTCCACACTTTACACTTTACACTCCACACTTTACACTTTACACTCCTCACTCCACACTCCACACTCTACACTTTACACACTCTACACTCCCCACTCCACACTTTACACTCCACACTCCTTACTTTACACTCCACACTCCACACTCTACACTTTCCACTCCACACTCCACACTCTACACTTTACACTCCACACTCTACACTTTACACGCACCCATTTTCCACTCCTCACTCCACACTTTACATTTTACACTCCTCACTCCACACTTTGCACTCCACACTCCACACTCTACACTTTCCACTTTACACTCCACACTCTACACTCTACACTTTACACTCTACACTTTACACTTCACACTTTACACTCTACACTCTACACTCCACACTTTACGCTGTACGCTCCTCACTCCACACTTTACACTCCTCACTCCACACTCCACACTCTACATTCCACACTCCACACTCCACACTCTACACTCCACACTCTACACTCCGCACTCCACACTCTACACTTTACACTACACTTTACACTACACTTTACACTCTACACTCCACGCTCCACACTCCAGTGTTCTGCGTGACTGCATATCCATGTGTTTCGACATCAGTACCATTAACATACGTGTGAGCATTCGGGTTCGTGGGCTGCATCTTGTTTTTAAGTGGCTGCAATGGTTGCAATGGTCACCTCACCCACAACTGCTGGATGTAGTGTGGTGTAGCGCAGTTGTAGTTGCAGTTGTAGTTGTAGTTGTAGTTGTAGTTGTGCTGTAGTGTAGTGGAGTTGTAGTTCTAATGTATTGTAATTAATGTAGTGTAGCCGCAGTTGCAGTTGCAGTTGTAGTTGTGGTGTGGCGTAATTAGCGTAGTGTACTGTAATGTTGTGTACTGTAGTGTGGTATAGTGCGCGTGTGTAGTGAAAAATAGTGTAGTTGTAGTTGTAGTGTACTTAGTGTACTGTACTGCAGTGTAATGCAGCGGTAGTTGCAGTTGCTGTGGTACTTGCACTTGTAATGTAATGCAGTTGCAGTTAGTGTAGTGTAGTTGCAGTTGCAGTTGCAGCTGTGGTGTGGTGTAATTAGTGTAGTGTAGGGTAGTGTAGTATAGTTTAGTGTAGTGTAGTGTTGTGTACTGCAGTGTTGTGTACTGCAGTGTAGCCTACTGTCGTGTAGCCTACTGTAGTGTATTGTAAAGTAGTGTAATTGTAGCTGTAGCGCAGTGTAGTGTAATTACTGTAGTGCAGCGTAGTGTAGCGTCATGTAGTGGTAGTTCTAGTTGTAGTTGCAGTTGCAGTTTTAGTTGTAGCGTAATGCAATGCAGTTAGTGTAGTGTAGTGTTGCGTAATGTAGTGTAGTTGTAGTTGGATTTGTATTTATAGTTGTAGCGTGCTGCAGTGTAATTAATGTAGTGTAGCGTAATGTAGTGTATTGTAATTGTAGTTGTAGCTGTGGTAGTAGCAGCAGCAGCAGTAGTAGTAGTCGTTGTCGTTGGGAAATTTGTGTAGTGTAGTGTAATTAGATTTAATTAGCGTAGTGTAGTGTAATTAATGTAGTGTAATGTAGCATAATATGGGTATGGTTCGAAATTCGGGTATGGATCGGCCCGCGGTGATCCGGACGTGTGGAACGAATTAGGTTTCGTAGGCTTCTTGATCCGGACCTCGCCAAGCCTAGACTTTGCCACAACTGCAAATCATTTTTTTTGCAAGCACCGTCATGTTTGAATCATTTTGAATTGCAGCATTCAGCATGTTGGCCGTTTAACATTTAGTCAGTTTCGATGGGGAAAAAACACGAGCGCGAGAAGGTGTCACACTGTTCTGCCGCAATGCTGACTATTCACTTTGACGGCAACTAGGATTTCACTGGCATACGGCATTGCAAAGTTGTGGGCTGCATCGTAAGCGTGACTAGCGGTCAAGGCAAGCAGCTGTTAAACCAGGCTGGCTCCATGCAGTCTAGCAGTCTAGCACTTCAAGCTTGGCCAACGCAGTGTTTTGGCTGCGTCTACAATCGGGCGGGTGCAACGCCTAGGCACTTGCAAAGTTTCAGGCCACACCGTAAGCGTGACTAGCAGAAGGCCAATCAAAGCAAGCAGCTGTGAAACAAGGCTGGCTCCATGCGGTCTAGCAGTCTAGCACTCCAAGCTTGGCCAACGCATTGTTTTGGCTGCGTCTAGGGTCGGGCGGGCGGGTGCAATGCCAAGGCATTTGCAAAGTTCTGGGCCGTACCGTAAGCGCGACTAGCAGAAGGCCAATCAAAGCAAGCAGCTGAAACAGACCCAATGATCAGGCAATAAAAAATTTGGAAATGAGACCCAGTTCTGCATTTCCTGCCTCACCGTTGCAGCAGCTGCAGGCTGCAATTCACCTCAGCCTCCTTCCAGGCGAAGTTACCATACGAGTGCTCCCTGGCGATAAAATGTACCAGGCAATGGAAATCGAACCTGAATTTATGCGACCCGCCATCCTACATGGTTTCGGTACCAATGTTGGGTGTTTAAGGGGGAAGCCTGACAATCCTGACCAGTCTGCGGTCAGACAGAGCTTCTTTCTAGGGACCTGACCAGGTAAAGGAACTGGGGGGCTGGGGGTGGGGGCAGCGCTGAAAACCCTGACCAGTCTGCAGTCAGAGAGATCAGGCACCACAACAGAAAAAGCCCAAAAATTGAGACAGCAAGGAAAAGTGGGGAAAACACAAACACGAGGTGAGGGGAAGGGGGTTGAGAGTGGCGCTGACAACCCTGACCAGTCTGCGGTCAGAGAGGCCAGACACCACTTGGGGAGGGGTTCAACGGTAGAGCAAACAACAGAGAAAGGAGCAAAGGGAGAACAGCAGGGAAAGGGGGTCGAAACGTTGGAGGTCACACGAAAGGATTCCGAGGCTGGTGAGAAAAGACAAGTTGACCGGCAGCGAGATAGTGTGTTATCTGCACCGAGGGCAGAGAGGGAGACAACAAACCAAACGTCAAGGATCCAGTTACCCCTCTAGTGCAATCCGCATTGAGCCATACAGCAGCAGCAGCCTACCTCACGCACCTTTATATACCTAATCCGCAACATGCCTATATTTGCTGTGTCCAATGGAACTTTGCCATGCCAGAATATGATTGCTCGATACGTGGTCACCTAAGTTTAGCCAACAGTAGTATTCAGGTGACTTCATTTCCTGTTCTTTGGCAATGTTATGACACAAGTGGCAATGATAGTGGGACCCAAGATTTAGTGCCGGGCCATCAGCCCACTAGGGCACAGGATCAAACAGTCCCACCAGGAAGGGGACAATAAGCCAGCTACAAAGAGCCGCCGATGCAACATGAGTTGGCTAGTGCTACGTTCAGGTTTGGGAAGAAGTGCAGCTCAGCGAACTTGGGGAACGAAGGCATATACAGGTTATGACTACTTTGCGTGGGATGCGAGGTAGTATGCATTGCAGCGTCAAATTATCTCTGGAGAGGGCTCCAACCTCGCAGTTCTTCGCATGCTCTTTTTCTCCTGCAACTTGCTACATCTCGGCCACGCAGCTCTGTGGCCGCCTGCAGGAGTATCGGTACGGGCACTCGCCTTGGTGAGATTTCCTACTTCCATAATAGTTTGATATTATTTAATCTGTCTGCCGCAGCAGGAAGCAATTAGCTGCCAAAATGTCCTCGGATTGCAGCCAACCAGGTGGTAGCTTGGGAAGATACAGCCCTGCCATCAGCTTCGCCAGTGGAGTGACTCATGTCCTACATGGTCGATGGGGGCCAGTGCGCCGTGGGTAATCTTCGACAACTTTGGTGAGCAACTTCATAGCACGCTCTGAGTAGGCGATGCTTATGGGCACTGTTAAGTGCGAGGGCTGACTTTCCTCCCACGAGCCCATGCGGGTGGGTGCATTCATCAATATGCCCACCATTCTCTGTTAATGCTGCAACCCGCACTGCACTGACCGGCTCCGTCCAGGGATGGACCCACTTGCTCCATGGGCAGTCAAGGAGAGCGCCCACTTGAAACAAGGCTGGCTCCATGCGGTCTAGCAGTCTAGCACTCCAAGCTTGGCCAACGCATTGTTTTGGTTGCGTCCAGGGTCGGGCGGGCGGGTGCAATGCCAAGGCATTTGCAAAGTTCTGGGCCGTACCGTAAGTGCGACTAGCAGAAGGCCAATCAAAGCAAGCAGCTGTGAAACCAGGCTGGCTCCATGCAGTCGAGCAGTCTAGCATTCCAAGCTTGGCCTTCGCAGTGTCTAGGCTTTATCTATAGGTTTGGTCCGGGTGCACGGGCAATGCATGCCACCGCACCCCTCATTACTTTGTCAAAGCTGTGTTCAAACCATCCAAGGTTGTCATTGTGTTGCCAGCTTTTAGCATGTGCCGTGAGAAACAAAACATATCATCATGGAAACATATTCCAAAAAATAACTTTGCACGGAATTTGCGTTTGAAAGGCCTTTATCCCCAGCACCCCTCTGCAGACACAAGGCCCTTTTGCACGCTAGGAATCGGAGCTGTCACTATCAGAGGAGCTGGAAGACTCAGAGGCCTTGAAATGCGCACGTTCTCTGCGAGCCTTTTGGGAGCGCTTAGCTCGCTGCTTCTCTTCTGCGAGGATGCGTTGCAGCTCCGTTTGGCGCCGAGCGGTGATGCCCACTTTGGCGTATTTTTGTGCTTGCAGCCTTCGCTGCAGCAAAGCCTCCGGAATGGCTTCTTTCTCCGGTTCATCTTTTCTATATGAAACCCTCCAATCTTTGTCTTCACAAATACGATCAACCACATTAGGGCTTCCCAAATTTGCGCCACCATCAGGCAATGGGATCCTGTCAGTGTAAATGAAATTCATCATCCGCACTGGATACTTGGTGGCTGCTGTGCGCAGGAAAGCAAGACAATAAGTATAATCTATTTTCAAATCTGTAGACGAAACGTCCAGATAAAGAAAAGTCTTTGGCTTTTCAGGGTGAAAGTGTGCTTTTCAAACTCTTCAATGCCTTAATCTCTGCCTCCCGGAGCGCATTCAAATGCTGTCGCACTCCCTTTCCAGATGGTGTTGTCTTCAGTCTTCGTGCATCCATTTTCTTCTCAATGTAGTTGACTGCGCCTCGTACAAATTGCAAGCCAGTCTTGCCTTCAGGGTCAGTTTTCCCTGCAGCCTCTAACGAATTCCAGTGATTGTCCAAATTTTCAAAATAGGTCGCGTCCAGTGCTCTGACCTGGTGGAAAGCGCCTTCCACATATTGATTCACACGTGGCACGACCAGCTTGTCGTACTTGTGGCAAATAGGGCACATGTCCACTTTCTTTTTGAACTTTGTGAACTGAGGGTGCTCAACTTTCAAATGCCGCAGCCACGACGTGAGGCTCATCAAATCCTGCATACCCTGATTCAATTTCCACAGCTTGCTTTTTGAGCGTGTGAGGGCGCGACATTGGACCAGCTCATGCCCAATTTTACGATAGTGGGAAGATATCTGCGAGTTTGCAAGAAGGAATTCACGGACTTTTTGTATGTTTGACGGGTCCTTGACAATGCTCTTGCGTCCTCGCTTCTGACCACCAGCTTTATTGCACACTTTGGACCACAATTTTCTGCCAAATTTGAAACCTAGGGCTTTTTCCGTTCTCTTCTTCTTCTTAAAGACATCCTTGCCAGCTTGTGCCAGCACCCGCCGGGCAGCGCTTGATGCATCACTGGTTCCCTCCGCGTAGCGCGCAACCTGCTTCACCACTTTGCTTAAGCCAGCTGCGGAACTTGCATCATATGCTTCCTGCGTATGCACTGACAAATCTGCTCGCTCCTCAGAAGTCAATAGCTCCCAGAGAGTTTCAGCCACAGTCTCAGAGTTTCCCGCAGCCGTCCGGAATGCTACCAAGGCGTCTTTCAGAACCTTCTTTGGCCTCTCTAGCTTCCTTGCTTCCGTGGTCCTCTTCCTTTTCTGCTTCTTCTTGGGCGGCATTGCTGCGAATGAGCAGGTTGCAGTGATCGTGGGGTATGCCTGGGATGTAGCTACTTTTGGTCTGGATCGGGTCTGGATCGGTCTGGAACCAGGTCTGGAACGGAATGCAGCTAGTATGTTCACAAATTCTGCCTGATGAAGAATGCAACAAATGCTTTCACTCTGTTCATGATTCATGATCCTGCTATCAAAGCGACATTCCTCATCCATGAATGCTACATCCGCAATAAACGGCAAAAACGACGGCAGGTAAAGTCTTTTGACAACTAGCACAATGCTGACCTAATCTAGTTGAAGACTGCACCCTTTCAAATCAGTTAACCAGCAACTTGCAAGGCACTGGTTGTGCATGGACATTGGCACACAATCTTTGCTTGATCACAAGGAAGCACCAGCAATTAAACAGTCTTCCCTGAACACATTCTTCTCCACTGCTGGGCACACACCTTCCTTGCACAGGCACAAGCGGATCCGCTAGCCAGTACGCTTTGCGCACACCACGAGTGAAACCACTCTTGCCTGAACTCCTCTTACTGAACCATAGTGCTGCAGTGCTGGACACACCATCCTTGCTCAAGCACAGGTGGCTCCGCTAGCCAGTGAGCTTGCACACACCACGAGTGCAAACACTCTTCCCTGAACTGCTCATAGTGAGCCATAGTGCTGCAGTGCTGGACACACCATCCTTGAGCCAGTGAGCGTTGCACACACCACGAATGCAAACACTCTTCCCTGAACTGCTCATAGTGAGCCATAGTGCTGCAGTGCTGGACACACCATCCTTGCTCAAGCACAGGCGGCTCCGCTAGCCAGTGAGCTTGCACACACCACGAGTGCAAACACTCTTCCCTGAACTGCTCATAGTGAGCCATAGTGCTGCAGTGCTGGACAAACCATCCTTGAGCCAGTGAGCGTTGCACACACCACGAATGCAAACACTCTTCCCTGAACTGCTCATAGTTCGTGCTAGTGCTGTAGCGCTGGACACACCATCCCTGCTCAACCACATGCGTTTCACGAACCACGAGCGCAAAACACTCTTCATTCCTAGTCTTACGCCGGTTCCAACCACTCATATTCGCAAAACGACCAACATATTTCAAGGTCAGCCAATGTCAGCCACGTGTCCCAACAAAGCCAGCATAAACTTGCAGACTTCCGCTTGTGAACTTGCAAGTATAGTCTCAAAAGCATCAAAGCTGAGATTGGACAGCTCAACAAACAACATATAAAAACACCAGCAGAGAACAGTCAAACATGCAAGTGCTTCAAACGAAAGAGCAGGGTAGATGAAACATGGGAGAAACGAACACATCTTTTAAACAAAATGGGACAGGGTTTGCCGGGCAAGTCATGCAAGATTTTTCTCGCGTTGCCCCATTGTCTATCTGATCCCAACTGCACATTTCGCTTCGGGAATGTGAGACCCACAAATGGTCACGACTTTGTGGCCACAAAAAGTTGCGCCTGTCACTTCTTCTTGAACCGTTTCCTGGTGGCCTCAGCCCTGTCGCTGGCTTCAAGGTCGTGGCTTTTCCATTCTGCACGAAGATCCTTGCTCTCCCCCGCAATGGCTTCGAGCTGGGCTTTGCTAAAGTCATCCTGCGTGCCTGCCCTTTTGAGTCCAAGATGTTTTCGGCCATGGTACACGAAACCTGGAAGGCATCAGATGGCCACACACAAAAAAAGAATGCTACATGGAAAAGCCCTTCATCTTTAAAGTTTGGGTCAAAGGAAAAAACGAACCGCATGCATGTGAGGGACGCTGCCGACACCAACCACAAAGAGCTCCATGGGCAGATGGGGGTTTAACCCGCTTCCACTCCAAAACCTTCTGCTCCTTGCAGTTCTTGCAGGTCTGCGCCGTTTCATACATCTTGCCCGTGTGGTTCCCGGGCTGCTTCTTGATGGTGCGCACTGGCTTCTCACTAGGTGTCCAAGCAAAGACGGGCTGCTCTTCCAAGCGCGGAGGGGTCACCATCTCCTACGGGCACACAGAATCATGCACTATGCCTCGTGATCTTTTTCTTTGTTGTATCTATAACCGAATCCCCTTTCCAAGTTTTTGCATGTTTCCCCCAAGCAAGCTAGAAATTCTCTTCATCTAAAACCCTGTTCTCATCTACGACCGCTGGGGGATCCTGAGGTTCAACTTGGGCAGGAGGGCTTGCAGCTTGGGGCGGCTCTGCACCACCATCCACGGAAGGTTCATCCGGCTGACTTGCCTCATGCTGATCCGCGGTCCTGGCAAGGAACCCAAAGCTCACAATACAAGAGCCCAAGCCTGGACTAGCAACCGAACTGAAAGAAGCTAGTGATGCTTTCACAAGCCACGGGAGCCAAAAAGCAAACAAGAAAAGAACGAGCTTGAAATATCTTGAAATCATACACTATGTCACAGCCCAGCGGCTCAGCATACTCTTCAAAGGGGTTTTCTGGATCCTTTTCTACAGGTACAACCTGTTTCACTGGAGAACCATGGCTTGCGGCACACGGCCCGGTGCAAATCCCATCTCCTCCTACCATACGCCGGGCAAGAGCAGCCCTGATTTCCAAATCCAAAGCATGAGCTGAGCATTTCACTTCCCATGTTTGGCAAGTGTCAGCCAATGCAACTTGGCTCAAACGCACGATCTGGGAACATGTCAACGCCTTTTTAGGCGGCATGGTGAAGCAGCAAAGTCCCCCTGGAAAAACACTTTTAGCCAAATGGCTTCCGTATGGTGGCCTGAAGCAAAATATTATATGAGCGCAGGTCAATATAAATCAGCACCAGTGGATGCCTTAAGCGGACAACTAAAAATTACCAACAACCTGGCCCTATACTGCATTTTCCTCAATTCGACCCATTGCGGTATGCCTGCAGATTGGGATGGTGTGCATGTGAAAATGATGTTTGACTACTTGCAAGGTTACTTAACATTATTTAACATCAGTTCTGTTGTTCATCATATGGTCTGGATCGTAACATCTGGATCGTTTTCTTTAAAGGGGTCTGGATCGCAGGTCTGGATCGTGGGTCTGGAACACATGTGGGCCCGGAGCTTGATCCAGACCTTATATTTTGACTCGCAGCCATATGTTTGCATGTGTATTAGTAGCGTGGTGTAGTGGTAGTTGTTGTCGTGGTTGTAGTTGTCTATCTATCTATCTGATTCTATCTGTCTACCTGCAAGCTTGAAAACGAAGCCATGCTGTGAGACTGCCTCAGTTTTTGAGTTCGACAACATCAAAAACGCAGCAATTCAGGGAGACTTCCTCAATTTTTGAAGTTGGGAACATCAAAAACGAAGCAATTCTGCGAGACTTCCTCGCTGTTTGAAATTGGCAACATCAAAAACGAAGCAATTCTGCGAGACACCCTTCAATAATGGAAAGTTGAGTGCAGAGATGACGGCCTCGTACCAATGCGTTTTGCGATTTTTCCAGTCCTTGTCTCTGAAGTATTGCGCCTGCCACGAAAAAGTGATGCCAGGTCATACAAGTGCTGCACCTGTCACACAAAATCATTTCCCCAAAACTGAAGATCTGATGCTCCAAAACGCACCCGACCTCCTAACATCTCTGATGGACATGTCTCTTGTACTGCGCCTGCCACCCGAAATGCATCTTTGCACATCCTCTGCAAATGTCCCACACCTGCCATCGTTATTGGAAATTCCACAAAACCCTAACGTTTTGCTCGCTTTTGGCAAGGTGCAAAATCCATCGCGCCTGCCACGCAAAACTACATCTGAACCTTCAAAACTGGTCCGAGCATGTGGTGCTTTTAACATTTTGACCTGGAAATGTGCTTCGCGCCACAACGGCGTGCACTTTTTCGACATGTCAGCTTCCAAAAGTGCTCCGACCCTGGTGTGCTTTGCATGTTTTGACTTGGAAATGTGCTTCGCGCCACAAGGGCGACCACTTTTTCGACATATCATCTTCCAAACGTGCTCCGACCCTGGTGTGCTTTGCACGTTTTGACTTGGAAATGTGCTTCGCGCCACAACGGCGTACACTTTTTCGACAACTTCCAAAAGTGCTCCGACCCTGGTGTGCTGTGTACATTTTGACTTGGAAATGTGCTTCGCGCCACAACGGCGTCCAAATGTTCGACATCTCAACTTCCAAAAGTGGTCTGAGACCGTCAGTTTTTTTACACTTTTGACTTCACGTGCTTCGCGCCACAACGGCGTGCAACTTTTCATCTCTCATCTGGCCAGATGGCTCCGCACCCGCCGCTTTAGCCAGCCTACTTTTCGACCCTACAAATCATTGGAAAAACACAGTGTTTCGCCACTTTGCTACCTCTTCGCGCACCTGCATCTTCTTTCCTCTGACTCTTTCTCTTCTCTGATCTTCATTTTTCTTCTCTTCTCTTCTCTGACTCTTCCCACCTCTGCTTTTCCATCTGTCCATATTGTCGGAAGTTTGACTTCTAAACTTCCTTCGATAATTGGGGATTTGCCTCTAAAAAATTCAATAGAGTATACCGTAACCCCAAACTGGCGGTTTCGATGGTAAAATGATGATAAACCAGCGGATTTGGGGGCACCCGATTTTCAGACCCCAATCAGGCCACGTTTGATTAGGATCCTGGCCACTGAAACTGCTCCACGAACCTTGAGTTTCGACATGAACGCTGACAGACAGCGGGGCCTTGCTTAATCTTGGACAGCGGCAGAGAATAGACCTGCAGATGCGGATCCTCCAATGGCTCCCTTGCTCGACCTCAGGGACACGTTAGCCCACAGCATGCATGGATCAAAACCTACGGACCAGTGAAACTGACGCACAGAAGGGCCCCACAAGTTGCGTTTCTCAAAGCCTGCCGTCACAGCGCTCTCCACCTGTGCTAAGTTTCTCCACAAAATGCATCCCGCTGGCTGTGAGTTTTCTCAACGCCTCCACTCGCGCGAAGCCAGCTTCTTGTTTCGCATATCGCATTGCCTGCGTTGTGAATGTCATGCGAAGCCCTTCACCTCTTGTGCAGAGCTGAGCAGTTCCGTGACATCTGACCCTCAGAATGTGTTTAGCCGGCCTTCTCATCTATGACAACGCCTGCCAAACGATTGCCCACCTGCACTTGCAGTGAAGCTTCCCTTACAACCAGCATGACAATTTATAATATTGCTCTCATTGCATATCGGTGTCGATGTCTTCGCATACACTATCACTCACTGTCACTATTCTATTTGCGACATTAAAGCATTTGCTGCAAACAACAATTTTTCCACTCTGTCGCCTGGTGCACGGGCAAAGGTTCATGGTAAGGAAGGACTACCAAAACTATTTCAGTATGAAAGAACAGTGCCACTCACATCAAAGAGGCTGCCATGCGCCTCCGTGGCGGAAAGGGATGAAACGTTCAAGAGTGTTTTATGAACTCGGAAAAATCATGAAAAGTCCAGAAATTCTCATGAAAATGATGCTTGACGGCCCTCGCTTTTGTCTTCGCATGGAAAGTGGCTATGAGCCCACACAGCTCAAGCTCTGGTCACGGCAGCTATCTCTGTCACCACGGTTACGGACGATCGGACGATTCGTAAATGTTTTACCTAATATTTCTAGATGTTTGGAAGATTTTTCTGTAAATCCCAGCCTACTCTGACTGGTAGAGCTGACTGCACTGCTGATTCCTCTCACTTGGTGAGGATCTACAGCAGACCCAACAGGATCCGGATCAAGCACTTGCTCTCGATCTACCCGCTGCTGAGCCTAAAATTGCTTGGAAAACTCCAAGCCTACAATTAGCTTCAATTCACCCTAGGATTTGCCACCAAACTCACAAGCCTGGGTATCCAAACTTGCTGGCCCACTCTTCGACTTCCTTCTTCAGGGTCATCACCTCAGCGTTCTCAGGGATCGCAGCCTCGAAGTCCTTCAGCTTCTTGCCCTTCTCAGATTGGATCTTCAAGGCAATCTGACAGCATCGATCCAAGAAGTCCCCAATCTTCCTGAAGTCCTGCTCCGTGCAGCCTCTGGTGGTCATGGCCGGTGCACCAATGCGCACACCACCAGGCGACAGCGCAGAAGCATCACCGTGCACAGCGTTGCGGTTCAAAGTGATGGAAGCGGCTTCACAGATCTTTTCCACCTTGGAACCTGTGAGACCATGTGGTCGCAAATCCCACAGCAACAGGTGGTTGTCAGTGCCATCACTGGCCAACTTGTGTCCCTTGCCCATCAAGGTCTCAGCCAATGCACAGGCATTGGTTTTCACGTTCTTGGCGTACTCTTTGAACATGGGACTGTCCACCTCCAAGAGCTGTGTGGCCAGGGCACCAATCTGATGATTGTGAGGACCGCCCTGCAAGGCCGGGAAGACCGCCATGTCGATGCGCTCCTTGATATCTGGGATCTTGTCACTGTACTTGAAGAAGATCATGCCAGCACGGGGGCCGCGCAAGGACTTGTGGGTGGTGGTGGTGACGACATCACAATGCTCAAAGGGGGATGGATGCTCACCGGTGGCCACCAAGCCGGAGATGTGTGCGATGTCTGCCATCAAAATGGCACCAACTTCATCCGCGATTTCTCGGAACTTGGCAAAATCGATGACCCGAGGATAGGCGGAGGCTCCACAAAGGATCATGGCTGGGCGGAAGACCAGGGCAGATTTGCGCAACTCCGCGAAATCGATGAGGCCAGTCTCAGGGTGCACCCTGTAGGGCAAGGACTCGAAATAGATGGAAGTTGCACTGATCTTCTTCCTGGCGGTGTAGTAGCCATGGGTCAAATGACCTCCACTGGGCAAATCCAGGCCCATGACCCTGGAATGAGGAGGAAGAAGGGCAGTGTACACGGCAAAGTTTGCAGGACTCCCACTGTACGGCTGAACATTCACACCCCATTCCTTCTCATTGAGGCTGAAAGCCTTCAGTGCACGATCCTTGCAGAGATTCTCCACTTTGTCGATAACCTCGTTTCCACCGTAGTAGCGATTTCCTGGCTGTCCCTCAGAGTATTTGTTGGTCAAAGCAGAACCCAGGCACTCCATGACGGCGCGAGAGGTGAAGTTTTCGGAGGCGATGAGTTCAATGCACCTGCAGGGAGAACCCAGGGCACAAAAAATAGGAAGCAACAATACTAGGATGCCATGTAGAAATGTAGAAACAAGGAAGGTGGTCAAAAAGGGATACTTTCGGTACCTTACCACGCACTCCTAAGCCATTAGAGGGACCAGTAATGATTTGCTCAGCTAGACCAGTTCCCCCACCTGGTCTGTCGTGCCTTTTCCTGTTGCACCAGTTGATGCATGAGTGGATCAGCCTCGGACAAGGGCCGGTTGCCCGGTAGGGCCGGGCGGTTCCCCTTGGTGCCGGTGGTGATACCCTGGGCAGAGACCATAAACTTGGCATCAGCCTCAACAGCCTGGAAGGCCGCGGCTTGGGAATCGTTGATCTTCCCCAAACCTTTCAAGATGCCAACCACCACCTTCTCCAGGTTCAAGGTGTAGAAGTGCAAACCAGGTGCTCCACCCTCCAGCAACTTGCGGCACATGTCCACACCCTCACGGATACCAAACTCCTGCAGTTCAGCGGGGATTACGTATGAAGGAAAATTGGAGGCCTGGCGTTTGGGTTGAATTTTGTTCATATCCTGATTTTGGGTTGGACCCATTGGATATAGTTACGAAGGTTTTTCATATTTTTGACTTCTGGCTGGTCATATGCGTCATATCCCCCATCTCTTTACTGGTCCTATCCCCATGTTTGGTTATTGTTGTTTCATGTTTTTCAATTTGTAAGACCATGATAAACGACCATGGAACTGCAATGGGCTTCCCAAGTTTGAGACGGCCCCATGTTGGAAGATGTTGGACGGGGAACTGCCATCAATTGCAGATCTTTGTGAGTTGCAAAGCTTTGATTGTTGTCACTTCTTCTATGTATACATATTATATACATATATATACAGTATATATATATGTATATACTATACACACAAAAAAAAAATAGGTGGGTCCAATATGTATCGCCATGGTTGGCTGGTTATCCCCATCTTGGTTGGTGATAACATTATTACATATATCTATGTGTATATATATATATCATATATATCATTCTCTTCGTTGGTCATACGGGTTTGTCCAATAATAGTGGGGGGTCTACCCCAAGTTATGACCATTAAATAATGGGGAAAATAATGATGAACCAATGGGTTTGGGGACATCCCAACTTTTGCTGCTATGTGAGTGATACATACAGTAATACTTATGTGTATTTATATATATATATATCTTTATATTTCTATATCAGCTATGTCCCCATTGTGGTTATATATTGTATATATATAATATATATAATTATATATATATATCATATATCCATGTCTTTCTTGCTCATTTCCCAGCTCCCAGCTCGGTCCTTGAAGGCCTCATCGGAGGTGTTGGCCTTCTCAGCCCGCTCCAAGAGACCCTCCGGCAAACGGGTCTTGCAGAGCTCGGTCATGCGTTTCAGGCCACCCAAACCATTGAGACCTGGGAAAGGCACCAAGGGCACCAGGGGCACCAAGGGCGCAACAGGGCGCAACAGGGCGCAACAGGGCATTCCATTGGGGGGATTCGATTGGATTCGATTGGTATGTTGCTGTTGAGCTGCACATGATGCCAGGAACGATGGGAACCTTGATGTCATATTTGCGGCACTCTTCGACGAAGTCCAAGAAGACCTTCAGCCGTACCAGTGTGATGGCACATGATGCATCTGCTCAAATAAATATCACCAGCATCAACTGACAAAAAGGCCACAAACATCAATCAACAGGACACAAATGGCAAATTTACGACACAAATGGCACCTGGGCATCCAGGAACATCTGAGTAATCACAAAGGCAGCTCCCGCATCGACCTTTTCTTTCATGTACACCATCTCCTTGTGAAAGTTGGCATCGCGGCAAACGGTGACAACTTCCTTGTTGTTCTCATCTTTCACCACACGGGCGCGACGCTTCTCACTTGCACTCAAAGCGGCAACTCCCCCTTCAACCACCTCGATATTGTCAGGGTGGCCTTCAGGATAGCCGGCCACTGAAATGGAGAAGTAATCTCCATGGTTCTTGCGGATGAACTTCACCAGGTCCAGGGCACTGCTGAAGCCACCTTCAGTAGCTGTCCACTTTTCCTGACCACGGGGGGGATCACCTCGCAGGGCCACGATGTTGCGCACACCCAGTTGCCTGCACTCCTTCAGAGCGTTGCCGGTCATTTCGGAGCTCTGGTTGGTGCAGGTCAAGTGCATGTTGGCCACGGTGCCAAACTCGTTCTTGGCAGCTGACGTCAACTTCAAGGTCAGTTCAGAAGTTGAGCCCCCAGCACCCCAGGTGAAATCCGTAAACAGGGGGCCCAAGGCCTCGGTCATCCATGTCACAAGCAACATGTGGTATCCCAAGATGTGAAAAACAATAAACAACATCAACATACATCAAGAACTGTCAAAACTGCGAAAAGTTCAGGACGCATCCTTGGATTAGAATCTCGAAAAATGTTGCTGCTTGCAGCTGGATCGCTTTCATTTTCACGATTCGCTTTCGCAAGTTCTCGACACCCTCGGGAGTCTTCGGTGGGAAATATTCGAAGGAGAACCAACCTGACCGGGAGGCCTGATGGCCATCAAAATCAAGTCTACAGCAATATATTGTCATATATTGTTATAGAATTGAATATATTATCATTCACTGTATTGATTGCTTGGCACTGAAATCACGCAAGGGACAATGAAAAGAATTTGATGCAGGTATCGTGCAAACTGCATGCACTTCATTGCTCTATTTCAGCATATTTCAGCATCTGTCTGCTTGCCTGATGGTACCTTTGCCACAAGCTCATCAATCTTGTGATCATCTGCAAAGGTTTGCGCCATTGCGAACCCTGACTAATCGACCAAAAGTGTACAGGATACTTGATTTGCGTGCTACGTGGCTGCAGGCAGGCTTCTAGTGGACAGCATGATCTTAAATGCCAGCACACAAGTTTGCACATGTTCTCAAAAAACCTGAAACATGTAATGTTAACAGTTTCAAACGGCGCCGCAGCACAAGACTGTGCTGTATTTTTTACAAAAGGCATGGAACTACGGACGTCTTAGGAATTCCACGAGTGCCAGGGCTTTGCCAGCATTGCAGTTCTGCATTGCCGCTTTCATGTGGTCCTGAATGCAAGCTCCCAAGGCTAGCAACTAATATGCAAACTGCACACACAAAGGAATCAAGCTGGTTTTCTATGGTTTTCTCTCATCTGTGCCAATGGATGCATCTGAGCCACTCCTTTGCAGATTCACAAGTTCTTCACCAGCAAGCATCGTTGGCACATTTGCCAGATATGCAAATCTTCGCGGGATCTGTGAAAGATTGCACTGCACACTTTGGCGGCCACACGGCTTCATTCCAATTGCATTTATAACCTGCGAAGCCAAAGGATCCCACCATCCCCCAGAGCTGCAAACGCATCAACTTGTGACAACGCAGCGGTTTCTTCCAATGAGAGTCTCAAAATTTCTCAATTTTTTCCAATCAGATTTATTGTCTCAGGCCGCCACCAATACCAGATTGAACAGTGTAAGTCTGTCCACATTTCTCTTCCAGTGAGACGCCACAGAACGGCACGTAGTCCATGGAGCTGCAGTCCAGCTTCCCATCTTTGCTCTGCCAGCGTCCCACCATTTCTTTGGTGACTCCAGGTGCTTTCACCTTTGGGGAGTTCTACAGCGCTTCGGAAGTTCGAAATATCGACATATCAAAGAAAGATCGATTTGGCAACGAAACGTTTTTGAAAACGGAAAAAGCTGCCGTCTGTATCATCTGTCTCTAGTGATTTTTTCGTTTATTCACACTGCGCTGGAAATGGTTCCAGCCCTTCAAGGAGCCTGGAGCTTCACACCATCTCCACTCTGTGCCACAGAATCTTTGGCTCCTGTCACTCGATAGCATAACGTGTATTCACCTGCACGGCTGGCGTCTCATGAATCGAACTAGGACAAGAAGGACTCAAGCCACCGGATAAACTTGTCGTGCCATGTCCAAGGCACAACCTTACCGTCACAAGGATTCAAGCAAGGAGATTGAACAAGTGAAACCAGCAGCAGAGACTTTCTGTCCGGCCTGTTTTGGTGATGGTGAACATCGCATGCCCGGCGCCCATATCTTTGTCCGGTGTGGCTGCAGCACAGTCAGAGGAATCTGAATGGACAAAGACCTCAGAAAAACCACACCCAAGTTCGTTTTACAGTTCTTAGGGGGCTCACTATCAAATGCCCTGCGGTCAAATTGTGTCATGTTCAAATGGCGGTCCAGTACATTTGTTTCAGTGTGGCACAAGATCCACCATGGCACACTAGTTGCTGAATAGGCACTGCTCGGTCTCCTGGACCAGAGCCCGTCAAACTAATCACTGTTGGAACATTCACAGTGATCACACTTGGTGAGATGCCCTTGGATCAGGGTCAAAAAAGGATGCTGAAGGATCTTGAAGCGAAACAAAAAAAGCTCGGAAATACAGTGGATACAATGCTGACTGCTAAGGCTGCCTCCGTGTTCCTCGTCCCATGCAATCATTTCTCATGTATGTCCTACACAGAATTAGACTCCTTAGCTTACTATAGATTGTTAATATCCTGACATACAAAATCAGGTGTTCTCAGACGTCCCTTTTTTGGGCCCAAAGTCTCATCCAAGAAACAGTGATGGTATCCTGACTAGTCGTGGTGGTTTCCAAAACCTGCACTGTGGATCACTGTGGCCCATTCGGACCACTTGACCACCCAGCGGTCCAAAGTGAATGTCAAACAGCTGGATTTGGGTCAAAATTTCAACTGGGTGCCTTGATTTGGATGACTCCCTCCTTGGACTTCTGCTCAACGGAGTCGCTGCCACTGGGAGATTGATAGCAAAGTTTGTAGTCCCCAATCTTACCTGCCAGTTTTGAGCAGCAAAATGGAACCCAGCTTGAATTTGTTTCAGCTCTCACAGCCCAGCCTGAGGATGGAATTGTAAAGAGTCCTCTACCCGAATCGTCCAGGACTACTTTGGGTGTCGCATCGCTACAGGCCTGAAGTCGGCGAAGGCGGCGAAGTTTTCAAGTTGTCAACTGCTTTGGCTGGTGTGGAATCATCGGAATCACGTTCCCATCGTTCCCCAGGGCCCCACCATCCCCACCTTGTCCGTCGGAATGAAAATTGCTTTGCCTGCACTCGATGCTCCTTTCAATGTAATCGCAGTCGTCACTCCCTTGGTGATGGAACTGCGACCTAAGCGTCGTAAAACTGCGATACGTGGCAAGGCCTGTCAGAAGAAAGCAAATGCCTTGCTAGAAAAACGTTTTGAATGTGACTATTGCTGCACCTGACAAAGAGTTGCGGTATTGAGGATCTCTTGCTGAGCAGGGCACTTGCTGACTCGATGACGGATTCAGGCGTTGCAGCTATGACATCCAGCTTTACGCCCACCTGCAGCAGAGATCTGGACATGAGGTATGGAAATCTCATGCAGAGCACGCGGTGACCTGCACCTCTGTTCCATTGACCTTCCTTTGTCGCAAGAGATGTCTGCCACGATCTGAGCCGTGTCTCCCTGCCTGTTCCGCTATGGTACCTCCTGCTACAGGCTTCAGACATAGCCGAAGATCCTCAGTCTCCTGCCAAAATCGAAAGAGGGAAACACTTTCCAGCACAACATGAAATTAAAGTGGGAAAAGAACAACCATCCATAGCTCCTTCTCGATAGAAATCACTGCTTTGCCACCTTTACCCACTACTGCCGCGTCATCGTCCTGGATCACATCTCTTTTCAAAGATTGAAAGGAGCAAAGTCTGAACACTGCAATCTGATGACTAGAACTGGAGGTTTGCTCCTAAATCTTCAGACAAACCCATGTCCATCATGTCCCGGTGCAGACATCATGTCTTTCTAGACATGACAAGGCCAATGCACTTCCAAGGGGCCGTCACTGATGCACATGGTCCGCTGGTAAAGTAGACCTTGTCACCGGAACTTGCACCTGTGGAAATCAGGCACATGCAATAGCCAGTGTATTCTCCACTTGGCTTTTTGGCCTTCCCTCAGAAAAGCACCATCCAAATTCAAGGTATCGCTAGCTGATAGCTTCCCAAAGTAGCGCACAAGGCTGTCGTGGCATCCATTCAGACTCTAGAACAGTCCAATTTGATGCACTGGCACCCCACTCAGATTGCACCTGTGAAGGAGATCTGGGTGGCTTTGCCAGCCTGTCAAGATGACTTTTGTCACCTCCAAGCTCTGCTTGTTGGTATCGGCATGGTGGCCTTTGCCATCTGCCTCTTGTCTTCTTGACTGTTCTCTGCTTACGATATTGTGTTACCAGGGGGAGACAGTAGATCTGGCAAATAGATGCAAATGGCATATAGTATCATACTATAGTATATAGTATCATACTAGTAACATGCTATTTCACCTCTGGTTTTAGGATAGCAACAGCCCTGCAATGTCTTCCTGTCCTTCGCTGCCAAGAGGCTGAGATGGAGGTGGGAGAGATGCTAATGCCTCTTCCTACACCTCTCTGAAAGCTTGCCGCCAGTATCCACAGGGTGACAGCATTCGTTAGTGCCTTAGAACACAAGTGACGTTTGCGCGAAGAGTCATGACGTTCCTGCTCTGTGATCACACGTTATTCACCTACTTATTCTTGCAACTGAGACCATTGCCATGAAATGTCCAAAACTATCGAGAAATGGCGTATGCAACCAACAGTTGGATTACGTTGGCTAGCTGCATGCCAGCCTTGAGCCAAACATGGCTTCAAAGGACAAGTCCCTCAAATTCTTCCACTGGGTGGGCTAGTCTGTATGAAACCAGCACAAAGCAGCAAACCAAGATGGGCTAGCTGGAGATCAACTGAGTGCGACCAGTGCAGTCACATCATTGAAAGAGGTATATGGTATATAAATGGCGAACAAATACAAAACATATGCAAACGCTTATCCACCATCCCGCCTCGTTCATGCAGCACCAACGGATTTGCGAGGAAATGATTCAAATATGCAGCACTAGAATATGAAATGTAAAATACTTTGGTTCCATCAGACACAAATAAGAGTCGTATAAGCTGAAAGTACGCATGGCCTTTTGATGCAGACAGTCATCAAGCCAAAACTACATCAGTTGAGTATCGCTCCAAAGTGAAGGACTTCTGCAACTGTGACATCCACTGCAGTCCTTTCAATGCTTTGCTTGTCCAAACGCCACCTTGGTGGTGCTGCCAGGTGCTCCAGTCACCGCCTGCACGATCGGCGCCAAGGACATCATCGAGGTTTCATGTTGATTTGTTGATTGATCTGTGTGTTTCCATCCTTGTTGGCGAGTCTTTCCCATAGTCTACACCTCGAGTTGCAGATTTTGTCAGGTCTACGGAGTCTACGCTTTGTGTCTAGAAAAATCCAGCTAAATTTGTTTAGGCTCTCGCTCAATGGATGTGACAAGCACCATCTGCAAGCCCAGCACGGAACAGAAGGCGACATCCTGCAGAGGTTTGTGCGAGAGACGCTGAGATGTTCGTGAACGGGCTGCCCTGACCAGCATCGCGGCCAAAATTCTTCAGTTGGGCAGGACGCACCAAGTTGGACAGAAATTTGTGTCGTTCCAACTGACCATATATAAAGGCAACAGCTGCCTGCTAATCCTTTATCATTCCACCACTTCTGTAGAAAACACGCAAACAGTTTGTCCCATTCTATGATTCTATTGAAGTTCATCTGGCGCTCTGCAGTACTCAGAATTTCCCTGAATCTGGACACCTCCATAAGTCCGCGGAAAGTTTCACGCATCTCATCTTCCAGGATGAAGGACGGCAAATGAACAACAACTGTTCCACCCCTGCCCGCGTCATGCTGTG